CCCCCCCCCACCTCTCCCTCTCCCTCTCCACACCTACACTAGCCTGTTCAAATACATCTTCACAAGTAGGCTCATCCGATTGTCTAGAAATCATGAATACCGCATTCTCAAAGTATGCGCGCAAGGCCACAATCCGGCGCGAGAGATCGCCGTCTCCGAGCACTTGAAGAACAGCCCCGACCATCCAGGCAAGGCTCTCGTCCGGCTGGTTCAGGACTCCTTCGCCGCGACTGAGCCCCATGGGGGCCAGCAGCATATGTGTCTGGTGTACAAGCCCTGCGGCATGAACATGACCAAGTACATGAACGGTCGCACGCTGCCCCCGGAGCTAGGGCAGCGGAGTCTGCAGCTTACACTCATCGCGTTGTCGTTTCTCCACACGAACAAGACGGTTCACACGGGTAGGGACTTCTTGTTTCACCGGTCTTAGTCCTCAACCGAGAAGAAAAGATACTAAACCAATTCCCAGACGTCTCGCCCAACAACATACTGCAGAAAATCGATGATAGCTCCATGCTGTCGGCGATCGAAGAGGAAGAGATGACGCAGCCCAGCGCCCGAAAAGTCCTGGATGATCGGACGATCTACCGCTCTCGATCGATGCCTGCTTGCGAAGGGTTGCCGGTTCTCTCGGATCTCGGGGAAGCCAGGTTCGGCCGCCAGCGATATACAGGAGACATCATGCCTGGGATCTACCGCGCACCGGAGATCATTCTGGGGATGGAGTGGGACAACGAAGTAGATATTTGGTCTGTTGGTGCCATGGTGCGTGTTGACCGGAATCCTTCTTCTCTCGTCTGTGATGAGTGTGCATGACCCAGCTGATACCGAGAGTGAATATAGGCGTGGGATCTGCTGCAGGACGAGCATCTGGTCTGCGGGAAAAGACACGGGGTCCTGTGCAATGAGCAGCATCTCGCCGAGCTGGTCTCGCTGATGGGGCCGCCTCCTCCCGAATTCATCAAGAGGAGTGATAAGTGCCACCGATACTTCGATGAGCAAGGTGTGTGGTTTCCTTCTTCGTACATTTCATCGTCCCAATTTTCTTAACAGCGTTCTTGCAGGTAACTGGAAGGGGTCCATACCCATACCGCACCAAAGACTAGAAATGCGAGTCCAGCACTTTCGGGGTGACGACAAGAGGCTCTTTTCGAACTTCCTTCGGCGAATTTTCCGCTGGTTGCCTGAGGAGCGGCCCACAGCAGAGGAACTGGCCCGTGATGAGTTTCTGATGCAGCCGATCCTGGCCGCGAGGAACAAGGACTAGTAGTACAGGCAGTTTGGTTCTTTATTAGAAAGCAGATCTCGTTCAAGAATTATGTCAGGGATTAATACGTGGTCGCTGAGCGAGGTTCTCCTAACAGGATTTCAAATTAAATGCGTGGGGTAATCTGATACAGAGTTCACCATAGGTACTGTAAGTTACCGGAAGTTCTGTTGTTCGCTAGGCCAATGTATTCGCTAGTCCACATGACATCGTCCCTTTCCCGCGTTTGGCTCTCTTCTCCTCTTCTCCTTGCTCGAAAAATGCTCAAGACAGTCTGGAGCATCCGGATCAAAGATCATGCGGCCAATGAATAAGGCTTGCACGCAATGTCGAGCAAGGAGGATCAGTATCATGAGTGAGGTCTGTGTATGATAGTTGAAACCACTGTATCTGATTTGCTACCGACAACTCCCTGGTCGGCCGCTACACTCTGCACGATAGTTTCGGTACAAGTAAGAAAAGACACCAAATTCTGTGTAGAGACAGAGATGAAACACCGCACAGGACGAAAGAATGAAGCACGCTACGTAGTCCCTACTCTTCGTCCGTCAACTGTAGGAACTCACGAATCCTTCTCCCACCCCACCATATCCCTGAAGATTGTGGGCGGCGGTAACCCGCCGGGTGCGCGGTGAAGGTCGATTGCAGGATTGGCTCGAGGAGGTCCACGATTTAAGGCCACTGAAAGCTCTCATGAAGGGTTTTGCATCTGTCAATCAGGGTGGGTTCTGCCATCGAGAAAGTAGGGGTCACGAAATGGGCGTCCAAGCCCTGGGTGACAAGTTTAGATGAAATCATCACAGCCTTATCATGAAAACTGCTAAAGGATCGTACAGGATAAGTACAGAGATTATATACTAGACCTGAGTATCACGGATAATCAACTATTAGTATAATATCTTATACTGAGGTTCAGTGTTAAAGAGTCTAACTTACTATTCGTAGCAGAGGACGTTTTTCACACAAGGACGCGAGTGTAGACTCTTACGAAGCCTCGCGTCCAGTCAATTGACTTGTAGTGAGCGAGTCCTCGGCATAGACAGCCAGAGAAGGAGCCAACAAAGGGATTGTCGTTGGCGCCTCCTCGCGATACTCGGGCTTGCTGGTCGTGCTGGTGAATGGCAGCGGGTCGAGGCAGAAGCACACAGCGAAATGATAACACTAAAAATGTTGGCTATTGTGGCTACAAACAAAGATGTCGCTGGTTGATCCATGCTCTGTAGGCTGGGAGTCTGAGGTATCGGCTTCGAAACATATTCACTAGGCATGAACGACATACTCTCTCCTTCCTTGTGATAATGAAAGTGAAGGTAGAGTGAGTGACGTGCCTTTTTGTTAAGGACCCGCTTTCCTATTCACTGGCTCGAGGACCTCGTTCCCTGCCTTCACTCCTTCTCTTTTTCTTTCTTTCTTTCCCTCCCTCCCTCCTTCCTTCTTCCTTCTCCCTTCTCTTTCTCCCCTCTTGAGTCCCTTGCACTGTCTGTTCTCATCCTACCAAGACAAAGCCACCAACGATGTCTACCTCTACCGATACTCGTTCTGCCTGCGCTTCCGGAGGGGGTGGGGGGCAAGATCCTGGTCGGGGAGGAGGAGGGGGGAAGCAGCCTCCTGCCGACAAGGTTGAGCCCCTCCGAGGAAAGGCCCTCCACGCCGCGAGGCCTACGTGCGAGCACTGTGGCGGTCGCGGCCACGTGAAGGCCCAGTGCAAGAAGCACGAGGCCTCACTCCGTCGGATCCAGCAGCCGCGGCACAAGAAGCCTTCCGAGACCCGCCGCAAGGAGCGGCGAGCTCAGGAGGCGCGGCGGCGGGAGCTGGAGGAGAGGGTGGCGGACCTGGACCTCGGGGTGAAGGGGAGCTGGGCAAGCGACGTGGAGGAGGAGGACTCGTCGGCGGTGTTCTCGGGGGATGGGCAGAAGTCGGAGAAGGAGGAGTGGGAGAGATAGGGGGTCGCCGCCAACCAGGTGGTGCTTCTTCGCCGTCCGAAAGGGTAGTGCTCGTTGGCCGATAAGGCCGGCGACTCCAGCGATGAGCTCGCATCTCAACGTGATGCTGGAGTCTAGTAACCCATCTCGGGTGAAGCGAAGACGAGCTCCATGTAAATTTTCCCTCCCTCAATTTGCAGTAGTGATCCTTCACCTTCCCTCTCTTGTTCTTAAGTATGCTTCTTATGTAACAAAACCGCAATTGAAATTAGCATCTTCATCAATTCCTCCGCTGATGTGATGGTCCTGATTCTCACTAGCCCTTCTGCTGAGAACTCACTTCGTCGCCGGGTCCAGTTCGTAAGTAACACCTCGACGAGCGATGTGACCCTGCTCGAGTCGCAGAATCTACAATGGTATTCTTCATAGTCTCGTGATCATCGTCTCCTTCGACTATATCCATCTCGTCCTCCGCTTCGTCTCCGATAGCTTCGCTCTGTTGCTGAATGGCAGATACCAGGGATTGTCTTTAGTGCACAGTGAACGGGGGCCAGCACTATTTGGGAGTGAGCGTGTGCCAAAAAAACGCGAAGCTAGTCCCTACTACCTTAGATAGTGGTCAAATACGCAGTACGGTACTTTTGGGTGAGCTGGCAAAAGACAGGATACGCCTCGGATTAGGAAGGCATAGGTCCTCTAGAAAAGAAAGCGAAACTCGAAGTAATATCAGCAAGCTCAGCCCCTCTGGATGTGGAAGCGCGTGTCTACAGGTGATATTGGCCTCTGCGGAAAGGTCATGTTACATAATTATAATACTACTGTTTCAAAGTTGTTTGATGCCAGGATTTTGTCTACCATGAATCTATTTTCAGAAAGTAAAAAGCATTGCGATATCAGTTCAGAAACTCATCTTCCACTAATTCGTCGTCCACTGGGTTAGAGGGGTAAGAACAAAAGGAGAAAGCAAAAACAAAAGAAAGCGAAAAAAGGCACACCAGGTCGCATGGAGGAATGCTGGAAGCAGGTGATGATCGCCCGGCCCGGCCCGACCCGCTCCGGGAAGAAGCCCGGCACTCCGTGGACCGTAGCCCTGGAACTTTGAAGCCTAGGTTCCCGACCATTGATAATCCGTTTGCGACACTGTGATCATCACATAACTCAAATGATCTATTGATATCTACTTCGACCAGTAAAATATAGAGATATCACCCCGGGTGAAGTGTCAACAAGATACTAGCTTCATATGATTGATCGGTCGATATGGGGCCCTCATGTTCAAATCAAGCAGAGGCGATCTGCAACAGCGCCGAGGGAGAACGTTGCGCTGGGGTCATCAGCAGGGGCTAGAACGCTCACCCCTTCTGCCGATGAAATTTTCATTGTTATAGACTACCTTAAACTGCTTGTGATTATCATTCCATAGTAAGCATGGAAGTGCTCTATACATACTGTTCTTCACCTCCCAATGCTTTGCACCTCTCGGCCGATCTTTGCCCAATTGAACTATTTATATCATATGGAAGTAAGCTATGGTGAGATACACTATTTGCTATACGAAGATACTCGTCTAGTTGCCTATTGGAAAGCTTCCAGAGCTTGGTCGTTCCATCTTTTTGTCCACGTCAGTTCTGCCAAGGAGTACAAACAGTATGTGCAGGGAGCATAGAGCATAGGAGTAGAGACTTACGCGAGGTACTTGCCTGTTAAAGAGTTCGGAGCATCAATCACCAACTTAGCGATAACATGGCCGGGTTGTTCAGGTTTAGATAATTGTCCTCCCTGGTGGGCAGTTGTAAAAAATGAATGGAACTGGGAGTCCATTGTAGCGATGTGGTCCTCGCGGATCTCACGCTGCATTTCAGTGTCAACCAAGCCCGGATCAACAGACAAGGTCGTTACGTCGGGCTCCTCTTCCCCAAGCGTCAGAGCCAGATGGTTCATGGCCGCCTTGCTTGCACCATACAGACCCCAGCCCCTGAATGCCGAGACGGAAGCCGCCGAGGAAGTGAAGACGATTCTGCCCTTGGGTTCACGAAGCGCCGGCAGCGCAGCCTTAACCTGTAGCAATCACGAGGGTTAGCCACCAGCGACATGACCCGTAACAAGTCTTTTCCCCCACATCCCACCGGCATCATTTAGCTATCCAGGTGATCATGAAATCCACTCACAAAAGCCACGCAACCGATGAAATTGACATCCAATCCCTGCTTCCACTGTGCTGGATCTGCTTCGGCGACCTTGCCCACTTGGCCAAGCACCCCGTGATTGAGCACTAAGCCATCCAGACGCCCGAACGACTTCAACGCCAGATCAACTGCCTTCTGGCCGATCGAGAAATCCGCGAGGTCGCCATTTAGCACCTCGACCTGCTTGGGGTACTGGTCTTTCAGCTTTTGAAGGGGCTCGACGCTGCGGGCGACCACGACCAGGTTGTGGGATTGTGGCGCAGTGAGGAGATACTTCGCAATAGCGAGACCGATACCTGTACCGCCAGGGAATTAGAATGCTTCGCCTTTCTGGGAGGTTATAAGTTGAGATCTTTTGCATGAGCAATGGATTGGGAGCGAGGTTCTCTTTACCTCTCGAGGCACCGGTGACAACGAAAGTTTTGGATGACATGGTAATCGAGGAGGAGATCGGGTCAAAGTTAATACCGGGTGGAATAAGGGTATATCTCTGTGGATTTGGCAGTGATAGAAGGAGAAATGGTTAGTTAGCGGATTCTGCTGCCGGAAAGTGGCGGAAAGTGGCAGAATTAGACTAAAGTCCTTGGCTTGCGAGGATTGCTCTGAGTGGTTAATCAAGATCGCCCCACTGCTGAACCTTGCATCGAACATGTTAGGCCCCTGCATGCTTTAAAATACTTTACTTGTACTACTTATAGTACTCTACATGTAGTAAAAGTATCTAGATTACATATGCTTGGCATCAAGACTATTTAAAAGTGCTTGCAGAACAATTCGGAGAAATTGCCATCGATGCGACACGTAGAGTACGAGTATTCAATTGAAAAGATAAGCTTTGGACTTCATAATGTTGATGACCAGGATAGTTAAAAGTCAGCGGACATAGTCATCTAATGATGTAATTTCTGTACTCACCCTGTAACCACAAGCACGAAATTGAACGGTCTACAGTTTCTACACTCTGCTCCAATCTCTAAGCAAAGACGCCAGCCATGCTCTCTACACCAACAAGTTTTGATACCGGAATTTTCGCAGGGTATTACGCAGTCACACACAACCGGTTTGTCAGTATACTTATGACGAGAACAATATCAGCTTGATCCCTCAAGTCAAAAATTGCTGTTCATCCTTGATCACTATGTAACGGAATATGTGAACAATATGCTACTGAGTATAAACAATGGTGTATAATATGAAAGGAGCACCTTTTTGTGAAGAGCATGTCCTTCCAGTAACTATGAGACCTTTTGTCACTGATGGGGTTCATAATATCAGCAAGAAGCCTATTTGTGCCCAAGAAGATTCTGGCCGGATGGATCAATGCACTAATAAAGCACGTATCTGGCCATAAAGGAAATTGGAAAAGTGCGGGCTACATAGACTGGAATACTACAGAAAGAAATTTGGGAAAGGCCTTGAACAGGAAAAAACTCCTGGTACTCTGTTGCACGGTGACTGTTTCCTAGCAGTAACTGTATCAATTATATTAATTTAGAATCATGTACAAAGGAGCTCGTCTTAGCTTCGCCCAAGATGGGGTACTAGACTCCAGCACCACGGTGAGGTGCGAGCTCTTCACTGGAGCACTACCTTTAACAGGCGGCGGAGCACTACCCTTGCGGGCGGCGGAGCACTGACCCCGGTGGCCAGCGGTTCTGTCGTCAAGGCGGGTCCCGAGTTCGAAAACGTCGATGGCCTGATTGCAGTATTCCTTGGCGCTTTATTATGATGGAGATAGTCCGGTGGCACGTAAACCAGATTCAATAAAGTAAAGACATGGCCACAATGAGTTCTGCAAGCTTGGCCGTATGTCCGACAAGGGTAGTCTTGTAGGGACCGTAGGAATGCAGCGTTGCAAAGGCGGCATTTGATTTTCGGCTGCGCCGGAGGTAATCAACCCATGCAGGCCCATATTCCAAGAAGCTTATGAAAATCTGGTTTCCATCACGGGACACTAGCGGGCGACTACTATTCTTAGTTCACCAGTTCATCAAAATGATAGCTCAAAGCGCGGGGGAGACTTACTAGCGCACGACGGCAGAGTTTGGGCCATCAGGACACTGTTTGATCCAGGCGACAAGTTCGGAGACCTCTTGCATGGCTATCCTCTGATTATTTGGACCCCTGAGGAAACCCTTGCACTCGACCGGAATCTTAATTTCCTCGGTTTGCATGTCCTCGAGTTGCCCGTCTGTCCTGGTCGAATAACCGTGGGAGACTTTATTGCCTCGCTTGCCCCGATCGAAGATCAGTTCCTTTTTGTAGGTCCTCCACCAGGATTGCACCGCGGGAATAATGGAAGTCAGAGCGTTGAGAAATTCGATGAAGGTGGAGTTCACTGTATCCTCATCTGTTCCCTGCGGGCTTGTGTCATTCCGCCAACCCTTGCTCACCTCCGACTCGAGTCTCACAACCGGTCCGAAAGGCCCCAAAGCCGGATCAGTCCAGTCGTTATTCCCGAAATTGGAGATATACAACATGTAGGCAGGGCTCTGACTCAGGAGGCCTTGCGCTTGAGTGAGGAGTGCATTGGTGATGCCAAACTGCGCAGGGTTGAAGAAACTCGGTGTCACAATTTGAGGCCGGATGACACGGTACAACAGGTACTGCTCCGGAGTGACGCCTGATCCAGACTTGAGATCACGCCAGGAGCGCAACGTGCTGTTGGCCACATTATGTGTGTTGACCGCTGTTGTCCACTCAGCCTGGGTCCTTGGGCATATGAAAGGCATTGTATAGACAGAGATAATAGCAAAGAAGAGTGTTTCGACCACAGAGAAAGTGCGTAATTTGACATGGAGAATGACAGATAGATTAATTTGAGGTAGCTTGAGGCAGGTTGAGGTCGCAACGGAAGCAAACGAAGAGAGTAAAACAAGGTAGGCGCGTGAAATAGGTGGAGCGGGAGTCTTACCTGCCGCATCGGCCTAGTCCTTGGTCTCTAAGGGACGACTTAGAAGAAGACGAGTAAACAAGTCCACTGGCGCCTTTGCCCTCTGTTCAAAGCTATAGAGCTTTGACTGTCTAATCACCAGCTTTCTCTGGTTCATACACGCAGCAAAAATCCTTGCGTGTTGAGGACGGACATAGGAGAGGAGAAGCACAGGAAAGTACTCTTCATCAGGGAAAAGGTACGGATACTCCTCTTTACCCTTGCCATTGTTGTTGTAGAGTTCCTCCCGCTCCGTTTCTGAATCCACCTTGCGCTGGTTCACCCTGCCTCGCATAGCCATAATCAATGCAGCAAATTCGGAGAAAAGGATTGAATTCTCTCGAGCTTCCTTTTCATCAACGAGATGAAGGGCAAGATGAGGAAAGGCTTTTCCATCGACAGGTTGTGGCTCTAGTATGCAAGGAACATCAAACCAACCTCCTGCTGCAGAGGGGTAAGGGCCTGCGAGCTGTCCCTCCAGGTACAAGGTACTATCTGGCCACCTATAATAGACTGTTAAAAAAGTACAGCAAAGTAGAAGATAAGACATACTCAACAATATCCAGACCTTGATGAGCCATTGCTTCTCTTGTAGCACGATCTTCGATGAGCGTGAAAATCTGATGGCATCTGTCTGCGCACGCCACCCAGTTCTCGACATCATCCTCTTGACCGTAGTCTCGGAAGTCGCGCGCTTGCGCATAATCAAGTGGGAACTTCGCCTTCAATTCTGACGCATTCATAGGGCAAAAATGAACAGGAGGCGATAATCCAAGATTAGACAACACATCATCCAGTTTCTCAAAATCAAACCCAACCACATGTTCGACCTCCTCTAGGCCGCTGATGCCCACATGGTGGTCAGCAGGCAGGTTGCCTCGACCTCCGAGAACAATGTCCTTATATAGCTTGGTGAGCACAATGCGGATTCTCTGAGAAGTTGAAGGCATCGTGACGGGGTTTGAGATGTGGTATGGAGGAGCCGAGTACAACAGGATGGTGTTTTATGAGATGGTGTAGACACGTGAAAGTCACTCAGCTAATGAGGGGTAGTTAGTGGGTCGGATTTTTCCGACAAAGATGACATGACTAATCATCATGATAGTTAACTAATATAACTAACCTCAGGGAACACCGAATCGTGCAAGAAGAGCTAAACCGGTCCTTCAGTGAATTAAGAGAAATCTCTGACTAGACACGGCTGCTACTTAGTCTACTGCATCTCAAAGGTAGGTATAATACCATTTCACCAAGACTAGGGCCAGTCAGCTGACAAGCATATGTCGGATCTGAAAGACGCGAAGGGGATAGATACAACGAATACCCACTCATGGGATAGCAAAGCATCTTCTAAGAGCTAAGTCTGCGATTAAGTAACGCCAGGGAACATTGCAAGGAAAGCTATCTCCAAACAAGAACGCCGAGAAATGCTGCGATCTAAACGCCACCAGCCCAAAATAGCATACAGCAGTCAACCATCCAGATTTTCGAGTTCTAGCTCTAAGATGCATCGGAAGTTGAAAGACAAATATGGCATCGAAAATAGCGACAGGGTGCTATTATGACACATGTGAGATCAAGGCAAACGGAATGAATACAAGGTAAGCAAGTGGCAAGGAGCGAAGCGCCAACCAGCGCACAGGCAATACCCTAGTAGTGCGTTGCGTTGGCATTGCTGAAATATCCAGCTGATTGGCCGAGAGACTGGGTGTGATGATGTGCAGGGGGCGTCTGCGATTTCTGTGCTGCGAAGTATTGCCCGTACCACGACTGGCGCCGCGGCTCTTCTGGATGGTAGGGTTGGTTGAGGGCATCCCAGGTTTGGCTAGCTGCGGGGAGATTATACACGCTATAATGATTCTCCTGGCCCTGAGGCCGAGGTTGAGTCTGCGTGGACATTGGCTGCTGTTGCTGTTGCCAATGTTGCTGACGCTGTGCAATCGCGTGCTGCACCATTTGATTGGAGACTCCCTCACGGATGCTCTTTTTCTCGCGCTCTCGAGCATCAATGGCCCCCACCAGGCCCATGGGATTGACGGGAGTCACCTGCGGCTTGTGTCCACCGGAAAAATCTAGGAGAGGGGCGCCGGTCATGCGCGAAACATGCTCCTGTTCCCGAGCCGACAAATGTGATGAAAGTTCATTGTAGTTCATAACAGCACTGGCGCCACGAGAGTGGGGACGCGCCGGACCCTCTCGGTTGCCAGAAGAGTGCGGCTGTAGCCTGGAGCTGCTCGCCCAATCCCCAGAGAGGGGCCGAGGGAGAGGCGGTGCTAGTTTACTCGTTGCTGACGACGAAAGAGTTCGGTGGTGAACATGGGCAGGCGGGCTGGGAGCTGACCGTTGTTGTACAAACTGCTCAGGTGTCAGACGACCGGGCGTTGTTGGTCGGGGAGCCGCCATACCAGGCTGCCACATCATGCTGGGTGACCTGGAATGTGAGCGCTCCATGTGGTGTGTGGGACCTTGTTTTTCTGTTGCATTTGAGTCGCTTCTCTCGTGACCGGATTTCTTCGAAGTCTCCGAGGTGTTAGGACGTGCCGTGGTAGGCATCAAAGTCATTGTCGGGCCAAAATCGATAGTAGGAATGTCAGGGTTGGGTTCTGCCGATTCCTCCATAGAGTAATGTGCATCGCCAATAACGAAGTCCTTTTTGTCAGGTACCGTCCCTACTGTCTTCATGACTCCCATCCTAGGTCGAGGAATTGATTTGACTGAGCGCTTGCTGTAGACGGAACCATGTGTACTAGCATAGTCAGGAGATGCAGCCGACTCGTCGTCGTAGATGCTCTCTTCGTCTTGTCGAATCTCTTGCTCGCGAGATGTGAATGATAGCTGACGGCTACCGACCCAGTTGAGAGCCTCATAATTGACAGTGTGGCGAAGATCCTCAAGGCTGGGCTCCCCAACGACACTGGAAGAGTCCGGCTCCCCAGCGTACTGCTGAGGCACGGGCTTTCTTTTCACAGCTTTCGTAGTATCCAAGTGTAGCCCACGTGCCTTTGGTATAGCCAGCGGTGGCCCGAAGGCACTAGAACGAGACTCAGGAGTTTGGGAGGGTTGTTCGGTGTTCTTCCTCGAATCGAGCGCCTCTGGAAGGACCCAATCTGCGTAGTGCTCGGCAGATTCACTACTTGGGGTGAGCGGACTAGGATCGTTGGAGCTTCTGCTTGTCGCGTGGCCTTCTGCCGTTGGATCAGTGCCAAGACGATCCAACCCTCCGGAAGCAGCCACAAGTTGGGTGAGCGTAGCATCCGACATCCTGTTATTGACTTTTCTTAGGTCTGGTGGCGGCCGGGGTCGAGTGGAGGGAACCTCTCCCGGCCCGTGAGTGAAAGCGGGAGGTTGGGCTACAGGTGAAGGAGGCGAGACAGGGAGGCATTGTTGTCCAGCGACCTCAGGTGCAGAGATTAGATGAGGCTTCGACTCACCCTCCGTACTGCCACGGTCACTATCGCGGGGATGTTCTCCATTGGGCGGAAGCTCCTGAGCAGATGATAGTGGTGAGCTATCACTTAGAGAGACAGGAGGAGCCTGTGCCGGAGGCGCGAGCCCGACGAAATCGGAAGCTCCGCGAGTATGATGGACGAGCGAGACAGGCTCACCCTCAGGCTCCTCGCGCACAATAGCATCGGTGGACTGATTGTGACCAGGGCGATTTCCGGGAGAAGTGCAATTGCGCTGCTGGGGTCCGGCGCGAACATTGCCGTTTTGCCGACTTGGTAGGCTGGACCGGAAACGTGGCTTGCTCCCAGAGACACTGCTAGTTCGGCTTCCAGCTGTTGCCATACGGCGTGCCGTGGCTTCTTTGAGCTGCCTCCGCCATTCCGCTTCGCTCCAATTTTGACTTCCAGGTGTCTGCATGAGACTGGAAATATCTAGGAGATCCAAGTAACCATAGCGTCGGTGGTTTGGAAATGCGAACATTATACTTTTGATGTGATTCGTGGCGGCGAGCAGCCGAGTCGGCCGTCCGTAGAGATTGAACGTGTCAAAGGTGGGCATCAGGAATCGGAGCATAATCTCGAACCCTGAAACAGCTGGATGGACTTCAGGCATAACAAAAACCAACCCCTCGGAAGTGGATCCTGTCTGCGAATGAATTGTGATCCTGCCTTCGATTTTGACCAAGGTTGACTGGTCAATCAACGGCTTCGATTGGGGATAGATCGCGTAAGCAGCATAGGCGTCGGTGATAGTGGCAATCGGTGTCGCTTTCTTGGTCTTCTTCGTCTCGTAGAACTTGATATGGCCTGTGACTAATCGAGGGGTGCGGTCATACGCCGACTTCTTGATCGACTTCTGCGCCTTTTGAAATTCTTTCTCGTTTGGGGGAGTAATGACGAACCAACACCGCCTCCAGGGCGTTCCTGCGCCAAACCTCACACGAGCCCAGTCTTCATGTTTGAACCGATTGCGCTCGAGAATGTGTTTCACATTGTTGAGAGCTTTCCCCTTCCCAGCAATGATCGAGCCGGTATAGGCCTCATACAACGACGTGTGCTCGAACAAGGCCAGACGTATAGCGGCAGTCCACTGAGTCAAAGAGTGGAAGGAATTGAAGAGAAGAAGGTATCGATTTTGGCCCGCGGAGCATATACTCAATATGTTCTTAAGTGACTGCACTTCTTGGTTCCGGGTTGGCAGCGTTTCGAGCTGGATCCGTGCTTGTCAGTATGAGGTTACGCTGGTGCCGGTCTGGAACGCTAAGAGGTTGAGGTGTGCTGCAGATCTTACCATTTTAATCGAAGCATCCGCCAAATTGATGAACGTTGGGCGAACGTCATCTTCCTCACCCGCCTCGTCCAGCGCGGCGGCATCCCAGAGAGAAAGAGCAGTTCCAACGAGTTGTGCATAACATTCCACCCATTGTCGATCAGAACATGGCCGGCCGTCTGCGATTTCCAGTGTTAGTCCCCGACTAAACTTTATGACCTTTGACGAGACACATACGGATATCCAAGTCATTCAACTTTAAAAAATAACCTTCGTGATATAATTTGTTGGCGTGGCTATTTAAGTGGCCAAAAATCGGTTGGAGTTCTGGCGGTGTATCTTGCGAGAACTCCACTAGCGGGGGGTTGTGCGAAAAAGAGGTCGAGCCGGGTCGTGACGAAATACGTCGTTCTGTGTTGGAGGTCACACTGATTGGCGAAGCATCAACAGGTGAAGTATCTGGGGAGGGAGTATCGGTCCTGAACGGGGGATGGTTCAAGGTTACTGAAGCCGACGCAGTCCGATGGTGTTGACTTGGGTTGTCTTTGCGAGAAGAGCCGCCGAATACCGACATCAGCGACAGCACTGGGGACAGAATACGTTGTTAGTATAGCAATCTCCTCAACAAGGGTAGGGGGGGATTTTTCTTACCACGCGAGCGACCCATGATGTCTGGACTCTGGAGTAGGATTGAAACAATAAGCTGGGGAGGATGCTAGCGGTAGGTCCACCGTACGATCTGTTGTCACTGTGATAAACAGACACAGCAGCTCGCGCAAATGAGGAAGCCAGCTGATGATGCGACAGTGTGAAGGAAGAGAACGGGTGGCTAAGAGGGTCTCGGTATGAGGCGTGTTGTCAATTGAGACCAGCTCCTTCGCACCGAATGATAGTGAGCAGGTGTCAGGGCCCGCCAAGACTAGGAACAGTGGAAGTTTGGTTCCATGAAGGTTACCCGCAGTGAATGTTGGAGGCGGAAAAGAACGGAGCGGCAAGTGATAGCGAGGAGGCGCAAAGTCAGCGTGCAAGTGCCTGTGACGAGGCCACTTGATGTCTGAAGTCCGCCGGGCGAGTCAGCGGGTCCGGGGGGTGACGAAAGTATCGCGGGATATACTTTGGTCGGTTATTTATTGCGCAGAGGAGAAGGAGAAGAGCGAGCGAGCGGAAAAGAGGAGGAATGAGATGAATATAGTCGAGTGCATAAGCTGCGTCACAAAGCGAACGGAGGGGTGACGGTAGAAAAGAGAAAAATAGAAAAGCGAAGGAGGAGAAGGGCAGAAGAAGAGAAGAGACGTACAAGAAAGGTACGGGGGGAGGGAGGGAGGAAGGGAAGAGAGAGAAGGGAAAAGGTGATACTTTACCCAGTGGGTCTGGAGGTTTGTTCAGTGAGTGTGGTAAGAATAAGTGTGTGTGTAAGTGTACCTAAAGTGTAGCAAAGTGTTTTAGTGTTAGTGTTTAGACCTTAAGTGTGTAACAGCTGAGTGGCCAAACGGTCTTTGTCTGAGACATCCCAGCCAAGCGGGTACCCTTCAATACGATCAACACGATTACCACCGCCGCTGACCAAGAATCCTGAGGAGATGAAAGGTTATAAAAGGGAGGGAAAGAAGATAATGTGCTGCCTGGAGAGAAGAGAATAGATGAAAAGATTGAACTTCATTCACAAGAATCAAATTACGTGGTTCGGAGAAAAAGTTGTCTGGATTGTGGAATGAGACCGGGGGCGCGCATGGACGGGCTGGCGTCGTCATGGGAGAGTTACTTCAACTTACTTGAGTACTACTGAGTACCACTAGAGTCGTTCAAGGCTAGTTCCCGCTCTCTTTCTTCCTCTCAGTAACTGACCAGTGACCACCTCCTGCCCCTGCCTTTCTTTTCCTTCCCTTAGTTTTCTTTCCCCCTTCCCCTCCTCGTCTAAGCAATCACTCTGTCAAAATTGATGATCGCTTTCACCTACCTATCATTCCACAATCCAATCCACCAGGCGATGGAGCGCCGTGGATCAATCGGAGAGACTGCAGCACACCATACCTAAGTAAACAATCCCTCCATTCATACTAGTCAAAGCTGAATCAGTGATTCCAATCAATATTGATCATATTGATCATTATTGTTTCTTTGCCCTGATCACGCCTCACTCCTTTCTGGTATTTTTGTCGTAATATGTATGGTAGGCTAGAGTGCCAGCCTCCCTCCCTCCTCTCTCTCTCACTCTCTTTCCTCCCCGCGTAACCAACTTTCCGCACCGTCTCCAATCATCCGATCCCACGGATACCGGAAGGCGAAAATCCCACTGAGGACAACCCAAATTTAGAAACAGCTCGCAGTCCCGGGCCCGGGCCCGGCCTGCATGTCTTGACCCACGACGATCGCCACTGGTTGGCTTCTTCTGTCCGCGCCTCTTCCTTTTCTTCTTCTCTTGCTTTCTCCCCACGAGGTGAGGAGAGAAGCGAAACTGGAAGTCGCCAAGCATAGCCGAGCCTTGCATGTTGATCATTGGTCTCTAATTTACTTACTTAGTACTTGGGAGACTGGAGTAGCAGCCACGGTGAAAATACCACTATGCCAATATTAATCCGTGGAATTTGGGGGAGGCAATCAGACCATCAGCACGGCGTATTATTCCCCTTAACTCATTCGTGGAGATGAGGACCGGTTCTTTCATTATTTATCTATGATGGTGGAAAGCACTGCCACAAAAGGCGGCGGGCTTACCGTGTCACAACAGCGTTAGAGGGTCCGCCCTGCAAAATAGCGGTGCGGAGTTACTTAACCTTAGGCAGTCGTCCACTTCAGTCACTAGTGATCAGAACCATGGACACATCGGTCGTCTAGACATGTGGGGATGTAGACAGAAAGCAAACATCGAACCCGGTGACTTGGGGCAATTGGATCGAGGACCGACAGTTCTCTGAAGTACGGTCGGTCGGTCGATCGATCGGTCGGTAGGTCAGTGAGGCTTCGTCAATCAGACACCGTATGCAGACTAGGGCGTCATTTGCTTCCTCGCCAGCTAGCTCGGAGTCAGACAAAAGGTCCTTGTCCGAGTCTAATGATTGTGGGCGGGAGGTTAGTTGCCGTCTCCCCAGAATGAGGATAATCTGCCAGGGATTGCGACAGACAGGTCTGCTGCCTGTCATTGTTGGCGTGTGTTCAAACTGGGTTGGACCGACAGCATCAACTTTATTCTACTGCTGCAGGTGATGTAAGGTCGATCGCACCTGCACGCACCATACAGGGATGATGGGTTCTTGGGTATTGTCCAGTCTGAGGAGCTTGGATCTCATCTCTGTCGTGGCACCTTCGGGGTGAGTTGGAACTTTTAGCGTGCTTTCAATACTAGCAGCTCTTATCGCCGCTAGTCTGGCCAGCACTGCAATTGCCACCGGATTCAATTGATAAATTGCGATCCTGTCTATCGAGGAGGATGCATAAGTGCATATGTATTTACTTTTTTTCCCATCAACCGCACCTGACCGGAATAGTTTCCACGATCCATGCCATGCAACTGACAAGTGCAGGCCTCACTGATGTGCATGTATTTTTAAACCCCCTTCACCGCCCGGACGCGCAAACCCCTCGCAGCGATCATTGCTGAACTGGAATGCCGCAATGTCATTGTCAGGGCGGAGGTGGATTCTGGCCCATCATGATAAGCGGTTCCAACCCCAACAGTGGAAAGCTTCTTTGTCGATCCTTGGACTGCATCTGATGGGACTCAGTTGCATTGCAAAACACTGGGTTGCTTCATGACTTACGCTTCGACTTGAAATTAACTCCCTAGTCTTTGCCTACATGGAATCGAGTGTAAGTTTTTCACGCTGCAAAATCAGTCGGTGATTCTTAAGAGCATCACTGTCGATCTGGAAATCTCTCGGTTTCATGAGGCCCAATATCGCCGGCGTGTTTCATCCTCAAAAAGCGAGGTTCCACCAACTCCACCGATATTCGTCTGAGGTGATCCAAGGTACTAAGTACGAGTATTCAGATCACCAGTCTTCACTCCGGAATCCACTTGACATGTGGGAGATCTCATACACCGGCCGTTGGAGATCCACACTTTCGAGCAAGGGCCGTGATCTGTCAGTATCAGCCCACTATGATATACTGACTGCTATGCTACTTGACCTTGTCTTTTCCACATGCATCACCTGCAGGGGCTCGACGAGCGGAGTCACTGACCTCGCCTCAAGTGTCATGTCATATCAGATCCCGCGTTCGATTTCCCCACCAGGAACTGATACAATCGTTCCGGGCGGCTTGGGGGTCGCCGGTGGCTACCTTGTAGATGTTTCGACCATAAAGTCCATATGCAAAATATCTTGATTGGCTCCATCTGCGCCCCGATATTCGGTACTAGCTCCGTAGACCTTACCTGATGTAAATACCTGGCCTGTGTCAGTATAGGCTATGCGTCCACTGAAGACACCCGACAAAGCTATATCCACTTTACTCCCCTGCTCTCTGTAACCCATAGACGCCTATCTGGTAGAAAACTCACGTTGTCTAAGCCAAGGTTCTTGTTCGGAACATGGCACCTAGCCTTGCGACCGTGACTGATTCTCCGGTTGTTTGGTGCCTGTCTGGAATTGAAGATCGCTTTAACCACCTTTCGGTTACCACAGCACCTTACAAGTTGCAGGGTTGAAACTCATGCCTTGAGTAATGCCTAAGTGCAAGTCGACGAAGTATTGCTATCGTACCCCGCGAGTCATGCCCTCGAGCGGTATATTGACCTGCTGTGCCGAAATCGAGAGTTACCACGAGGTAAAGAGGATGAATAATGCAAGCTTCATGTTTCTATACAACCCAGGTCTCTGGCAGCGACAAATTGCTTCCCAGTTCTGACTTGAATCTACTGTATACGGTCGTCGGTCTTAGACTGACAGGATCCGTGCCAAGGTGTGAATAGGGACAATACGTATTGATTGTCGATTTCATTCAGTCCGCTAACAGCGCCTTTCTTTGTATGCCGGATGAAGAAAGGATCCATCTGCGTTGGCTGTCCTTTGACCTCTTTGATTGTGGAAGCGACAGTTAAGGTAGATGTTTGCTTGATCAGTTCATGCCTCAGGACACCGTTAACAGCCATGTCGACTAAGCGATCATTAGGGAACAAGCGGAGCACGCCAGGCTCACTGATTTTCTAGTAGACTCACAGCCTGAGGTACTCCATGTTGAACCTTTGTGTTTGTTGTTTTCAACTTCCATCTATTCTCTTCCTCATCTTCCTCTTTTCTCTTCTGGTTCCTTTCTGTCTCTGCCCTTCACCATCCTCTTTATTAGTATCAACACCTTCCCCTTCAGAAAAGCACGCACCCATCCCCTTGTTCGTCATCCATTAGCTATCGTTAAAGAGCGTGTGTCTCCCCGAAGCGCTACAGTCTTCTGACTGAGCCTTCGGGAGATCCATAACGCTCGGCCTGAGTTCTTTTGTCTGGCTGCCTTTGGACTGTTGTCGATCTTCGCACGGCGTGTCGAACGACAAGTCTACCCTATAGTCGATTTTGATCTAGTCAACTTTGTCATATCTCATTCCCATCAATTTATTTTGCTCAGCATGGCGGACTACTTCACCTACGTGCCGGGTGGTCCTAACTGGACGAGCACGCAGCCCATGGACATCATCGTCGATGAACCATACCACTGTGCCATGACCGAAGAAAAGGAGCAGGAGATTGTGGAGGCCGAAAACGAAAAGCTCGATCAGTTGCAGGCCAAGTTCACCAGAGGCTTCGACCCGTCCACCTTTGGCAACGAAGTGATCTCGGCTCTCCCCAGTCTCGCACGCTCCACATTTCCTGGGACCTATGAACATTTTCTGATGTTGTTGTTCACCACAGACGACGAGATGCATGACATGCAAGTGCAGCTCGAGCAATGGTTGCTGCAGCGCTATGGACAGGTTTTCGACGACGGCATCCCGCGGATCGAGACGAACATCGCCGACGAGACCTATTTCGCCGTCGAGATCGAGACACTGAGAAGACTGCTCGAGCCTTTGCGTGGAGACTGTGCGAGTCCAGTCTACTGGCATAATGCCAGACGGGCAAGCCCAACGAAAGCTCGGAAGCAACTGGAGGCGTCAATCAAGGTGGTCAACGTGTTCAAGAAGGACCTCATCGCGGCCATCCAGTTCGACCCCCAGGAACGTAAGTCTACCATCCGACTCTCAAGCCCTCATATCGGGGTCTCTGGTACTAACAATGACTTGCAGGCAAGATCGTTAACCCTCTCCCGATCTCGGTCGAGCGCTCGGCCTTCGTGAGCTTGAAGCAGATTCGCACCGACGCGTGCAAGGGCACACTGTATTGGGACGAGTATAATCAGAGCAGCCTGGTCCTTACCCTGTTCTACCATGCATACAAGGGGCTCGTCTGCCGCACCAACCCAACCAAGGCACGCAAATGGGGTTGGCTGCCGCCCGAGACGCTTGAGGCTCCCCGTCCATCGAGCGCGCAGGCATGTCTGGGAGATCTCGCCCACTGGCCGCTCAGACAAGAGGGCAATAACAAGTACGATCTGCTCATCCGGACCGCGCTCTGGCTGGCGCTGGGAAGAGGTCTCCCCGCCGTGCATCTATTCTGTGATTGTGCCAGAGTCTTCACATCTCTGATGCCACCCGAGCATGCGAGCCCGAAGGGGATTGTCTTCCTGCGCCGTCTAACCCAGCTTCGTCTACCCGTGGAGGCCATTCGATCCAATCTTAAAGTTCCGGTTCCATTCCAGAAGCGGTCCCTGAAGAGTGATAACCACGAGTACTTCGAGGACGTCTGGCGCTCCGACCAGGACCTGGAGAAGGACTTGGCTCGGAACGTCACCCTGTATGGGATGGACACGGCGAAAGCCGTCCGTCAAGCAAGACCCCCTCCGCCTCGCCGCTCGTTCAAGCGACAGACCCAACTCATCAAGGACGCTCTCACCGTGGAGGAGGACTTCACGCACGTGTGGCCACGCAAGGATGCGGCAAGTAAGCTCTCCTCATTAATCTGTTCAGCTGGTCTAACACGTTCTACACGTCCATAGATCCCCGTGCAGCCTCGTCTCCCCACTGTTCCCGAGCCTGTTTGGAAGCCCCAACCTAAGCCGGTCGAGCCGGATATTTTCGACGAGGGAGAATACGTTACGGTTCTCATCTGAGCTGCAAGAAACCTCGCATTTTCCAGCCGGTCAGAGCTTCCTGTTTCGAAGTCAAGATCTCATCCACCTATCGACCTCAAAACCGTCCATTCTCCTCTCTTGCCCCGAACATCACCGAAAAACCCTCCACCCTCGATCATATCCTTCGGTTCTCCCAGCCCTCCCCCCGTAAAGAAAACCCCCCACTCAGAGATGGAAAAGCAGAGACTGGCACGTCATCAATTCCAGACCACGAGCCAACCTAAGTCCCTCCACCTCCATCACCGAGTATCGAAACGGTCCAATAACCGATAAAAATGTTTTCAAGTGTTTCCTATCTATCACCATAAAAGCCAGCCATTTTCCACCCCATGCCTCAGGAATATTCTATTGTCTTTTTGTGTCTCTTCTCGACGAATTCTTGATCTCCCAGGAAATGCCAATATGTCATCCATCTATCCATGACAGTCAGCGCGAGACCTAGTTGGATTGATAGATAGTTTTTTGAGATTGAGACAAGAAAGATCGTACTTGATTCCAGGGCCCTTGGAGGAAATTGCTTCTTTATTTCTTTCATGTATGTAATCAGAAAACTACCTAGTCAAGGAAAAGACCACTTAAGGAGATGTGAAAACGCGGGCGAGACGATTGTTGCTTGGTGGCGAACACATCTTGCTCTGCGTTTTCTCATTTTTTTGGGGTTGGTGAGTGAATTCACCGGTTGGTGGTTTTGTTCCATGGGGTTGTTAGAGGGATGTGGATGTTTTGCGATGCTGTGCTTGCATAAAAGAATGGTAGTTGATATTGGTGGTCTTTTGAATTCTACTCTTGCAGTTGACGTACAGGTGATATTTGTTCTTTCTTGAGGGTCTGTGGCTGGTATATCCTGAAGCTGTGAGGCTTTGTACATACAACACAGTGTTTGTTCTTGAAATCTCTCCTCTTCCTCTCCCCCACCCCTCCTCTCTCTCTCTCTAAATGTTTCCCTTGGCCAGTGAAACAACAGAGCAAGAAATGAAAACACATACAACAGAAGGGATTTGCTGGTGGTCACCCACCCAACTACAAGCCATCGTCATCACTTCACCATTGAATCAGTCCTGCTCCCATCGACACTCCAAATCTTCAACCCCATCACCTCCCATGAACCCACCACGCCCCCACCAACCCCATCACAGCAAAAACCACCGCCCAACGCACCAACCCCCGCTTAATATGATAAGCAGCCACGCGATCAATCGCCTTGGAATCATTAATTCTCGGGAAGGGAATATCCTTAGGAACCTCCTTGCCCAGAGCCCGACACAGCGGCTCCCACCCGTCCTTGACACTGAAAAACACCAACTGATCCGCAGGCACCACCTCTTTCAACCACTCGAGATGCCGGTCATAGATCCAGGCATTATCACGACTAGCATTGTAGATCCGATCCCACTGGCGCTGCAGCAGGTCGATATATGTCACAAAGTACCGCATCCCCGGTAAGGGGAGCAAAACCGCCCCCAAAAACCACAGCTGGGCCAGGGAGCTGATCTGCTGCATACTCTGCACCCAGCTGTCGCGATCGCGCACGGTCACGATCACTTTGGCGTTGGGATAGAGCTCTAGAAGTTCAGGGACAAATTGGCTGGCCGGGGCGTCGGTGATGGCGGCGTAGCCGGCGGTGCGGGCGCGCAGCAGCTGCAGGACTTTGGACTTGTTGTCGCCCGCGAGCCAGGTGCGCAGGATGGTGTTCCACGACTGGATCTCAACGGGGGGTCCCATGGTGGTTTGCGTGCCCCCGTGGTAGACGGGGGCGTCCAGCAGGATTTCTAGGGCTGCGGTGAAGGATGCGGTTCCCGTGCGGGAAAGCCCGGCCCCGATCACCTGCAGGTCGGTGCCGGGGCGGGGGACGGATGCTTGTTGCCCCATGTTGTTGTTTCACTTGAACGCAGATGGGAGTAAAGATTGTGTTCGATGTTGCAGTTAGGGGTGGTAGAGGTGAACTTGGGTTCAAATAAATGCCCCTGAGGTGCCTCTTGTTGGGGATGAGGTGATGATGAGCCAGTGCTGGAACAGGGCTAGTGCTGACTGCCACTACAGGGGTATAAATGTATAGAGTGACACCTGACTTATACTTACTACTAGGATAAATTAGTAGGACGCTATTTCATATTACGTTGAGTACGTATATGTATGTACAGTACAAGGGCTACAAGAAGTCATGAGCCAGCTCATTTATTTTGATATACCTATCTTTTTCGCATTATAATTACTCTATCAGAACTTTAAAATTTACTTCCTGTGATGGTTGCTGCATCTTAGACACTTATCCTGGGCTGCATGAGAAGTTATTCTCTGTATTGCCTGCATATGCTGATGCTAAGTCTGCTAGACTGAGCTACAGGTTGTATTACCCTCTTCCATCATCAAATCCTTACACATACGGGCTAGTCAAGGCAGGAGAAGAGAATCAACAGAGAGATTGAAAATATTTGCCATGCCATTCTTAATGCAAGTCCACATGCTCCACATAGCCATAAAGAGCCCCGAAATAGAATGTCAAATACATCAGTCTTAAAACTTATCCCGCCAGGTTATTAAACTCCAACAAAGGATCAATCATCGCCAAATCATCATCAACAGTCGCACGCGTCGCGCTGGGTATCTTGGAATCAATATCGTGCATCAAGTCATTATCGGAGGCGAACCCTCCCGCCGCGTAGCCACCGACAAGGTCTCCACCATCAAACGGCCCTGCAACCACCGGCTTCCCACTGAGGTGGTACGGCTCGTACCCCGTTCCATCGTCGTCGTTGTCAAACTCTAACCCGTACAACCCAAACAAATCACCCATCATTGCCGCCGTCATCGTGTTCGCAGCAGCAGCAGAAGGAGCGGACTGCGGCGCGCCGTCATCCGCCAACAACAAAGCCCTCTGCATGAACATATCCCGGATTTCATCCTCCGAGCACCCGTGCCTACTTCCCATGTGCACCCAGAGATCGTAGTTCCGATGGAAGCGGTGCGCGCATCCTGCCTCCAAGCACAGGATCTGGCGGCCCGTTTCCTCGGCGTAGCCGGCTCCCGTCAGGGCCGCCAACGCCGACGGCCCTGTGCCGATGCCGCCTGCGGCTGTGCTACCGCGCTGCTGACCGGAGGCCTTCGGCGCCAAGCCCAACCGCTGGCGCCGTTCCGCCTTGGCGTTCGGGAAGCCCATGTGCGCCGTGCGGATGTGTTCCTCCAGGGCGAGCTTGCTGCCGTAGCGTTTGCCGCAGCCGTGGGCCGCACCGCCGGGCCAGCCGGCGACGCGCTTCGAGGCTGACAGGTCGGTCTCGCCGCAGACAAACCGCTTCTCGCCTTGGTGCACGGTGCGCACGTGCACGGTCAGGTTGCCCTTTTTGGTGAAGCTGCTGTCGCAGCCGGGGACGGTGCAAGGGAAGACCTTGCGGTCCGAGAGGGGGACGTTGCCGTGGGCGACTTCGAGGTGGCGGCGGAGTTCGCGCGTGGTGGAGCAGGTGAGTGGGCAGTGCGGGCATTGCGGTGGATGCACGGTGCGGATGTGGGCTTGGAGCAAGGCGTAGGTTGGGAAAGTTGTTGTTTCGGAAGAGCTTGAGGAGTTGGTGGTGGGCTGTTCAGTATCCGCACGTTGAGCGCACTCGGCGCAGGTAAAGCGTTTCTCGCTGTGGACTCGACTTTCGTGCGCGCGGAGATGTCCTGCTGTGTCGAATGCCATGGTACATTGTTGGCCCGTGGTTGAGTCGACGTGCGTGCACGGAAAGGGTTTCTTGTTGAGGTGGACACTGAGGATGTGTTTCTGGAGTGTCGTGTGTTTCCGGAAGGTCTCCTCGCATGGCGGATATTCCGTGCATCGGTACTTGTCTCGACCGTCGTGCGCAGCCAGGTGTCGTCGGAGACGTGAGCCTGTGACGAAACTCTTCCCGCAGCCTGGACGTTCGCAGACGTAATCGCGAATCCCGGTATGGGCGCTTTTGACGTGGTGGTTCAGATGAGACGCACGGAGGAAATTCTTGTCGCAGTCTTCGTGAGGGCATTGGAAGAGTCGCTCATTGTTGTGAGAGCGTAGATGTTCTTGGAGTCGTGCTGGACGGTTAAAGGCCTTAGTACAGCCGTCGAAGGGGCAGCGGTGAGTCTTCAGCTCCGAAGGATATCTAGAGGATGTTGTTGACATGGGCGTCCCGGGCGTTTCTTGAAGACTCTCGCCCGCTTCACTGTCACTACCCGAAGAGGCATACTCGGCATCAGAGTGTTTTTCTTGATAAATCGGATCTGAGTTGTGAGTATTAGTATGGAGTGTTATCGCAATAGCGGTATGTTCTCTATCGTACCGACATAACCGTCCAATGTTGTTTGCTTCTGCAGCCTCTTCGGGCTTGGGAGATCCCCGGACGCCTTTCTTTTCTGGCTCATGATCTCGTCTTCTTCAGCCTCATCCACCCAAAATGCTAGATAGCATAATAAGGATGACGGGATGAAGCATGGATGATCTCGAAACAAGAGAAAAAAATAGATAACGTAGCCCTGCAGAATAAATTTTGCCAAAGCGGTGAGAGATAGCTTCCTAAAGTGGACTAGTGTCAGTTCGAGAACACAGGAACTTTTTCCGCCTTTTGGAGGGCCGCAAACTACGATTTCTGCACCTCAACAAAGCAAAGGCTGTCGCATCGTTCCTTGTCTCGCCTCAACTGATCCGGTCGCAGTCTCGGCACCTCCTTCTCGTCTATCTTATAGTCAACTTTCTATCTTGGGTCTTGATTGATCTGGATCGGCACCATGTCTGACTACGGTGATCACGGCGATGAGGATAAGTAAGAGCTCTCTCGATATGGCTTGCAGCTAGAATCGCGCACCCGGAGGGTCCGCGCAACTAGTGGAAAGCTGTCTTTCTGTTTCAAAGAGAGAGTTTGATGATCTGACTTCGATCTTCTCGTATCTGCAGCTACGACTACGACCCCGCGGAGCAGGAGTACGATGACAACGAGCCCGAGGATTTCATCAACCCCGAAGATGTGGATGTCGCTGAGGGAGCCGACGACTATGGCGAGTCGTATGCGCCGGCTGTGAACGGTGACCGCGTCGTTGTCTCGGGCGACCCGAATGCCGGTTATTCAGGCAAGGTGATGGAGCAGTCGCGGGAGAAGAAGGTGCCCAACGACCAGCGCACAACGACCCCATACATGACCAAGTATGAGCGGGCGCGTGTCCTGGGTACCCGGGCTCTGCAGATCAGGTAGGCTTCGGAACTGGCGTCGAACATTCTGGGGGAGTGCTAGGTGAATCTGACCGTGCTATCAGTATGAACGCTCCGGTGCTTGTCGATCTCGAGGGTGAAACGGATCCTTTGCAGATCGCCATCAAGGAACTCAACCAGAAGAAGATTCCTCTCATCGTGCGGAGATATCTTCCTGATGGATGGTAAGCGCGACTTTCGAGCCATTTGCACCCGAGTGCCACGTCTAACCGTCGTTGAACAGGTATGAGGACTGGACGTGTGAGGAGCTGTTGTAAAAAAGGTGGAAACGGTATGGATGGCTGTACATTGATAACTGGTTCTTCTTGTCTTTTCTTGCTTTATAATTGTCACGGTCTAAGTGTTTCTCCCCTTGGGCAGCATAGCGTTTGGAGTTTCGGAGTAGGGAAGCGAGCCAGAAAGGCTTGAACAATCCCTAGGTCACTAGGACGAGCGCAAAAAAAAGACTCATCAGTATAACGCACTGCAGTTTATAACGGTAAAATACGAAAAAAAAATCCATTGATGTTGATAAACTTCCTCAATGCTTGGGTCCTAACAGCTAGACCTGACGTATGACATTTAATATGGCACACTTTCAGCGCAATTAGACCTATACAGTCTGTCTAATAACCAAGAGCAGTTGCACTGACTATCTGAACTCCTCGACTTATGTTGTTGTAGGGATATTTAGTGACATGGCGCTTATTCGAGGTTATTGCTTTGTATGAATAAGCCATGATGCCTCGTGTAGGTCGTTATATGCATTCACCGTACTATAGACGGGGTATCCATGCATCACTCGATCCGCCCAAGGAGCGGCATATGACTTATCATGTAAAGCACGATGCGCCAGCTCACCAAGCCAAACGTGTATTGGGGTAATTTCGATCATTGGCGCGCATATTCCGAGCCCAAAATCTTATCCCAATTCAGATCCCGGTCTCGATCTACAAGCATATCCCGAGCTCGCTTCGGAATAGTCCCAGCTAGAGTATGACACAAGATGTGCAGAGGCAGGCAAGATCCCCGGCTGCTAACATGACTCAACCATCAAGGAGGTTAGTCGGTGGCAACTGAGAAGAAGGATTGCTGCAGAAAATTTTACAGCCCAGTCATAGATCGATGCAGAAAATTGTTGTTGTGCTGCTGCACGAATGGATGCAGTGCCCGTAGTTGGTTGGTTGCAGTTGAGATGCAGTTCTTCCGTCGGCTGGCAGAAAACTCCGCCTTCTTACCTAAGACTACTTACCTACCGATCTTGTTCGTTCTTTCTCAGAACACTCGATCCCTCTCCCAGATCCATACTTCATATCATACTTTAGTGTATTGCCTCAACCTCGTGCATCAAGTTTGCAACCCAGTGGCGGGGACATGAGGAAGTTATACCATGATAGCCGGAATGGCCTGCCTGTTTAAGGCAAGTGGAGTAAGTGTCCACGGTGTGTGCGTGTCTGAAAAAGTCGGTTCGTGCCGTGGTCTTAATCGTTGACTCATGATCCACCCGTATCAACCAGTGCCTGTGCAGGACCAGGGTAATCTGCTGCATCATGAAATTCAAATTAATCGGTCTAGTCTCGACTTTCCAGAGCTTGAGACTTGAGATCCTTCTCCGCCTGGATAACTCGGCACGCTGCTGACCCCTGTTCCTCGCCAACCTGCACCTGGATCGTCCTGCTTATGCACGGGCTCCATGCCATAATTTGGCGACAGTAAGGCCGTCCGGATGCACGGCAGTGACGGCACAGGATTGTGTGCTTTTTGCTCCAAAGTTAAGATCTTGGGGTTATGAACCATACCCCTCCTTTCCGTCATCTGACGAACGCTTCGACCCTGGGATGGTAGCATCGCTAATGCTAACTATCCCCGAGATAAGATGCGGTCTCTGGGCCCTGGGGAAATGGATTTCCCCCTCGGCAAGAGTCTCCATCGCTTGTTCGGAACCCACCCGTCGGACAACCAGTAGGATTATTAAGATATCTCCCTCCGATGGAGCCGTCAGGCCATTGGCACTCATATTCACTCGTTACTGGTTGTTCGACCGTCTCCAAGTCGCTGGGGTCGGCACGGCTTGGCCAAGTTTGGGTGGACCCCTGGACGGCTTTTTTCAAAAGCAGTCTACTTCTTTTCTACTTTTCTAGCTTCCAAGCTTAGTCTTAAGGCGTGTCCCCTCCCCGGTGCTGTTGGATTGTGGGAAAAAAAAATCAACATTATTAATCATACTCCGCCGCCATTCACCTGGTTCAACAATCTTAAATTAAAAGCAACAGCAGTGTCTCACGTCTGTTTGCGGGGTCTCTATACTTGTGTCACTACACGACTGCCGCGGCCGTGTCAAGATTGCAAACGCTGTCGGTCTTTCCCTCTACCTTACCTTTGGTGCTGACTATCCACTCGACGATTTCCTCACTCCCCAGAATAATCGTCGTGGAAGATGGGAATCAATGCTGATCTGAAGGAGAAGGTCTCCGCAGAGTCTCCCGCCACCACTGATCAGAATGGCAGTCACACGGTCACTTCCTCCCTGTCGGATGACGAACCCCCAGAGCCGACCTTCGATACCGGCTTGATATCATGGATTCAAGTGATAGGATCTTGGCTCTTGTTCTTCAACTCATGGTATGCTCTACCTAGTATGTTGCTTTCTTTGCGGAGTGCTGACTTAGTCCAGGGGAGTGATTAATACCTGGGGCGCATATCAGACATACTATGAAGAGAATACATTAAAGCACATGTCCTCCTCGTCGATCGCCTGGATTGGCTCGCTGCAAGCTTTCCTTCTGATGCTTTTTGGGGTGGTGACGGGCCCTCTCTTTGATGCGGGATATTTTCGTGCGCTTCTTGGGTTCGGGACCATTATGCTGCCCTTCAGTCTCATGATGACCAGTCTGTCGACCAAGTTTTGGCAATTGATTCTGTGCCAGGGGGTCCTACTCGGTCTATCCGCCGGATGTCTCTTCGTTCCGTCTGTCGCCATCCTACCCCAATATTTCAAACAGAAGCGAGGATTAGCCAACGGTCTGGCAGCCTCAGGGAGTAGCATTGGTGGCGTGATCTATCCCATCATGTTCAATAAAATACAAGAGCGAGCTGGCTTCGAATGGGCTACCCGAGCCGTGGGCTTTCTGTCTTTCGGGACCTGTTGCATCTCGTTCTGCATCATGCGCATGCGATTCCCTCCCAAGGAAAAGCGCAAGCTCGTCCAGCTGTCTGCGTTCAAGGAGCCAGTCTTCACCATGTTCTGCGTCGGATTGTTCTTGGGTTTTCTCGGATTCTACAACTTCCTTTTCTACATCCAGTCGTATGCCATCGAAACGAAGATCGTCGATGCCAACCTGGGCTTCTACTTGCTTTCCATGCTGAATGCGGGCTCGACCTTTGGCCGAATCTTCCCCAACTTCCTTGCCGATCATATTGGCCCCATGAACGTACTTCTGCCTGCTGCCACTGCGACGAGCATCCTGGCTTTCGCATGGATCGGGGTCCACAACGTTCCCGGTATCATCATTCTGTCTGTCTTGTACGGTCTCTGTTCCGGTGGCTTCGTCTCTCTCCCGCCCGTGGTCATGGCTTCCATAACCAAGGACATTCGCGACTTGGGTACTCGTCTCGGTATGCTGTTCGCCGTGACTTCGGTCGGTCTGTTGATTGGAACTCCAATTGGCGGCGCTATTCTCAGCAACACTGGGCATTACTTGGGGGTGCAGCTCTTTACTGGGTGTTGTCTCATTACCTCCTCGGTCATCTTTGCGGCCCTGCGATACTCTCGCACCGGTCCTCATCTACTGGTACGAGCTTGAAGTCTGTCCTCCATGGAGAATCAAGCAAGATAGGGGTCCTTTCAGCGACGAGCGAGCGATCCTCCCCCACTTGGCTTTCGAGCATAATATCTTATCGAAGGGCTGCATTTTGGTCAGTAGCATTCAAGCTGCATTGTTGGGTCATGCTCTTCATCTTGCATAATAGGGAAGCAGGCGTTCAAGATAAAAGAATTTGTTCCTCATTCACGTGAGAATATTTGATGCAGTACATGACTAGGATACATTACTCATAATGCATATATGATTACTGTTTTGTGTAAATGCATCCGCCCGTTTACTAGTTAGTCTATGTATGGAACCGAGTCACAACAGTGACGTATTGTCTGTCCCACCTACTTAAGGCTCATAACAAATGCCGTCTAGATCGAATCCAAATCGCCAACGCCGTAAACACCAAGCTTTTGAAACCCAACCACAGAGCAAGCATCTCACAGAACAACATCCCCGCCAACACTCACACACTTGACACAGCAGTGGCTACCGACCCTCTAGCCAAACCCTCCTAATCCCTCCCCCTCCGCAATCACGAAACATCCACCGGATCAACCAAGAACTCCTCCCCCTTCTCCCGAATATGCTGTAATTTCTTATCGCGACTGCACGGCTTGCGCATATCGAATGCATCCTCGCCCGTCTCCGACATCCCCGACGGATCATCACTATAATACCCGACCACGCGCCGGAAGACCGAGTACCTGTGCCGCACACCTCGTTAGCACCGCCAAAGATCCCGCCCCAACCCATCCTTCACCAAGAGAGAAACGGGGAAATAGATACGCACCCCATGCCCTTATACATATCCACAGCGACCTTATTCCCGGCGCGCACGTACAGATCCACGAACCAGGCGTCGTTGATGTCGGAGCCCCGCTCAAGGCGTTCGGTGAGGCGCCGGGCGTGGCCCAGCCGGCGCCATGCCGGCGCCACGGTCAACACGGTGATATGGCCGTGCCAGGGGGTGTAATGTTCCGAGTGGCGCATGTGGGCGGGTTGTTCTTCGAGCTTGCCCATGACTTTTTTTTTAGGAGTGTGTTATTAGTGGCATGTGCTTTTTGTTGTTGTGATGTATTGTTTGTTGCTGGTGGGAGGAGGGGGTTCGCGTACTGTAGCCGACGATTCCTTCTTGACGGTCTTGCACGCTGCTAAAGAGGGAGGGCCAGCGCATTAGGTAGTTGAGGTAGAAGCCCAGGTCGTAGTTCTCGGTTAATGGGTCCAGGTTTGTGAGGTTGAGGGAGAGGAGGTCCGTTGGGGACATGCGGCGGATTGAGGACATTGTGCTGTTTGTTGTCTAGAAGGGTATGAGAGATAATATGCAAGAGTATGACAGAGAATTGAAGAGGAATGGGAATCGAGTTGGAGAGAGCAATTGAATTTGGTGCGGGGAAGAGAATGAGGGCGATGATCAAATGCGAGGGAGGAGGGGCGGTAATCGGGGGCTTTGGGCGGTCACGGGGCAAAAAGAAACAGAGAGAGAGAGAGACAGGCAGACAGGCAGCCAGTTACTCCATACAAACTTATCCATCTCTCCCTCCCTCCCTTCTTACTTACTTTAACTTCCCCCTCGTTCATGCTTCCTTCTAACGACTAAACTTCCCCACCAAGATTCAACCGGCTGCTCTCTCTTCCCTGTTGCTTTCCTGTCACTCATTCTCCTTTGCCTCTCTCTTCTTTTCTCCTCCTGAGCATTTGGGGCATCCTGGTGATGCGGTCGGCGATCCTCCCATATTGACTTTCCCCTGTTGTTTACCCCCGTTGGCTGCCCGCCCCAGCCCACTTGACGAATTCTGAGACGACCACTTTTCTCTACCTGATAAAACATAGAACATTCCCTCCTGAGAACTATTCAGACTACGGACTTTTCAAACACGCAACCATTCTTCTCAACTTATCAAACCACAATCATGCCGTCCATTCCTCCTCCCCTGACTCTATCTCACCGCCATACGCGGAGTCGATCATCCAACATTGATTTCGACCCTATTTCACCAGGCACCTACGCTCCCAACGGTTTCTCCTACCAGTCGCCTCGGTCGCCTCATACGCCTCGTTCATCCGCTCCCCCCTCTCCCGTTGACTCCCGCCCGCAGCGCGCCCACAGCATCAATGAATCGCACCGCATGTCGGTCGACTTCGGCGGCGCGGCCGGTGGAGGCGGGCTGGGCAACTTAGCAGACGAACTGGCCGACGCATGGGAGGAGGAAGAAGGAGGTTACGGATACGCCTCGGGGCAGGACGCTGGTGTCCCCGACGCACAATACGCGGACCACAGCGAGGACGAAGCTGCATACAACCACCACGCCCGCACTCCGTCATCCGGATACTCCCCCGAGCGGAATTCCACACTGCAACCGCCCCGTCCCAAAACGCGAAACGGCACTCAACGACAACACCGACGATATGAGTCACAGTACGATGGCTCCGACTACGGTAATGACTCGGACTTCGAGGAATCGGATATGCCCCCGAGTCTGGAAACGCAGATGGCCGAGATCGAGAGCCTGGCTCGAAGAGGCATTGAGAACAACGGCAGTGAGAACGACTATGTGATCCAACGGACGGTGGAGGCGTTGCGGGATTTAGGCGCGCAGAGTGGCATTGAGAATAATGCAATGAGGTATGCTAGCTTTCTGTGTTGGTGTTGATGGAGTAAATGCTGACAGAAGGTCTCCAGACTTATCACCGCTCACTCCTCCATCACGTCGCATCTCACACACCAAACCCGGGCCCTGCAAAACCTTATTCACCCTCTCCTATTCTCACCTTTCCCGCTCCTTTCTGACGATGCCATTGACGCGCTCATCCCGCTCATCGACGAAGAACTTCTGCCTAACCTCCCCTATCCTTTCCCCGACCAGCCACGTCACTCCTCCCGACCCACCACCCCCTCCCAAGCCTCGACCCTCAACCCACTCGTCTCCCTCCAAAGCCTCGTCTCGCAGACCTCTGACATCACCCTCTCCCTCCGCGGTCTGAGCGATACACTGTACGAATCGCGACAACTGACCTCCACAGCCTCGAGACGACTCCGGTCCGCACGGGAACTGGTCGCGGAGCTCCGCCGGGAAGAAGAGGGCCGCGAGGAGGGAACCCGATGGATCGAACGCGGAGACTGGGACCGACGCCTCCGCGACCGGGAAGCCGGTCGTGTCTGCGGCGACGTGGTCAGCGGTTTCGAGGCTGTCTGCGGCGAATGGCGGGAGAAGCTCTTTGGTGCCGCCGGAGCTACCGCTGCTACCACTGGCGCAGAAGTAGCTGCCGCGTGATGATACCTTACCTCTAAAAGATACCGCATTAAGTGAAGGGGCCCCCCTTCGCATCTCGACAAATTCAAAACAAAGTTTCATGTTGCTGCTTGCTATACGCATATCATGGATATCTTTTGGCACTATCACAAAACCCCCTACCCCCTCCCCTTTTTCTTAGCTTCTGTTCATTTCTTCATTTCTTCTTCCAGTATATATAGATATTACCTTGATCCCTATCTATTTCTTTTCATCTTCACCTGAGCACCTTCTTTGCCATGCCCAGGAAAGGAATGGGCATGATAATTGCTGGCTTGGTTCTACTTCATCTTGTTTCTTCCATCTTTCGCCGGTCGAATCTAGACTTTTTGCTATTTATCTTCTCTCTCGACTCCACTAACCTCAGTTCTTCATGCTTATCCTTGCTTCCTTTATTTGGTGTGACTGACTTACAAAGCTTCATGTCATTGATTCCAATTGATGAACAGAGAGATAGACAAACTGGACGGACAGGTAGAGACGAAAAAGCACATTTATACTATCTAAACACACAAAGAAACGTTTTGTTTACTGCTATCTATCGCTTTCGGCAGAGCCCGATCAAGTAAACCACACCCCTGAAACTGACTACCGAGTCTCTGGTCTAAATCAGCATGCTCCTACGTAATAGCCCAGGATGACTTCCTACTAGGTAGTCTGTTCTCGCCCGCAACCGGGAAAGCTAGCCCAACCCAGCCAAAGAAAGACGGTCCACGCGTAGACTAAGCCAGCCTCAAGCACCAGCGCCTGGCATAATGGATTACAAAAGCTTAAACCGGGAAGTTCATGAATGTAGTAGAACAAAAAGACCGTGAAATGTAGGTAGGTATGCATCTAGTCAACATTGGAAAATATGCCCAGTATAGCAAAAGAAAAACAGATTAAATAAGAAAGAGAAAAAAAAAATGATAATGAGAAGCAAGCAGAAGACTAACTTAACTACACTTTGTCGAGAAAAGAAAGAATTTCACCACCCCGTGAATCCTTTTTTTGGATTCTCGAAAACAAAATTCATATCCTAGGATTCCATGTAAAGAGGTAGGTAGGGACGGAAGAGGGGCAAAAGAGGGAGGGAAATGGACACGACGGTATCTTTTGTCGGGGAGGAAAGAAAACCACAAGGAGGGGGTAGAGCAGAAGTAAAGAGGTGTACTGGAGAATACGGAAGAGGGAGAGTAAGGGGGTAGGTAGGAGGTTGGAGAGGGAAACAAAGATGGAGATATTTCATCATCATCATCATATCAATCGCGCGCGCGCACACACACACATACACACATACACGCCCCTTATCTGCAATGAGATTTTTTTTTCTTGGTCCCAGAAAAAGAAAGAACTTTTAGAATCAAAAGTCGGTCATGTCATGAGAGGAAAGAAAGTAGCTAGTAGGAAGGAAGAGCGAGAATATCTACTGGCCGCCCTGCTGCTGCTTCCATCTGGGCACCCATTTACCACCACTACCCGAGGCGGGCTTGGCCTCGTCGGAGGCGGGAGTCTGAGTGCGGGAGGGAGGCTGGGAAGAGCTGGAGTCGCGGGCGTGACGGGGCACCCACCGCTCCGACGAGGGGGCGGCAGCAGCGGCAGGAGGAGCCGGGGCGACAGCCGGAGTGGCATTGGCGCCCGCACGGAGGTGAGGAGGCACGTAACCACCGGTGCGACGGAGAGGCTGAGCCTCTTCCCTGGCGGCGGGAGCGGGCTCCGCGGGGGCGGCGCTGCTGGGGGTGCCAGCAGCCTCCTTGGCGGCCTGGCGGTCTCTCCAGCCACCACCGCCACCACCAGCTGTGCGAGGAGCCAGATTGAGACGAGGAGCAGTGCGTTCAGTGGGAGCAGCGGCAGCGGGCTCGGGCTCGGGAGCACCGGTCTTACGGGCCAACCGACGAGCCTCAGCTTCCTCTTCACGCTGTTTCTGTCTGGCAGCCATCTCATCGAGTCTCCTGTAGAGTGAGTTAGTAAGATAAGGACCACCACGTACGATGAACGGGGATACTGACTGTCTCTCCTCCTCGCGCTTAACCTTCTCTTCGGCCAGAACACGTCTACGCTCTTCTTCCTTGGCCACTCTCTCCTCCTCTTCGCGCTGGATGCGCTCTTCCTCCTCCTGGCGACGGCGCTCCTCCTCCTCACGCTCAGCCTTCTCACGACGGCGACGCTCCTGGACCTCCTTGATGCGCTGCTTCTTCTTGGCCTCGAAGTCGCGCTCAGCAGCCTTGCGGCGCTTCTCGAACTCCTCGTGGCGCTTCTCGGAGACCTCCTTGCGGAAGCTGTTGAATTGGGGCACCAGGCGGCTGAGACGGTGCTTGAGGGCAACGGCCTCCTTGTGCTTGTCTTCGGCCTCCTCGAGCGTCTGGGCCTTCTGGGCCTCGTAGAGCTCCATATCCCGCTTCTTCTGATTCTCGTAGTCCTCGGGGATGTGCTTGAGTTCCTCACGACGGAAAGCACGCTCCAAGTGGTCAATACGCTTGGCAGTGGTGCGAACGCGGTCATTGAGCTCGTTCTTCTCCTTCTCCAGCTGAGCCAGCTTCATAGCACGAAGGCTGTTGGCGTCCAGCTCGGTCAGGTCGAGCTCGCTGATATCAATGCCCTTCACGCCACTCTTCAGCTCCTCCAGCTGCTTCTTGAGCTCCTGCTGGCGGATGCGCTCCTGCTCATCCTGGATGCGCTTCTTCTCACGCTCGCGCTGTTCGTCCGCCAGACGCTGTTTCTCCGCTTCCTGAAGCTGCTGAGTGCGGATGCGCTTGCGGGTCTCCTCCTCGCGCTGCTTGCGCTGCAGAGCGTCGGTGGCGGCCTCCTTCTTCTTCTCGATGACGACACGGCGAGCCAGGGTCTCCTCGTGCTCCTTGGCAGCACCGGCCGCAGCACGAGCGAGAGCGGCGCGCTTGGCCTCCAGACGAGATTCGCTGTAAGAGGGATCGACGTACATGCAGGTGACATGGAGAGTCTTGGCCAGGCGAGTGAGCTGCAGGCGAGCGATCTCGGCGGGGGTGTTCTGGAGGCGCTGGACGGAGCCGACCTCGCTCTCGGCAGAACCGGCGGCGCTGCTGGGGTGGAGAGCCTTAGCGGAGGAGAAGACATCGGTGTCGAAGGTGAGGACGCCAGAGGTGTGGTCCACGCGGATGGCCAGATCGCCCTTCTTGCAACCGTTCATGATGAACTTCTCGATCATGGAGGGGGTGATCTGGAAGGGGTCGGGGAACTGGGCCAGCTCGTAGACGAACTTGAGCTCAACAGACTCGTAAACCTGAGAGAGCTGCTGGAAGAGGCGGGTGAGGATGACCTGCTGCAGAGGCAGGACGTACTTCTCCATCTCGGGGTCCGCACCGATCTGCTTAAGGATGGGAGTGATCTTCTTGCAGATGGAGAGAGGGTGGAAGTCAACCTCCAGGATGTTGTACAAGTCGCGGATCTCGGGGCGGACGCGCTTGAGGAGACCCTTGTTCAGAGCATCCTTGAAGAGAATGGCACGGGAGGGGGCCTGAGCCATGCCGAGCAAGTTGGTAAGGCGGGTGTTCTTGTTCTTGCGGGCCTCATCCACGTCGACCAGAGCACCGCGGGAGCGGGAAGTGCTGATGACGGGAATGGAGAGAGCCGACAGAAGGACGAAGGAAGCAGCCTTGGTCATATCAGCCTCGCTGACGGAGGGGCTCTCCTTCTTGGTGCTCTGACCAGCGGCCAGAGCAGCCGCGGACTGGCGGAGCAGATTGTAGTAGCGGCTCCAGGCGGCGGCATGGAAGAGATAGTTCTCGCTGACGAGGAAGATGCGGGCCAGCTTCTCGTAGTAGTTGGCCATCATGACATTCTTAGCGGGGCGCTTGGAAAGGCTCAGCAGGGTGTGAATGTCCTCAATGCTGCGGAAGGCCTCCTGCCAGAGCTCGAGCTCAACGGCGACGTTCAGCTGCTGGAAGCGAGTATCCAAGTGACGCTGGAGCGTGTCGGGGTCGCTGAGGTTGATGGCGTGCATCTGAGCGGAGTACTTGGCGGCGTTCTGGACATGGTTGCGGAGGAGCTCACACAGGCGGCGGAACTCGGTCTTGCGGGTGTACTTAAGACAGAACTGGAAGGCCTGCAGGGCGGTGGTCTGGTACATCACCTCCAGGCGGGCGTTGTTCTTGAGGATCTCCAACACGGTACGGTAGGTTTCCCAGAGAAACTTGAGCCATGGGGTGACGACGGCGCGGTCGGTACGGTCGCGGGACTGTTCCCCAGAGACGGTGGCCAGCAGGATGGTCTCAGGGGTTTCGATAGCCTCGAGGTCGTCGACGTTGGAGGAGGGAGCGGCGGATTCCAGGGAAGATTGAATCTCGTCGGCCTTGGCCTGAGCCTCGGTGACCTTCTTCTCGGCGAGCTCGATGAACTTCTTCAGGACGACCTATACAAAACGAAACAGCGTTCGCTCACGGTCAGCCTTTGCGTGAGGGGATCGATGCGGCGGCAATCCTACCTCGATAGTGCCGACGTTGGTGTTCTGGGCGATGTTCTTGTACTGGTAAAGACCGTCCTTGGCGGACTTGCCCTTGCGGAGGTCGACACAGAGCTCAACGAAGAGGAGCATGACGGGCTCGAGCGAGACGATCGGAGTGCTGCGCGTCCGCTTAGAGGTGACATGTTCGTGAAGGACGTTGAGGGCAGCGGGGGCCTGGCCCACGGCGATGAGTTCCTGAGCCCTCTGCAGACGACGAGTTGTTAGTTGATATCCCATCACTATTCCCCTTCATTCTTTCATCATCTTTTATTCTTTCTTCCAGCCCAACATTGTTGTTCTCCGACTTCCATCCGATCGACATCGCGTACCTTGAGGACATTTTCAGGTTTGATATGGGGAGGTGGCGGCATGATGGGCGATGTGGTGATGGGTAAGAAACACGCTCGATTGTTGTAGGTGGTGAGAAAAGATGGATCGCACAACGACGGGCGGGCAGCAGAGGTCGATGGCGACAAAAGCCTGAGGTGAAAGAGGCTGCCACGCGACGGTCGGCGAAATGACCCAAGACGACAAAGCCGGTGGGAAAGATGGGGGGTGGAGGAGAAGGGAGGAGAGGGAGAGGGAGAGGGAGCGTGTGGTTGAGGGCCGTCGTTGTGCGAGAGGCCGGCGAAAAAAACCAACCAAGATTTGCCCACTTTGGGTTAAGCGACTGGGACGGATGAGATCACGTGATCTGATCGCCAACTCCCCGGCGCTGTTGCAATGCGCTCTACGTGCCACAACATGGTGTCTACGATTGTCTCCCGCGTCGACGATGACGAGCGAGAGCCCTGGGTGCTTTAGGTTACGTTCAACTGGTGGTGGTATGTGGTGGTAAGATGATGGTTGAGACTCATTGTGCCGCGTCCTCCACCCACTCATCCACTGGGCCACCCGCATTCTTCGGGAAGAGGAACAATGGGGATGAATGGGCTGGAGGGAGAGAGTGGAAAGGAGAGAGGTCGGGTACGAGCAGCGGTACTGTACAGTACATCGCTGTCCTTCCTTCCAAGAGACCAGAAACGGACTTCCATCCAACCCCGACTCATGAATGCATTGTGACCGACACACAGGCTACCAGCTCAATCAGCTGTACCGATCGCCGTCGGAGCTTGATCTATCAAGCTGGACAATTGATGTGTCCCATCCACTGCAGCACTCGGTCCAGTCCGGACGCTTGGTCAACTGTCAAGCCCCAGCTGCACGTGAGGCTCACCGTCCGATAGATGACCCCATCATGGCATGAGGATCCGAAGATCGTAAGTCTGTTCCTGATTCCTTCGATCAGGGACAGAGCTTGGAGCAGGATGAAGTAGGTACCTTAAGTCTGATACCTCGTCTGTCCTGCTTCAGGGGGGAGGGAACTTTTCCAAGTTGGAAACCTAAGAAAAAGAGGATCCCCGAAAGCGACTAGACGGGAAATTAGATTCAACCGCGCCATTTGGGTTCCGGATTATAGAAATGGACGAAACACACCACTACAACCACCATATCACCACCTGGTGGTTCTCACCCACAGACCAATTGTTCAGGGAAAGTTGTCTCGCATTTTGTAGGTTCTTTTTCGTTTGTGCGCTAGTCAGGAGGGAAACTGAATGAGATTGGATTGGTCGTAGACTAGGCAGTCGAAGAAAGTGGTAATTCTAGTCAGGCCTAGTGGGAAGGGAAGTATCAAGTTAAGATTCTTCCTCTTCGTCTTCGTCTTCGTCTCCCCTCCTTTTTTTCTATTTTATGATTATTTTTTTATTTCCCTGCTTACTAGCATCATTCTGACTACAAGTCGGGAGTAGCTCCAAACTCCCTTCCCTCAATTTTCCCCTCTCCACTTCTTGCTCCTCCCCCCCTCTCTCTCTCTCTCTGTCTGAGACCCCCCGAACTTGTTCTCTCTCTCTCACTCTTTTTCCCCCTCCTCTCTGACCAGCTAAACTGACTGCTTGCTCACTAAACCAACTCACTAATTAACTAATTGACTAGCAACTAATTCCTTCCTCTTACTCTTACTCTTACTCTTTTCCTTCTTTCCCTTCCTTTCTCTTCTTTCTTTTCCTTCTTTTCCCTCTTTTCTTTCCCCGTTGGATCGTCCTCTCTGCTTTCCCTCCCACACCACCATTGCGGTTCTTGTCAACTCTCTCTCTCTGGCTTCTTCCATCTCCCTCCCTCTCTCCCTCCCACACTCCATTCCCCCCACACACAAAAACCCCCTCCGAGGTTCGCTCATTAAATCTTCTGTTGCTTGGTGGTTTGCCGCTCTCCTTATTCCACACAGCCTCCCCTCCCTCCGTCCTTCATCCTCTCTCTCTCTCCCCCCTTACTGCCGCCGCAACGCGCCGACCGCAAACCTTAACGGCGAATCCGACCTTTGACTACCGGCTGCAATTCGCAATCCCACCAGCACTCTAACGATCCCTTCTTTCATCGTTCCGTCTTGTTTTCCCGACGGCGCGTATCTCGTTCGATTGATCAGATCCTCGATCATAAGCGGACTTTGTCTCTCCATCGCTCGCACCGTCCACGTTCGCGACCGACCGACCGACCGACCGTTTAAACTCAATCAATCCGTCCATCTATCAAAATGCCAGCCTACGAACTCCGATCCGGTGGTGATGTCAAGAACAAGAAGCAGAGTGTGGCCGACCTCAAGTACCGTCGCCTGACAGAGCTCAATGCCCGGCTAAAGGAGGATCTTGACCGTCCCCGCGTCAAGGTCTCGGAAGCCGCCTTGTCGTACGCCTTTCCCTTCCTCCCCCTCTTCAACCATGGCCGGAACGCATAAAGGCCCCCAACGCTGTGAGCATGACAAATGACTAACCACGATCGCATTCTACAGTCTGATCAACTATTGCAACAACACTCGCGACTTTATGGTACCATCCGTATGGGGTCAGGTATGCGATCGATCCCCATGCGATTCTTTCTGAGATATTGGCACGGTCGCTAACTTCCAATGCGCGCGCAGGTCGACAAGCGGGAGGATCCCTACGCACCCCAGCAGCAGGGCGGCTGCTGCACAGTCATGTAACGGATTCCATGGCTGTCTGGACACCTCTCGAACTCGGACTCTCTCCCCCGATGGCCGACTTACGGCGTTTCTCTTTTCCTTTAATATCCCCTCCTGCGATGACATTTTCTTTCTGCTCGACTATTTAATTCCCCTTCTCACTGTCTCCCGTGTCGACATACCGTGGACCCGATTCGCCCTCTGCCTGGACGTCGGTCGAGCGCGCCAATGACGGCGACGACGAATAATACGGACGATAATTTGCGCGCGCGCGTGCCGTGTCTCGCGATGCGACCGGCCCATTTCTTCAGCCAAGCCAAAACGATCGGACCTCCTTGTCTGGGGTTCTTTTTACTTCTTCATGTCGGCCATTTATCTCAGCCAGCTCGACATATTTGCCTCCCCATTGCATTTATTTTCTAGTGATTTTTTATTGATCCCATATTTCCTATGTTCAGCCGTGACATTTTTTTTTCTTCTTCTTCAATGATGGGTTAGGAGGAGTTGCATGCAAAGGCCAAAACAAAAAGCCGGAACCTGAAAGCGGCAGTGGGAGTGAACTGTGGCGGGACCTGATTCTTGTAATATAGATTTGCAAGGCTAGTTAATGAGTATTAGTGTAGTATGAAGTGTGCAATTAGATGTAGATGTAGATGTAGATGTAGATGTAGAGATAAATGTCCGACTGCATGCAAGAGCTAGATCTCCACCCGCTGACATCATCAATGAGCTTATAACTACCAGTTACTACTTCTACTTCTACTTCCACTTACTACTGACCAATTCCCTCCCACCAACTCTCTCAACTCTCCAACAGAAAACAACTTGAAGCCAAAATGATCTCCATCCCCCAAACCGCAACCCCCAACGCCTCAACCCAGGCACAACCACAAGACCAACTCACAACAGCCGCGAACCCCAACCCCAACCCTGAGCTATCGCCATCGCCATCGCCATCGCCATCGCCATCGCAATCGCAAGACAACAGCCACAGCCTCGGAATCCAGTACCCCCGCATCACCATCAAATTCTGCACCCAGTGCAAATGGATGCTCCGCGCTGCTTATGTAGGTTACCTGTTTACCCTGCTTATCCTGTCAACCCTCCATCCCATGCCTCAAGAAAAGACTACAATCCACACCCACCTCCCCTACTCCCAAGAACGAAGAAACACTTCCCTCAACCCAACCCACCCACCCCACCAAAAAATAACACTAATAACCGAGTGCAAAAAAAAAAAAAGTTCGCCCAAGAACTCCTTTCCACCTTCTCCACAAACCTAGGCGAGGTATCCCTCCTCCCGGCAACGGGGGGGATCTTCACGGTAACGATTTATCATCAATCGAATCATGAGGGGGGTGCTGTTCCCCCCGGGGTTCAGACAGATACTCCTGAGAGTAAGGGCAACGGGGAGCGGGCAACGATCACGGAGACGGTGCTGTGGGATCGGAAGCGGGATGGCGGGTTTCCTGGTATGTCGTTGCTTTTCTGTTTTTGCTTCAGTTTCTTGTTGGGGGGGAATATGACTTTGGGGGTGGGGACTGACCATAATATGTAGAGGTCAAGGTGCTTAAGTCTCTCGTGCGGAATGTGGTGGATCCCGGGCGGGATTTGGGACATACCGATCGGGCGTTGAAGAAGAAGAAGGAACAAGAGGGGGACGGTGACAAGCAGGGTCCTACTACAGAGGCTGAAGGCAAGGGAAAAGATCAATGCGAGGATTGTCAGTAGCTCCATCTAGATATCATTCATGTATATAGGTAGTATCGATTCAAATAACTAAAAGGTGATGAAAGAGCTGAAGATCCATTGTCATGCAATACAGAATAGTACACAAGTCCTCCCCTTCCCCAGAAGAACGCCTTCCCACGCCCCGACTCTAATGGTACCCCGATATCCATGAGCCTGTGTCCTCTTGTATGAGATAAAAAGCAAAAAGCAGAAATAGTAAGAGATAATATAGAAAGTCCAGGCAATGGTCAGATGAAACAAAAAAAAAAAAGAAATCTTAAGAGAAGGCAGGTAGTGAGGAATTCGAATCCCTTCACAATGCCAGCACCCGAAGACGCCTTGTCTTCAGATACTAGCATATCATCAAGATCGTTATATAGCAAGGAGACACGACCACAACGCCCCCCCCCTGCAAGCGGTGGCGTTGGGTCGAAGAAACCCCTCGTAGCACCAATCCGTGTCGTCAATCATGCAATCCATCGTAAAATCCAAGTCATCAGCGGAATGTCACCGTATGCCCATAATCCAGTTCCCCCGTGTTTTTCCAAATGAACACCGTGAAATCAAATCGCAGAATAACGCCAAAGAAGCAGAAGATCGTATCAGGTCTCGCCACTCAGCTCATGCTGGTGCGAATGATGCGGCTTGCGTCGCCAAAATGCCAGTCGGAGACGACTCCGCCGTTTTACCAGTTTGAACGGACCAGAATGACGCTCGCCAGACTCGCCCCATTGGCGACCCCGTCCGTCTTGTTTGGAGCTGCCCGCCGTTGTCGTGGATTGCCCAGAGCTGCCGGTGCCGTTCCCCGCAGGGGATGCCAGGTGCTTATTCCCCGCATCGTACGTGTGCGGGTCGGATGCGCGACGGTTGACCGGATACACGGTGCCGGTGGACTCGTGATTCGAGGTCGCCGGACGGATGTTGGCCCGGCTCCATTCTTCATTGTCACTACGGCTGACACTCTCCCGAGCAAACCCTTTCTCGTCACTATCCACCGTCAGGAAGCTAGTCGCATTGGTAGCGGGCGAGATCGGCGTCATGTTGTTGCTGTAGGTGCTGACGCTGTGAGTGCGAGTGCAGCTGTTCCGTTGGGAACTTGACAGTCCAGACATGCGTCCCGATGAGCCGGTGTTTGCATGGCGGCGGCGGCACCCGGTGGGCGCTTGTCGAGAACTGCTTGGCCGGTCTGCCGCGCCTTCGATCGAGCTGTTGCGGGCGCTGGACGGCCCGGACGCACCGCCATTCGTGGCGGACGAGTTGGCCAAGAGGACTGTGGCCATCGCAGTCGGGTCGGTTGACGTCCGATTCGTATCCGAGGCGCCGTCAAACGTCCCACTCGGTCGCGCTGAAGGCGTGGAACAGTCGTGGCTACTGGTACGAGATTCTCCGGGGGTGGATACCGTCGCATGATCAGGTGCAACACTGGATGATTGGCGGGATTTGGTCTCCGTTGGGAATGGGCTCCCCGTAATGTCCATCGACGGGCCAGGAGTATCCGGCGACACCACTGGGCTGATGTTGTTCTCATTGTAATCACTAGGCGGCTCAGCCGAATGTCCGGGCGAGTGCACGGCCCCAAAGTAGTCGTCAGGAGTGGAGCGCTGGTTAGGTTCACTGGTAGGGAACGAGGGCTTGATCGGAGTGTTTGGCCCCGGGGTTGCCACCGGAGCACGCAGACCCTTGAGGCTGTGAATTGGACTCTGCGTGCGCGGAGAAACCATCTCATCTGGACGGGAATCAGCCAGCAGTGTCTGTCGGCTTTTCTCTCGATCTGCAAGCATGTGCCATCGAAACTGATTTCCACGAATATGCTCCACCGTAAATTTGAGATTGGGGAGAATATCCGAGACCCCCTCAAATAGCGGTAGCGCAAAGATCGACATGAAGCCAATCTGGCCGGTGGCAAGCTTGTAAATGTTCCCCAGCTCTGGAGGCCCACCAAAGAGGGCCGTCTCCATTCCCACTTCTTTCTCCATTTCACCTTGATTGGCGAACTCCTCCTGTAGGATCTGGGTCCACCTTTCTGCAACAGCCCACGGGCGCGCCACATTGCTGATATCGGCACATTTGATCAGCAGACCGCACACCAGCGTCTTGTAAAGCTCCAGGTCCTGCGGCTTCCAACCATCCGTTGTGCAATCGTTTTCATGAAATCGCTCCTGCAGCGACCCTAGTCTTTCCATGAACTTCTGGTGAACACCCATATCCGTTGCCAGGATGGAGCTGATCAGTAACTTGCGGAGCTGGCGATCTTTGAACGCAGCCGGCCAATACCGGCGAAGGATTTGAGAGAAGGCGGCGCAGTGGAACGCCTCCAAAACGGAGTTGTCGTTGTAGAGCTGCGCCAAAGGTGCATTCAGCTTGACCAGGAAGAAGTTGTTGACGCCCGGGTGTCCGACATCGTGACCAATCGCCGAGATCAGCAAGGTCAGGGTGTCGAACGGCGTAAGCAAGGATGCGATCGGGCATTTCTCGCCCGACGGTGGGCCGACCGACCGATAAGGGGGCAGCGCGCCGATATGAAGCAAAAAGCAAAAGACGGACTGCAGAACGTCTATGGCATGGCGGAAATTGTGGTATAGAACAAACGAATTATAGGAGGCGCGACAGGCAAGGAGAAATGTCCGGAGTTCACCTAGAGACACACATGAATCAGCTGACAAGCCTTTTAGACGAATTCACGGCAATGGCCATGCACTTACCCGGGGTGAGTTGCCACTCTGCCAGCTCAGAAACACTCAACGCATGTTGAAGCATTTCAAAGGCTCCTAAGACCAACTCGTCGTCGGAGAACCCATGGGCGGTGAAGCTCCATTTCCCGATCTGTTCTCTGACTAGTTCGGCGCGCTCCGGGCGGACATCCAACTCGCGATCTTGAAATTCTTCAATGACCTCTTCCGGGTTGCAGATGCCTTTCATGAGCTTGGAAACCATCGCTTCTCGCAGGTATGCGTAGGGTTGCTCATCGTGCACTCCTACCCAGGAGTGTTTTCGCGTTTTCTTTCTCGATAGAAAGCGCGCTGATTCTCGCAAAGCGGTTTTACGGGTCCGGTACGCATGCACAACCAGAGCTTGCGCTCGACAGCTGTCCAGCGGGGTTACGAGAACGTCGACTGCGCCGGCGTCCAGGCATTTGGAGATGTGTTGAGGGTCGGGAAAGGTGGGTATACTAAGTGGTTGGTCGGCAGGGGCGCTGGTCAGATCGCCGGACGACGAGCGCAGGATGGCAACAGGCACAATTAGATTGGGTAAATCCTGCACCTGAATATCGGTTGACAGTCCCGACAACAGTTTCAGATCATAGGCCCCTTCCCAATTCGAGGAGAAGGTGAATCCGCGACGCAGCGACGCAGGCGACGGGGGCGATACGTCCGCCCACGAGCCACGGCTCGCTCTGCGACGATGTAGGGTCGGTTCTTCTCCGTGCAGATCAATGTCGAAAAATGCAAAAATGGGCATACATTTGCTACCCGCGCCGTCGCTCAACTCAGCCAGTTTCGTCGCGATCGACGCGCCGGCTTGACAGAGATAGATACGTTTACAGACTCCCAACAGCACTCGAACGTCCGACCGAAGCGATTCCGGCTCCTCGAGTAGTAGGGCTTCCGAATCCGGGTCCGTTACAGGGTCCAGGGTATTGTGATCGACCCATCGCTCGGATCTGACGCGATGGTCGATGTAAATGGCAGAGCATTCGACGCGGTCCATGGTGTCTGTCGGCATCGTGGTTCCCATAATCCAGGGTGTGTCCGCTCCGAAGGTCAGGTCTCAGGGCAGTAGCGGAGATGGGAGGAGAGGAGGAGAATATAGCGGGGCTGATCTGAACTTGGGCTCATATGGTAGATGTGATCGAAGAATGGAGGTCGCTAGGAGAGGGGAGGAGAGGGAAATCTCAGGGCGAAACGAACGGCCGGTAGACTGTAATAAATGGAAGCAAAGGAGTGTTGTGAAGCGAAACGAAGGGCGTGCGATAGAGACTGCAGTATGGAGTCACTCTATGCTGGTTTCTAGTCTCTTGCGTCAGCGAAACTTTCAGGTCAGGGATACACAGGGTGCGGTGTATGTATGCGACAACCAGAGCCGACAGGGCGAGAGGCAGCGACGAAGACCGACTTCAGCGGCGACGAACCAGCGTCATCTGCGGCGCGCACTGGAACGATAGATTTGTTCGCTGCAGCGAACCCCCAGGAACATGGTCGATGAGAACCCTTTCTGCGGGATGGAGGTGCAGGACGGGCGAGGAGGCTCCCAACTGAGACAATCTAGGTCGCTTTTGCACCCAACCGCATGCATGCCTCCAGCTGGCGGTCGGCCATGGTTGCCACCCGTGCATACAACCCGTTGGCTTTGCTCACTCACATTTTCTAGAACCGCAAGGCGAGGGGGGGGGGGAAAGATGTCGAGAAAAATAAAAGAAAAATGAAACTGATGAAGTCGAAGGACGGTTGAGTGAAAGACTGAATGACGGGCAATTGCCAGTGGATGATGGTCTGTTCGCAGATGCGTTGAAGGTAGGTTCGTCACCGATGATGGAAAATGGCGCCCGAACCAGTTCGACCCGAAGGGGAGCCACCGAAGTCGCGACACATGCAAGATTGAGATTGGCGAACCCAGGAAATAGGGCGAATCTTAGGGCGTCATGGTGGGCCACGGACACGGCCAGGCGGAGACAGACACGGAAAATATAAAAAGGTTGATAAGAGATAGGAAAGTGTATGAGAAGTGGGAGAGAATGTGTGTGTTTGTAAATGAATTAAGAGAGGGAAAACCAAAGGAGAAAAGAAGAAGGAAGAGGAGGGAGGGAGAGGGAGAAAGAGAGAAGAGCAGGGAGATTGAAGTAGGCAGAGAAGGGACGGGGTGGAGTGAGAGAGACAAGAGAGCCAGAGCCAGAGCAGGCCAAAGATCGATCGGGACCGACGAAGGGGCCGCACGGGTACAGTTGATAAAGGATTAGGTAACAAGATGGGGGGGAGAGAGAGAGGAGGGAGATGAGGAAAGGACCCCAGCAACTGGAAACAAAGCAGCAGTACAGTTGCCCGGTTGGGTTTTTGAGGTAATTGATTGATTGACTGATTTACTGATTGATCGGATTGATAAGAAGGGGAGAGGAGGAGGAGGAAGAAGAAGAGGGAAGGCAAGAGGAACAAGCAGATCGAGGTAAGGGAACGATTGGAGGGGAAAGAGGCCGATCGAATCGTGTGTGTGGGTGGGTTGAAGAGACGTCACAAAGGGACGATTGCGGGGAGGGAGGATTGGGGAAGAATACGTAGTAGGAAGTAGGTAGTAGGTAGTAGTAGTAGAGAGGGAGAGAGGAAAAGCAAGAGCGAAAGAGCGAAAGAGAGAGAGAAGAGAGAGAGAGAGGAAGAAAAGAGAAGAAGGAAAGTTAAAGACGAAGAGGAAACGAAGAGCGAAGAGAGGACGGGAAGTCAGTTCCAGACCTTCAGGCAAAGAAGGGGGCGAGAGATTTAGTTAGATTACTTTTTCCAGTTGTACGGGGGAGCTGAGGAAAAGAACAGCAATGATGAGAGAGGGGGGAGAAAGCTGTTGGATTGGAAATCGAATACCAAGCACAAATGCAGGGTTGGAACCAAAGCAGCGCAATAAGAGAGAGAGAAAGAGAGATAAAGAGATAGTATGCACAAGGTATGTACACCTAGTAGTCTAGGATAGTATACCAGCAGAAGCAGCAGCAGCAGCAGCAGCAGCAATAGTCAAAAAAGAAAAGCAAGCAGCTTAATGGCTGGTTCATTGCTTCTTCCCGTCTTCCTTTCGTTTTCCCCTCCCCTTCGCTCGGTCTTCCAGAAGGTCGCGGCACACGGCGACGGCGACGGCGGCGGCGGCTGCGGGCGTCGTCAGAGACTCAACGACCAGAAACCTCCCCCCCTCCTTCTCCTTCTCCGACCGACCACAACAACAACAACAGATGGGGCCAGACAATTTTACTCTTCAGTTCCTGATATTACCTGAGGATTTGTTGGACGGTACTTAAACTAAATGCAGCATCGCCCCTTCACACTAAGTCAACTAATCCAAGCACACGATTCCCTCCGTGTGTACGATCGGCCCTTCCTCCCCCCCTCCTCCCCACTTTCCTGGCCTCGTTCAGGTCCGGTCGGCTCGGGTCTAGTCCATCATGGGGTAAAGCGGCACTGCAGGAGGGAGAGACGATGATGAAATGACGAGATGACGCTGAATATAAATAGTATTCAGTCACATCCCCAGCTGACAGGGTTGATCGCTACCAACCGATCACTAATTAAGGGGGATACTGTAGTGCAGTGCAGTGCAGCCCAACAACACTCGACCGGCAACCACAACCACAACCACAACCGCCAGACAGAGCCCGAGTGAAAGAGCTGAGCGACGGGCAGAGGAACAGAGCGAGCGGGCGGGTGTGTGGGGCAAATGACGCTTAAGCAAGCCATCTCATTAGTTCCTGGTCTGCTTCTTCTAGAATCGCCCGGGGCGGAAAACTGCAAAGTGGAGAGCGTAAGAAGGGAAAAGGGAAAAAAAGCCCATCGCACCACACTTAATTAATCCCTTTCAAACGAGGCTTTGACTTTTTCTGGCGTCTCTTGGGCAAGAACCAGACCAGACGAGGCCAAACCCAAAACTAGAAAGTTGTCATCATCATCATCATCATCATCATCATCATTATCATTATCCATAATCTGGAGTTGCTTATGATTGGCACTCCCCTCAAACCGTGTGTGGCCAAAAGAGTTTCTGGTAACCCAGTTAAACTTCTAGTATCTCTGCGAAGAAACTGATTACATCAACCCTTCCCTCCTTCCCTTCTGCATAACTCAAAAAGTAAAATCGATCGAACGAACGTGCTGTTTGGTGTCGATCCCCGCGAGTTAGCGCGTGAATCAGAGGGAACAAGTGCCGCGACTCGCGAGTCATTGGCATTGGCATTGGCATTGGCAGGCAATCTTCTAGAACTTCCATTCGAACAGTGCGTCCTGACTTACTCACCGCGTTGCCAACCAAAACCTTGACTTGACCAGAGGAGAACTTATGCACGCTGAACTAAGTCCTCAATAGACTTAGTGCTTATGCATGCATGTACTGTACATACTTATCCTCCCCACGTTAATTCGCTTTCCTCTTCCTTCCTCCAGCGATAACAACAAGTGGCAAAAACCCCCAGTGACGTCGACCAGCCCATCCTCCCCCCCCCCCAAAAAAAAAGAATAGGAGAGTCATTGAATCTATGATGTGATCTGCTCATGTTCTGATCCCCCAACAATGGGGAAGCAGATCCGTCCGTCTTCGAACCGCGGGTAGAAGGAAGTTCGCTGACAATGAGGGCAACCCCAACCGAGGATGGGCAATTGCGGGAATTCTCTCGGTTCAGCTGTGAGAACAGAGGGAAAGACCCAGCCCTAGTCTTCTTTCCCTAAGTAGAGAATTACAGTCATCAACTCTTAAGTCTTAAGTAAAACACACAGGCGGGATGCTGGAGCAAACTCCGGAGCAAGTGAGTGTGTGACTGTGTGTGTGGGAATCCACAATCCACAACCCACCGGGCGGAACGCCGGTTCACTTTATGCAAGGAGCTACGACCTTCCCTGGTGCCTAATCAAGTCTCGAATTTGATGCCCCGGTCAATTGGAACTTAAGTGCCTATCGTTGCGCTCTTCGGACAATTGAAACATATGGGCGACAAATCTGACAGCCAGTCACAATCAATCATCTATAGATAGGTTCAAGGTTATTGCATGTTACTCTTAAGTAAGTATTTTCCAGAAAAAAGCGAGAAAAAAAAAAATCAATGCGTGTGGGGAAGAGAGGAGAAACAAATCAATCATATGCAAGACATGAACGCGCGTAAAGGTCTTACTTAGTAAAAGGGTTGCTTGGATTGAAGGCGATCGTCGGGCTGGAGTTCCCGGAAATATATTTCTGGTACCTAACCTAAGTGTTGCTCCTACTCCAGGCCTGCACAGAACCCACCACACACGGTTAAGGTACTATGGGTTACATGTACTTGTACAAGTGGAAGGATCTATCACTGCTCTGCAGACATACTTAAAATTCTAGGATCGTGATCCTGCCGACAACATCCCTGCTGCCTATATTCCTGCAGTGGCCAATCTACTTCCTACATACACCCACTGCATAGACCGACCCATCAGGGTCTGAGGATGTACCGTCAGGGTCCTCGGCGGTGATCTCAGCAGCCGCCACCATAAAGTAGAAGTACGAGTACTACGACTAGTAGCACAAGCAAATAAGTACCAGGCGGCAGCGGCAGGGCTAGAATGCCAAGTATATGGGCTTGCAGCGAAGACGTACCCCGCATTAAGACTGCTCGTGCCTTCTACCGCGCACACTATGGAGAACCCGTTGGTCATGAATTCTGTATTTCGCTTTACCACTCATGCTCAAGCGACCCCCTGCTCATCCGGGTCGAGATCAAAAATATAAATAACAAGCATGAAGGATTCCAATGCCACATGGCCGCCGTGGTCGGATCGTCCTATGTAGCCATATCGCGCAAGAAATAACTTGGTATAATAGAGCAAGGTACTGATGAAATGTAAGACACAACTGAGAAAAGGCACGGCATAAAACACATAAAATTCTAATCCACGCTGAGGGCCCATTTTTACCGTATCAGAAACAGTCCCAAAGTAACTGCAAAGAAGAAAGTAGAACAGGAAGAAAAATGAGTAAAACTATGGTACAGGGCCAAACTGGTCTATAGCGGCATCCTAAAGTGCCGCTGGGAGGGCGAATAGCCGCAAGTGCGATCAGGAAAGTAAATTCTTCAAGGATGGGCTGGCACTGGCGCCAGAGCCCCCATTCGTCCCACCACTGTTCGTATGTCTACCGGTGCTCATTAAACCCGGTCCTCCTGCTCCTGGTGCCTCGTCTGGCTTCACGGGAGGAGTTGGACCTCGAGGGTCAATATGCGCTTGTGACACCGGGGGTGAGTGGGTTGACGCTCCGCGGACCCGGTCAACCGGATAAACTCGTGGCGGTGGCCCGCCGTTCAATGCGCTGAGTGTGTGTGAAGGCGAGTGTCGGACCATCGTCGCCTGAACATCCGGAGGCGACGCTGAAGGTGCATACGGGCGGGGCCCGGCGGCGTGCGAAGGGCGAGGCGACGGCATCGAGGCCGGTCCGTAGGGACTTTGATGGGCGGAGTAGGGCTGGGGCGGAAGAGGGTGTGTGCCTGCCACATAGTGGGGGGCTGGAGGGGGAGCATGGTGTGCCGGGCTTTGTTGGTAGCCATTGATGTGGTGCGCTGGCGGGGGAGGAGGCCCTCCGCGATAGCCAGACACCGGCAAACCGTTGCGCAGTCTGCCATCCGCAAAATCAGTAGATCGCTGGTCGTAACCAGGGTACCAGTCAGGGCCACTGTGGGAGGGCGTGCCCATTGGTCTAGCAAGAACACTGGGCTGAGCCGGATGTGCGTGGTGTGGTCCAGGACCATACGGGTGAGTGTGGAACTCGCGGACTGGGGGGTTCAACAGAACCGGGCGGGAAGCCGAGTATGGGGACGGTCGAGGTTCTGGCGACGGCTGAGTTGCAGGCTTCTTAAGATGACATTTGTGACATTCCACTAGCGTCGGCGATCCCTCAGTTGACACCGTGCTGTTGTCGGTAGGCACGTAGTCGCCGTTGAGCCTCGGCAGGCCCGGTTGGGATGGCTTGCGAGAGAGGTATGGGGGACTGACCGAAGAAGCGCTGGGATATCTAGTATCATTAAGGCCCACCCCGTTCAACAAAGGCGTCCTGTGATCCGCTGCCCGTCGCGATTTATCAATCGACCACCATTTGGGGGTGCAGGTACTGGAGCAGCGAGCGCATTTTCGGGCCGAATTGGTGTCGGCGACAGGGCGTGGGGCATGATTTTCGGAGTCAATAACCATCTCATCTGGTGCATCTTCCGGCGATGTCGCGATGTTCTTGTGGTTATCTTTCGTGGTAGTCGACAAAGGAATCACCCCGTTGACAGCCGAAACCCGACGGCTTCCAGGATTTGTTGCAGAGTGATGCGATGCACTGACCGACTGCTGCACGTAGTTGGCTCTCCGAACGGTCCCAGTCTGGGTTAAGTCCGCTTGCTTGTAGGCCCGCACGTAACGTTGCAGCGCGTTCACGCCCTCTTCCTCGGTTGGCTCACCAATCTCATGTACAACAGACGGGACTGTGTGATGGGGACACCAGATCCCCGCTGACGCAGACCCATACTCATCTCCGAGTCGCACACTGTTCACGGTATCCCGTCGGGAGCTCTTCACTGGCGTGATGTCGAAGCCGAATTTGTACTGCGCCTGGAAAGCACATCCAACATGAAAACGGGCATTGCAGTTGCTGTAGTGGCATGACACGCATGCTCCTTTGTCTGCTGTCTTGCAGATCTTACATACCTCACGGAACCGATCCGGAGGAATAAGCCCAAAGCCTTCGGCTGGCTCAAGCTCCTTGGAGTTAGCGAACTTGATCTCCGGGGTGAAAACGGCGCAGGCGACGTGAACCCAGTTGTTGCCCGCTGTTCTCTTGAGCGGCTCGCGCGGACCTATCGGTTTGCCCACATCCTCTTGCCGCTGCCGGTAGAGCTTGATGGCCTCGGTGAGCAACTCTTTCTCGAGTCTCTCCTTCTCACGATCGCGCTCAGTCTTCTTTTTATGTGTGGATCTCGGCGCTTCCATTAGTTCATGTTCCGTCCATGTTATCGGACACAGCACGCATTCGTAACGGGTCGAAATAATCGGCTCTCGGTCATTGGAGCACATGTCGCAAAGCCATTTGAGACAGTTGCGCGAAGGGTTGACACCATAGCAGCTCCGATGCACCGTCAATCGGCAGTCTCGGCAAGACAAGTGCTGATCGCCCATTGGCTCCATTTTGTTGCAGATGGCGCATGGGAGTGTCTTCGCCTTGGGGGGATCCGGCATGATCTGCGGTGGTTCCGGCGCCTTCTCAATCGGTGGTTTCTTCTTCGGCGCAGGCGGTTCCACCGATGTCGCTGTAGATGTTGCTGTGCTATCCTTCTCTGCGATCCGTCCCTTCTTCTTTGTCGATTCTTGTTGTACCTGAGGGTTGGCATTTACTGGGACGCCGATTGAGGCCGCCGTAGCCGCAGTTGCAGGATTGATGCTGATAGGAGTTTCGGTCGAGAGGAGAAGCTGGGTTAAAAGCTCCTCATCTACACGACGACGCCATGACTTGTTGCCGCTCTGAGCAATCTTCTTAGCAACTTCATCGACGCTCTCCCACTGAATACCATATTTCCTCCACAAGAGCGCACAACGCAAACATAGAGCCACGGTGAGCTGTGGGCCTTTATCCCGCTGCTTCGATGAGGGCTCACTAGGCGTTGTGGTGCCAGGCGGGACGCCTGGCGCGCGTCGCCATTGGCGCGAAGTGCGCGTTGAACAGAATTTGCATTGAAATCCACGCTTCTTCTCGACGGCTTTGTCGTTGTCGTATGCCGAGTCGTCATGATCATCCGCGACATCGTCCACCAATTTCGCAGCGCTATGTCGCTTGGCTTCTTTCTTGCCCCTTCTGCCTTCGTAGGTCCCCCAAATTTGACGCCCAGGCGGCGTCTTTTTCCACATGTAGTAGAACCGAACGATCTGGTAGTGTGGCACTGTCCCAACGTGCTTGGTCACATTACGAAGTTCCGATCCAAACTTAGCGACTCCCTGCTCGAAAAGCTTGACCTCTTCAGGGCGCAGATGAGGTTCCTTGAGGTCCTTGTACTTGTTTACGTGCTTCAATTTCGCAAGGGCCGCTTTGACGTCAAAACTGCTGGAATAGAGCAACTCGAGAGCCTTGTCGAGGAAATTAGTGGAGAATTTCTCAACGCCCAGGTCCGAAGCCAATGCTTTGGCTTGCTTCATATAATTGTCGATAAAGTTCTCTCTTTCGGCAGGGGCCAGGTCGTTGCCCGGGGTATCATCTTCGCCACGGGCTGGAATCTGTCCTGCAGTGGGCATCTTGAACATTAGCTCGGCGGTACGGATTTGCTTCCCGGCCACTGGGACCGGCTCATCTTCGCCCCGGCGCACGTATCCCGTAGGCTCGTCCATGACCCATTTGGGTCGATTCGCTTTCTCTTGTTTGGCAGCTTCAATCGCAGCAAGCGTTTCTTTGGACAGCTTGGAGTCCTTCCGGCCCCCAGAGCCTCTCAGGTATTTCTTCTTGATATCGATTGGTTTAACGTATTCCACCGGTCTCCCATGCCACGGAATTACCATTGCCTGATGTCGAGGTCCCAACCGGGAGCTGGCCCGCGGATATATGCGGTCATCATAGTCGAGAGCGTCCTCGACCCGACAGTGAATTCCCAGATAGCGGTAAGGCCACATTCTGGCTTGTGCCACTTGTTCCTCAGTTGCTGGTCGAACCTCTTCCTCAACGGGAGCTGGGGTGCTGCCTGTGGTACCGTTCGCAGCGGCGTTAGGATCCTCTTCTTCCTCTTCGACGACTTCCTCTTCACCTTCGGGGTGCTGCGCATCGCCAAGCAACGGAGTATTCCGTGCCTCCAGCTTTCGTTCCTGAGCTCGACTGCATGCTGCACAGGCCCACGCGAAACCTCGGGCGGGCTTCTTCGTCAAAACCGGTCGGACACAATACATGTGATAGGTGTTATGACAAACAGCACAATCCACGGAGTCCGTACTACCATAACAGTTAGTGTCATGGCCTGTTGCTGCGAATGTGGGCCTAGGTTTCTTACTTTGCCGCATATAGACTGCACCGTTTGCACGTCTTGACGGCACTGGTTAACTCCTTCCGTCGGCCAATTTCAACCAAAACGAACTTCCACCGTTCATCCAAGACCTTTTTAACGTTGCCGGGGACGTTGATGACCTTGCTTGTCGGAATCACGTCGTAGTATCGATGAATGTATCGGTCGAACATTTTGTCGTACCAGAAGCAGTCCCGGGTCTTCCTGTACTCATCGAAGTCCGAAATTTCGGACAGATGCGAGATCTGACATTTGCCACGCAGAGAAGTGAGTGGGCAGGTATCGGAGTGCATGGATGCGAAGACCAATCTCGTATCTGCAACCTTGCGTTGGATGTCACGTGGCCTGTAATACCAATTCACGCGTAACGCCTCGATCGGGCCCGAGGCGGTGTTCTTAGAAGGGAGGAACTCCATAATTCGCGCCAAGTAATACGGTTCGCCTGGCGGCTCACAAATGAGGTAAACATGGTCTGGCGCCAAGCCTTAGCATCTTTCCAGTCTTTTTGAACACACGGCGCGCGCTGATTGACAAGGAATGTTCGGAGGGAGTAGGGGTGCCACAACAATGAGATGAAGGAGGACTAACCATTTACGGCAAACGTGGTGCCGTCATCCGCCCTGAGCTTTCCATCCTCCAAATAAGCGCCACGCTCCTCAAAACTGACCATATTCGTGTCCGGTTGGTGAGGACTGCCTCCTGGAGCGGACGTAAATAATTTCTTCGCGGCATTTCCGTTGGGTGTGGGAGTGCTCGTCGAGCTAGGCGGTTGTTTTCGTTTCCTGGACGAATTCGCTATGCCATTGGCTTCCTCTGCTTTAGAAGAAAATGAAGAGGTGCCGGGGATGAGGTCCTTGGCTGCGGCGGTGGGCGTCGAGCCATTTGTCGCCGTCAGACTTCTCCGAGAACTTGATGAGGAAGCCAGTTTCTCGGCTTCAATTTTGGTGCCATTTACAGGAGGACCCGCGATGCCGCTCGTCCGCTTAGCCGATTTGGGCGCGGGCTGGGCAATCTCCAAATCCATGTCGATGTCGCGGTCTTCCGCGTAATTGGGACGTGGCGCTGCATTGCGCCCTCTGGAGCGAGTGCCATACGGAGGAGCGGGAGTCGTAGAAGCGCTGGGCGGCTCGGTAGCCGTGAGAGTGGTCTCGGACGCCGGTGAAGCAGTGGCAGCCATAGATGGCGGTTGCGATTGCAGGTCGTTCCCGGTGGCGGCCCCTTGGGGGATGGGAGACTCTACGGAACCCGTCCGAGAAGCAAGACCGGGAGTGGGCATTCGACGGGCTGCGGATGGAGATGAACTGAGCCTCGCAGTGTGCTGGTGCGGCAGTGACTTCTGAGGCGGTGACCTGTCTGAGGCCATGGCCGACCCTCAGGGAAAACTGCCGGATAACGAACAAAGCAAGATGGCTGCGGTGGCCTCCAGCGTGGCGTGCGCGTTGTTGGTAGGTTTACCAAGAGGGAGAAACACCAAACAAATTAGTTGGTGGGAGCGAGAGGCGGAAATGCAAAGCTCAGCAACGGGCCGTCACGGGATGGCGATCCCTCATCAAGAGTGAACTCTGCAAGCGGGTGGAGATATTGCCCGGCGTGGACCGAGTATCAAGGGGCGGCAACAGAAAGAGAAAGAGAGAAGAAATGAGAACACCAAGTCAGTGAAGTCTTGGGATAAAATAAAAGAAGATTGTAGAGATATCTCGAGGTCTCTGCCTACGACCACTCTGGGAGGGGAAGAAAAGAGACAGTCGATGGCAGTAATGCAAGACTAAAATATGCCAGTGCCAACTCTCAGTTCCAATCCACTCTGTTTCTTCCCGCAAGGGCGGATGGAAGGGTGAACGGGGTGGTGGTGGTCAAGTCGAAAAATGATACCAAAAGTAAACGAGGCTGGTACTGAAATATCAAACCAGTAGATGATGAGCCTCCGCAGAAGTGAAGAAGGGTACGGGGTGAGTAGGCTTAATTGGAATGATATGGCCAAGGATAACCAGGAGGGAGGGGAGGCAAATTAACAGGTGATCGTCAGGAAACGAGAAAGACACAAAGTAGCCTGAGGGGAGGGGGAATGAAGAGAAAGAGAGAAGGTGACGAAGGAGGAAGGGAAAAGTAGAAAGAGAAGAAGAGGACCGAGACGACTCGGCGTGGTAAAATGAAGGTTAGCGGCGGTGGAAAGCCAAACCAAAGTAGAGCCACACTAAGGCGTTGGGAGAGACTCGTGGGGGAGAGTGGAGGGAGGGAGGGAGGAAGTGAGAGAAAGAGAGAAAGAGAAAACAGCAGGAAGAGAGGGAGCAAGAAAAGAGATGGGAGGAACGGATAAGATCAATTTAGAGCCAGTCAGATGGAACTAGTTCTTGTGGCAGGACTGACTGGCACGGGAAAGTCAGAAGTAGTTCGTGATTCCAATCAGTTGAACTTCGCCCCCATTTGTTATAGTCCCTCAAACCCGATGTGATGGAGGAGAGATCGATCCTCACGGTCGAGTTTGTATGTATGCTATACTGGACTAGTGCATGGCCCGGACCCAAGGGGAAGGATATCGGGGAGAGGAAATCAAAAACGGGGACAGTGTGTCAGTGCAAGAAGGGAGGGAGAGAAAGAGAAAGGGAAACGAAAATAGAGAGAGAGAGAGAGAGAGAGAGTGAGAGAGTGAGAGAGAGGAGGGAGGGATGTGGGGGAAGGAGGCAAAAAGAGAATGAAGATAGAAAGTCGAGTCAAGACCAGACAGGAAATGCAAAAAGTCAGAAGCTTGGGTTGAAGGGAGGAAGGAAAATAATAACTAATACCTATGCAGCAGCAGCACAGAACGAGACCAGAAAACATCACTCCCACCGTCTGCACTCACTACTAACACACTGCCTAGGATCCCGACCAGTCCACGTCCTCGCCCCTAGTCCCGATGGGTTAATATGACGGATCCCCCATCATGGATCCAACCCAGACAACCCGGAAATGATGGCAGATTCGGTGATATGATCATTTTGCATTTACACTCTACTGTGCCTTTCACGGTCTAACTCCCTACCCACCCCCCTTCATCCTAGGCCTTCCTCTTTCCATTTTGATATGTCCTCAATTCCGGGATAATAATGCATGGGGTGACCGGTTGGGCTGACCGGGCGCCGCCGTCATAGATCGAGAACATCATCCTCATTGGGATCAGGACATTGGCACTGAGAACCGAAAGGTCGTAGCCCTCCTCTCTCGGCGCTTGCTGATTAGCTTCTTGATTTCTTATAACCATTGTTCCCCTTGCTCTAAGGCGGCGTGTTAGACCCGTTGGGGGATCTACGTTGTTCTACTGGGTTTAGCGGGAATACCTTAGTCCCATCGCTCTCGGTCGTTGGCGCTTTCAAAAAGGGATTGCTTGCTTCTGTGGGCCGAGCGACCCGATACGAAGAAAGAATGAGGGTATCGGGAGAGGGGAAGGGGGGCAGGAGGGGTTTAGCCATGGACCGAAGATCGCGATATGATGAAGCAAGCGCCCAGCATCCCAGACAAGGGTCGACCGGCCGGGAGAGAACGTGATGAAACCTAAAGGAAGGTGAATAAGTGTGAAAGAGCCGAAGAGAGGGAAAGCGAGCAAAGGAAGAATAAGAGGCCAGATAGACTTTGCTCGGCTCCGTACACCGCAGGAAGTGGAGGAAGGTCGGATGAACAAGAGAAAAGGAAAATTCAAATTAAACAAGAGGGCATGTATGTGTATAGTCCGTGGCAGGAATGTTGTCACGTAGGGCAGCGCATGCGCGTTGGATCTGAAATCCAAAGCGCCAAGCCTATTCCGGGCTCGGGTTGGTACGATAAAAGATCACAACCACATCTATCATCGCTTGGTCTTATATCTGCAATATCTCCAGACTTGATATTTACTCAGGAGAATCCGAATATCCAAGGGAAACATGGGCTTCGTCCAAGGACCCTGATGAGGGTTCAAATGGCGAAGGGGGTCGGAAAAGCTGATAGAGAGTGAGTGATACCGCAGTGTTTGTTACAGGGACCTTCTCGAAACAAGCACCGCCAGGTCAGTAGGGTATTATTATTAGAGCAGGAAATAATTCCCCCTCCTTTCCCCTTGACATCGCTCTTTGTGCTCTTGGCTCTGAACATGATATTAAACGGCTATATCTCTTGAACTTGCAGCCCAGGAGACATCCGTGGAGATTATACCTGTTCCAATTCCCTGTTTCCTCTCTCATGTGGAATCTTTAGGGTCTGACTACCATTCCCGACGAGGACCGAGAGACATTTTACCGGGGCACGGGAGCTCTCAGAAAGGGGAGGGGCATTTGTGCAAGAGTGGCTCCGTACGACCAAAGAAAGAACTGGAGGCATGGAGACGTACGGGACAATGCTAAGCCATTTTAGACTAGGTAGACAACCGAAAACTCGGATCAGAACAATACAGCAAAAAGGGAGGGTTGCCGGTACCATGGCTCCTCTTGACCTGCAGTACTAATTGACTAGTGGTGATTAGCAGTGAAGCACCATAGTAAATCATTGGGTGTGTCTGCTGTCTGTCTGGCCGGTGTCTTCTAGTCGGTACAGCATGGATGAACCTAATGCGAACTACCATAAACTGACGCTTCTGTCATCGGCACCCTCATTGTAAATGCAGCATGCAAGACGACGGTCTCCTCCCCGGAGAACCCATCAGGACTTGTTACCTTCTTTTCTGCCCTGCACACGCGAGTGGAGGGTGGATGGTCGCATGTGGTGGAAGTTCGAGTTTGACAAGAAAAGGTGGTGATAATAGCACTAACCAGAAATCCCTGGGCCACGGCGGGATTATGGCCGCAACCCTTAGCGCGACTCCCTTTTCCTCCTGGGGATCTCCCCCGCGACGGCGACGGCTTATCGGTTGAGTGGCATGGGCTGCAGCGGTTCTTAGCCCTCAAGAAGTTGCCCTCTAAATGTATTGAGGGTACAGTTAGTTGGGAACATCGGGTGTTAGATAACTAATTGTGTGTTCACTTACATCATCCCGATGGGTTCGTCGGCTGCCCCCCAACCTGGGCTGGTAGGTATCCAAGTGACCCAGGCGATTTACGTACTTTGGGAATTCCTCTAGGATACTTGACACCCATTCATTTGGCTCAATCGTCCCAGATGATTTGCTGCCGCACGGCTCGCTCTGACTTGATTGCCACCTTGCAACCTACCTACCTACTTACGTACTTAACCGGGCACAGCACCACCCGGCGTGGAAGCTCTCGACTGATCGATCCTATCGCAAAAACAAATACTTTCATTGATACTGTGCCTCACCTCGTGTGGCTCTCTATGCATGCAGTGCTATTATTGTCTGTTCCGTTGGGGGAGTAAACTGGATCGCTGGAGCAATGGTGGACGGCAAGAAGATATGGCCTGCGAAAGCGAACGGAAAAGCAAGATAGGTTGGACCGGGGCGGGCCCAGCTCATGTGTCAGAACGTGTATTCAATGTACAGTATTGTGTAAGATGCAAACGCGGCATGCTGACGGAACTCGATCGTCCCATAGGGTATCAGGTAGCCATGGGGAAACAGGTCTTTACTAGTTATAGGGACTGACGCTTGGTGGGCGCCTGCAGAAGGCGGGTAAGGAACGGTGCAATTGACAGCCAGCTCTCTAACAGGGTCTCCCCGCCAGGCTAAAATCAATAGAATAGATATTGTTGGCTCCGTCTGTCACCGGCGGCAATCAAAGTCAAAGCTATTTCGACTTCCTCCTCAACGCGAGCTTTGGAGGAAACTTAACCTAATTTCGTCCAAAAACTAATTGTACTCATACGGTGTACGGGGAATATGTTCGAACTTCGATCAAGTCGGTTTAAGCGGGAGTGGCCACATCGGAGTGGAGCCTCCACTCGCGCTTTTTATTTTTATTTTTTTTTCTCTCTTCCTATTTTTCTCACTAGGCTCTTTTTCCTTCCCTTTTCTGTTTCGGGTCTGGTGTCCCGGGGTCCATCGCAATGATGAACCAGCCTGAGGCAGTATTTGTCCGTTCTGGGACAGACTCTTTCTCCTTCAGTCTTTTGAATATGAACCGACTGGTAGATACTAATATATCCCGATTCAGTGATAACATGAGTGATAACCAACATAGGATAGTGCTGGGGAAGAGACGGTAGGAGAAGGCCAGTCAAATTGAACCTTTTATCTGCATCAAGGGGGAGTAACAATACTCAGTAAGCCACTTGTTCCGCAATTGAGAATCCGAAGGTCAGATCCATGATTGCTACGGTTGGTGCTCTGTTCACTGAGTCGGAGCCTATCAGTCTAGACCATCTCAGGCAAGTGTGAACAGAGGAGGGACCGGAAGACAGGCTGATAACTGTCAGGTGATCGCAGGCAGCCAAACAGCTTCCATCTCATGTCATCGTGTTGGCGCAGATAATTGGGTGCGAAGAACCCCTGTAGACTTATTTGACGGAGTGGAAGTCAATAGGCGAACGCGACGAGCGTTTTTATGTATGAATACTTTTTTCCCATGATGATGATTGTCTGGGTCAACCGGCCGGGCGGGCAGCCCTTGCTCATCCATTAGTGAGAATGTGTGGCAGATTTGGGGGGGAGAGGAAGGGAGGGATGGAGGATGGAGGGGGGTTCTCTCGATCGGTGTCTGTGCTCGACTACCTAGTACTAACTCTTTCGGAGTACATTGCGCCTTGTCGTATCAAATGAACGAACAAATGGTTCGGAGTTCCTGGCAGCAGCAGTTAGTCAATCTCACCATGTAAAACTGGTATGATACATAGTCACAGACAGACATACAGACAGACTCAGTAATCCGCCAATGCAGCCGTGCTAGCACACGACTCTTTTGACTGGACAGCGGATCAGCAGGGCTCCGATTAGCGGGTAAGACGATCCAGGAACGTTGCCGCGGTCGGTCTTGTCTTTTGCAGGGATTAGATATGATTCCCGTCCTGCTGCGACCGCCGGCTGAGCTGCCTGTCTGCCTGAGGCTTCACTTCCCATCGACGACCCACCCCGCCCTTCACCGTCTCCGTCGGGGATGCCAGTTTCCGAACTGAGCGCGTTGCAACCCACGCGTTCTTGGTAATTTCGTTTGGTTTGATCTGGTCTGGTTTGATTACAGTCTCGTGGACTTCGTCTTCGTCTTCTCCTCCCTCAACCCTTTTCACCGTCTCCATTGTGCGATGAGACTCACTCAGATACAAACGATTTGGTGATTCTTGGACAAGGAGAAGTGTGATCATTGGCATCAAAAACTAAATCATATACAACCCCACCTGCGCTAATGAATTCGTGAAATATTCTATCCCTATATAACTTGCCACCCATGAGCCATCATACACAAATCCTCATTCACTCGGAAAGGTATCATTGACCTCAAGTATGTCTGCGTCATCTGATCAGTCCTTCCAAACCTATGGCTTCCGGACTTCCGTCGATATCGCCCGCCAGCACACGTACGACATAGTCCCATTGGCTGGACACAAGCGACCCGGGGAGTATTCCGCGGGCGACAATCGCACAGTTTCAGCAGGTGTCAAGCAGCCTGCAAATCTTAATGGGTCAGCTGGTCAATCGGTCGATTTCATTCGGCCTTCGCTAGAGCTGCCCAAAGGTCGCCTAGTCGCCAGTGAGATTCGCTCGGTTACAGCTCTTGTCCCGGATAGAGAGCAGCAGCTCCATTGCTTACAGAATGCCGAAGAAGATCTTGCCGGCCATCCTCTCCTGTTACTGAACAATCCCGTATACGGACTGCCTCCTGCTCTAGTCGCTAATTGTGCGGCACTCGGGCTCAAGAGCATATACCAATGGCAAGCATCATGTTTGCTCACTCCAGGGCTGCTCGATGGCAGTCGACACCTTGTCTATACTGCTCCTACGGGCGGAGGCAAGTCGTTGGTTGCGGACATGCTCATGATCAAACGCATCATCGAGAATCCGGGGCGCAAGGCAATCCTGGTTCTTCCTTATGTAGCGCTGGTGCAGGAGAAACTGAAGTGGCTTAGACGTATCGTACAAGATGTTGAGAAGAGCATCGACGACACCGACGACAAAGTGGATATCACAAAACCATATCACCAGCGCTGGCGAAAGTTACAAAAGTCGATTCGCATAACAGGCTACTTTGGGGGGAGCAGGACGGCTGCGTCCTGGGCTGACACGGACATTGCCGTCTGCACCATCGAGAAGGTGTGGTTGCCACAGACAAACAGGAAAGCCCCTCCCCTTGCCTTCATCAATACTAATTATCGAACCATGTCTTAAGGCGAATTCCCTGATCAACACTGCCATTGAAGAATGCAGCATTGGGGAGTTGGGCGTAGTCGTTCTAGATGAGCTACATATGCTTGACGATGAGCACCGTGGCTATCTCCTGGAACTGATGGTCACAAAATTGCTACTACTGCGACACAATATTCAAATCATCGGGATGAGTGCTACTCTATCGGTAGGTTTAAAGAGTGCTTTCCAGAGGCGGACAGGGGCGCGCTGACTTGAGTTGAGAATACTGAGATGTTGGCGGAGTGGATGAATGCGGTCTACTACGTTTCGACCTACCGACCGGTCCCGATCGACGAGTATCTTGTTTATGAGAATGCCATATACCCGGCCGCAACATCAAGGCAATTGTTTCAGACGATTTCTCGATTGAAGGCCACTCCAACGCAATCCCTCCTTGATACTATGCCCCCTCATCGCATCATTTCCCCGTCTGTGTTCCCACAACTTGCAAATGCCATGACTAATGCCACGATCGCATTGGCCATCGACACGGCATCGGCTGGATACGGTGCTTTGGTGTTTTGTGGCAGCCGACAGGCTTGCCAGATCCAAGCTGCGATCATTAGTGAAGCCATGACAACCCCCGGGGACAACACGGATGAGTTAAGCAATCGACTGGACCTTGTAGCTGAATTCCGGAGTCTCCCCAGCGGCCTAGATCCGGTTCTTGAGAAAACACTTATCAGAGGCGTTGGCTTTCATCGTGAGTATACCTCATACTGTGTTCTCAGATCAAACTAAGACCTTAGACAGATGCAGGCATGACGACTGAGGAGCGCGAATTGATTGCACAGGCGTATGACCAAGGTGTTCTCAGAGTTCTTATAGCCACTTGCAGCTTGGCGGCTGGCGTGAATCTGCCTGCCAGACGGGTTATCATTAATGGAGCACGCATGGGCCGAGAATTAGTCGGTCCCGCAATGCTGTGAGAACCCTTCCACCCATGCAATGACAAGTGGTGCAGGCTAACCAAGAAAGGCGGCAAATGTGTGGAAGAGCCGGCCGCAAGGGAAAAGACGAGGCAGGCGAAACGTATCTCATATGCGGCAATAGTGACCTACAAGCTGTCTGCGACCTTCTTGAAGCTGACATGCCGGCTATTGAAAGCTGCCTAGCTCCAGAGAAGAGAGGCCTCAAACGGTACGCTTGTGGATCCACCTCCTTACCAAGTCCATCACTGACCGAGTATAAGGGCCCTTCTGGAAGCCATCGCTACCGGACTCGTGTCTGGGTACGATGCAATCAAAGAATACGTCAAATGCACCTTGCTTTACCGGACAGTAGACAAGAAACTGGCTTACAGCATCATGCAATCCGCTCTCCAGGAGCTGGCTAAGGAGGAACTCGTGCACCTTAACGATGACGAATCATCATATTCAGCGACAAAGCTTGGACAGGCTGTAGTGGCCTCCGCATTTGCCCCCGAAGATGGCTTGTTCGTGCATGAAGAGTTGAGACGGGCACTGCAAGCCTTTGTAATGGATGGTGATATGCATATATTCTACATGTTTACGCCCCTCCAACTAGCTGCTGGGACTCAGATCGATTGGCGCATATTTCGAGATCAGCTTGATAATCTGGATGAAAGTGGCTTGCGCGCCCTGCAATTTGTTGGTGTTCAACCTGGATTCGTGAATTACATGTAAGACATACCTTGGGCTCCACCGCTTTTCTGAATTCGAGACGCTAACAGCTGTACAGGGTTCAGAGTGGTGGCTCGCTGAAAGAGAATACCCCAGAGCAGATCAAACAGGCCAGGATTTATCAGCGGGCCTACACGGCGTTTCAGCTTCGTGATCTGAGCAATGAGGTTCCGCTTTCTGTCATCGCTTCTCGGTACCAGATACCGCGGGGAAATGTCCAGAGCTTGGCGCAGCAATGCCATGGGTTCGCCGCGGGCATTGTGAAGTTTTGTCAACGCATGGATTGGGGCATGTTGGCTGCAGTTTTGGATCATATGCAGGATCGTTTAGAGGCTGGAGCCCGAGCTGATCTGCTTGAAATGGCACAGGTGACCTACGTCAAGGGGTGGACCGCCAGGCTGCTTCGAGAAAATGGTTACCGGAATCTGAGGGCCCTCGCAGAAGCAGATGCAAAGGATTTAGTCCCCGTTCTGGTGATGGTATAACAAACTTCATTTCAGTCTAAATGCGTGATGCTCATGATGGACCAGGTGAATCCGCGCAAAGCCCAAAAAAGTCAGCTTCATCCCGCAGAAGCCGAGCGATATGCTAAAAAGCTGTTGGCCAAAGCAGAAGTTATAATTTCGTCGGCAAACAAAGTCTGGGGTATGTTAAATCGTTTCGCTGAATTACAATTGCCTTGTGCTAACTCTGGCTCGAACCACAATAGAACGTGAGATGCAGGTAGAAGTAGATGAGTGAATAGTTGCCGCGACCTGGCTGTACATACTTGGGGCTTCATTGGTAGGAGATCGACGATCAGGCAATGCCGACAACTTTGGACATTCGATTTGAACATCGCTTGTTTGCAGAATTGCTCTTCTTGTCGCATCAACGAAAACTGCATTGCTGAGAGTCATGGTCCTTAGGTCATGGAAAATTGGATTCCGTGCGGTTCATGGGTATGAACCACAGAATTTAAACAAGGCTCACAGCATAGAGAAGCGTCACCTATTTACACCCCATTGAGCAGGTCTTGTGCGGCAATCGGCTGACCTTGGTCGACAAAGTCCAGCAAAATGAAATTGGGCCGCCGACCGTGAAGAGAAAGACACAAATCGGCTTGAGCGCCAATACTGCTCTCGCCGGAGACCGCGTTGGTCTCGGCTGCATGCTCGCGGTCGGGGATCAAGATGCCCAAGATATCGACATCCAGGAAGTGATTTACGATGTACATGCGACCAGTGGCCGAAGCACCCGACGGCCGATTAATGCTGCAGTCTGAAAACGAGGCATCGGTCACATCATATGGCGTTTCAAAGAAATAGGCGAATTCGTCCAGGATGTACGGAACCGTTGTTGCATCGGCGCCATAGTCTGGACGAGCTTGTCAATTCTCGTCCCGACCGCTTAGGAGGGAAAACTACCTACCCAGGAAGGTCACCAACCGCGTGCCACCGCTAATCAGCTCCTGTAGTGTTGGCCAGGCGTTGATAGCCAGCGTGCTTGGTGATGACTCGGGCACAAATGCGTAGTCGGTAATACCTGCGCTCACGAAGGCCTCGGCGAAACGTGTTACCGACAAACTGTCACCGTTCGTCAGGAGCAAGGTCACGACCTCATCCGGATTTTTGTCCAGCCAGGTCTTGACGGTGGTCAGATAAGATTCCAAAGTTCCGGCATCTTCCAGGAGACACGACGTATGGCAAAGGAGGATTGTCTCATTGTCGATTGACTGATGGGTCTGGCCTTGTAGGAAGCGGATCCCCAAGTCGAGTTGTGCGGTGACATCAATGTTTTGATTCTGCTGAGGAAGTCGCCCAACAAAGGGACTGTCGTGAGCGCCAACCTGCGTCACATTCGAGTAAATACGGTCGCAGTAGGCCGCCTGGCCGTTGCAGGTCGATTGGGCCAAGACGGGAAGCACAACTGATGTAGTTGCGATGCCTGCCGCGGCCAGACTGAGGACAACGGGCGAGAGAAGCATTTTGTATTAGACCTTGCTGCTTGAATTTGGTTCGACTCAGGAGAGTAAAACCGAGACGGTAGCTGGAGGCTCGGGGTACTATATATTCCCCCGAGTTACACACCAGCGTGTTAAAATGACCAAATCATGGGGTGCGGTCAGTGAATTCATCCGAGTCTGCAGGAGCGTGAGAGCAACCCCGACGCTTGTGATGCGGACCGCGAGCTAGATTAGACTAGATCATGTAGAAAGAATGTGATTGTGATGAGCACAGGGGGAGAGAGTGCGCGCGGAATGGAGGAATTCCCGCATCAGAGAGGGGAAGTTGGAGCTAGTATAGAGTGGCCGGTGCACGTGCAAGTTGTCGCAAGGATCTACTTGCTACAAGGGCTACCCATGAAGACCGGCGTGCAGCACCTCGAAAATTATCAGAAGGCAAGGTCTATAATGCCGTAGGAAAATCGAGGTTCCAGGCGGAAAAAGCACTTTCCGATGCATATTCCGAGAGGGAAATCTCCCTCTCCGTTGCTTTGCTCTCTTGGCCCTTGAGCCATCACTAGGCTTCTCAATCATTTCAATCTCCTAGATCTGGTAACACAATATCTGCCTCCCTCAACATTGTTCCATTCTTACTAGGGTTTCTTCTATTCAACTCGTGAAATTTCAATTCGGGAATATGTTGAGCAAGTGAAATATCCCCGTTCCAGCTGCATGTCTGGGGTCATATCTAGACGCGCTCAAGAATTGTTTGATCGGCCTTCAGGCCTCGATCTTGAGTGACGAGGAGATGCGAATGAGTTGAAGCCGGAGTTTTTCAGAGGTATATAAAGCCCATCGCCTGTATGCCGTCGATATCGGCATGGCCCCTTTCATGTGCAAATTAGATCGCAAGACGTTTGATTTTGCCCAAGGGGTAACCAAGCTGCAAACAAGAGGTTTAACCCGACAAGTCTCTGTAACTCAGACAGTCTGAAAGGCCATCGCGGACATAGACGCTAGAGGGAGCTACCAGGAACCTGAATGCCCGTATCTACTCACACCTCTATCTGCCTCCCATCTTGTCTTAGATGTCTGACGATGAAAAAGCTATGGTTGACCACTGCATGGCATACGACCAGACAGAACTCACTGGTGCTTGCCCTTCCCGACTTGAAGTCGTTTGGGTCAATGCCAAGTAACCGAATGTTGTGATCGATGATAGCAAGGATACCTGGATCATCGATCTCAAGGGGGCTGGATCTCTGGCCGTATGCACTATCCGAAGGTCGGATGATATAGCGGAGACTATTTGGCGGGACTGATACAAGTCAAAAAGCTGAGACTCAACATTAGTGTCTTCTGCTCAGCAGTCTGTATACTGGACGCCTAAGCATTCTATCCTATGCTGATGTCAATTGATGCCTGAGGCAGGTACCATAGTTAGTAGTCGGTAAATAAATACCCACCCATCCGATTCGGGCCTAGTTCACATGGTACCCGGGCATGAGTGTCCCGTCCGCTTACCGCATCCAGGACAGTATCGAACTCCCTCCACCTGCTCCTCAACGTCTCAAAGTTCTTTTCGCTTCTCGACCAGACGAAAGCAATAATAGGGAAGAATTTCATCTCTTGTCTTCTCCTGAAGAATGAGCTGGACATTCTGCCTTACTGCCTGGCTGGGTTCATGGTAACGGGTTGCGTTCTCCGGTTTTCGTCCCCACTCGGACTTAGCGCCTATCGCCCGCTCCAGTTTAGCCTTCGTGACAACTGCCAGGCCTGCCTTCATTCATCTTCCCACTCTCTTCTCACACTCCCAGCTCGTTACGGCCTCGTCATACTCCCGCCACCCTAACTTCACATCTTAGTTCTTCCGAAAACAAATTGGGAGAGATGGTCATTCGAATCTGCTGCCGATGAGCTCCATGATCGAGGCCAGCAATGACTGGGCACGAGAGGATGAGCTCGACTTGGGACCAGACGACGATGCACCCTCCCCGCCGACCCGCAACGGTCTCACCGACCATGTTGTTGACTCCCATCAAGGGTCGACGTCGGATTCAATGGCTTTCGCCGTCGAAGAAGACCTGCCAGATCTGACCAGCGAGAATCATGCCTCCTCCGTCAAACCACTCCCTGCTGTTGACCCCGATACGACCGATCTTCCCTCTACACCGCGTTCCGGGCAGCCCGGCGCTCCCGGTAGTGTTGATGAGACTCTTTCAATCCCGGACGACACTCCCTCCCTCCATGTGCGTCGCAACTGTCATTTTGCGGTTGTGGTCCGTGGCTGATTGATCGCTATAGGGCTCCATCGTATCGTCGCGAAGCAGCAGCGCGTTGGCCTTCCGAGGCTCGCCTCGACTCAGCCCCAGCCCCTCCCATCGCCCATTCGACCTTCGTTTCCAGTCCAGACTATCTTCCAGCTCAATCGGTAACCTCCGATCGGCGTCGCCATTTCTAGCGCACTTGCACTCTCGCAAATCCTCCGTCACCAGTCACCTATCTCCTGGCACCGTGGACTCGGGGCCCGGTACGCCTCAGGGCCCCTGGGATGTCGTGCGATGGACCAAGCTAAGAAAAATCAACGGCCAGGCGTTCTCCGAAGCGGGAAAGCGAAACTTTGGCCATCCGACTTGCATGGCGGTCTCAACATCAATCGTGGTCGGAACTTCCAAGGGAATAATCCTCGTCTTCGATTACCAGCAGAACCTCAAGACAATTGTTGGCCTAGGGACGAAAGGTAAGCTTCAACGACGCCTTGGCTCGCACTGATAATGTACTAACTGTAGATTTAGCTGTCGAATGCGGCGCGATCGCATCCCTGGCGCTTTCTGCGGACCACTCCACGGTTGCCGGAGGCCATCAGTCCGGCGATATCTTTACCTGGGAAATTTCGCGATCTGCTCGACCCTTCCTTCACATACCCCCGATACCGGCAAGTCAGATCGATGATCGTCCAGCAGATGGTCATATCGCAGGGTCTCCGGTCATTCATGTGGGCTTCTTGGGTACCCGACGCACTGCGCTTGTGTCTGCCGATAAACGAGGAATGGCCTTTTCGCACTTAGCCACACGTGGAATGGGCGCAGTCGGACGGACGGTGAAGACAAGTAGGATCTTGGGCCGCTATCCCCAGGTTTACGCAGAAGGATTCCGGCCACGCAAGCCCAGCTCAGTCCTGGCCTTTTCGCCTCTTCCTTTGGGCAACGTTGAGCAGCCGACCGACTCCCTGGGTCTGGTTGCTATGCTCACGCCCTATCTTCTAGTAATCGTGTCAACGACACCCGTCGCCCAAACTCAACATAAAGCGCCTCGCCCAAAGGAGGTTGCTGCCCATGGCGCAATGACTGGAGCGCTGGCCTGGTTTCCGGCAATTCGGCTGAAGGGTACAGAACACGAAACGTCGCGGACGAAGCTGGTCTATTGTTGGTCTAATGTGTTGACGGTGCTAGACGTCTTGGAGGTGGAAACGGACGAACCTCCGAACCGGGACCGACCCCCAAGCCTTGCGTTCAGACCACGAAGCAGATGGAAAGCTGACGAGGCCATTGTAGCTGTTCAATGGCTGAGTCGCTCAGTGATGGCGGTGCTTACGATCACGCAACAGTTGCTCATCCTCGAGGATCACACCATGCGTGTTACGGAAGCGGTTGATTTGCTTAATCGGCACATCTACCATGTGGATTTGTTCTCCGCTCAGCTCCATAGCCTGGTCGAACAGTTCAATGAGGAGGATACAACGATGCATGGTGTGGTCGCCGATGCATTCTTTATGAGTTTTCGCTCTTATAAGGGGCGCTTGTTCCTACTGGGCTATAATGAACTTCTTATCGGAGGTCTCTCAAATTGGGCTGATAGGTTACTTGCCCTCATGGAGGCAGGCGACTTCATTGGAGCCATCCAGGTGGCGACCTCCTACTACCAAGGTAGTGCTGAGAAGCTCACGATTGGCCTCCCGGAAGAGGACGCATTGAGGCAGCCTTTGGTTCGAGAAAAGCTCCTGGAAATGATTTCTGCATCGCTAAAATATGCATTCGGCCGCAACGCAGAGGCGAGTAATGAAATGCTTGAGAATACACAGCTCCAGGAACTGGCCGAGGTTTCTATAGCTGCTTGTGTTTGCATGTCCGAGTTGAATTATCTCTGGGACGAAGTTTTCACCTGGTTTGAAGAAAGTGACTCGCAAGGCATCTTCCTGGACGCACTTGAGTCATACATTGTCGAGGGAACTGTTCGCTCTCTTCCTCCTACGGCTGTCAAAGCTTTAATCAATCATTTCGCGACCAACCACACAGCCAGCAGACTGGAAGAAATCATCTGCCTACTGGACACGGCCACTATGGATATCGACCAGACCACTACGCTCTGCAAGCACTACAACTTGTACGACGCATTCATTTATGTCTGGAATCGCTGCCTTGGGGACTATGTGGGTCCACTGCAGGAGCTCTTGGGGCTCATACCAACCCAAGAGGCCTTGACTAACGGAGACTCTGCTAACGACATTACACAATACACGAATGCGATGAAAGTGTTCCCTTATCTTTCTTTTGTCCTCACTGGTCGGGTCTATCCTACTGGCGATGACATGGAGGAGACGGATGCCAATCGAGTCAAGGCGGCCTTGTACGATCATTTGTTCTCTGGAAACCCTTCCGGCAGAGGGCGAGAGGAAGCCTCTGAGACATTCCCAGACCTGCGGACCATGTTGAGATTTGACACAGCTAGCTTTATGAGCATGATGAACGAAGCGTTTGAAGACAGTTTTCTGAATGACCAGGAGCCCGATGAAGTCCCGTCGCACGGGGTGTCAGTCAATCGACAGTATTTGATCAGTGTCCTACTACAAATCATGACTTCCTCGTCCTTTGATGCATCGGATACCATTTGGTTAGACATGTTTGTTGCTCGCAATCTTCCCAAATACCCTCAATACATTCTTCTCTCGGGCAGCACACTTCATCAGGTCCTCGAACGACTTTGTCGATATCCAGACCCGGCCATGGCGGACGACTGTGAACTCAGCGCTGAGTACCTCTTATCTATCTATCATCCTCCTGATGTGCAAGGAATGATACCGTTGTTCAAGGAAGCTCGGTTTCTCCGGATCTTGAAATCGACGTATCGTTCGGAGAAGCAATACCCCGAACTCATCTTGACCTATCTCGAAGACCTCAATGAGCAAGAAGCCGTTTTTACGTGCCTGCAAGACTGCCTTCGTCCTGGCTCCGGTCTGGGCAAAAAGCAGAAAAGGGATGTTCTTGACGTGGTAAAAACCCATGCTGGTCAGCTTGCCGCGATCAACGTCGAACGAGCCGCCCATACCATGCATGCCTTTGCTCCAGAAACACACGAGACCTTTTTGAACGCCCTACAACAAGATCCCTATCGACAATACCAGTACTTGGGCGTTATCGTTGGGATTGCTCTGCAGTCTGTGACGGAGGGCCGACCATCCAAACCTATCGAGAACTGGATGATCGAGCGGTACGTGCAGCTGCTCTGCAAGTATGATCCTTCTCGAGTGGCCGATTTTGTCGATGATCTGCGTATAGGTGACGTACGTCTGGAGGAGCTGCTGCCTTCCATGGAGGAGAGCGGTGTAGTGGACGCCGCAGTCATCTTGTTGGCTCGTCAAGGCCAGGTTCGAGCAGCTATGGACCGTCTCATCACACATTTGGGGAAGCTTGAGTCTGGCCTCGTGGGCATTTTACAGAACATCAACGACAGTCCAGATTCTGCAAGCACCACCGAAGCCACTGACCACCTTGTAGAATCATTGGAGAAATATACCCGTGTCGGCACTTGGCTCTGTCGGGGCCAGACGAGCACGGCCAAGAATTCCCGAGCAGTTGAGAAGAATGGCTTCAATAAAGGAGCTGTCGAGCTGCCTCTGTCGTTTGATGAAGCCCTCTGGCTCGATTTGATAGAGGCTGTGGTGCGCATTGCCAGTGGTGTCTTTGGCTTGATGCCCAAAGAAACCGCAAGAGCAGGCGATGCTCCAGTGGCCGCAACTCCATCTCACTTGATGACAGCCTTCCGTTCCCTGGTCCAGCAGGTATTTACCGCCCTGCTCGCCAGCACGGTGCGGAGTGGAGGGCCGTCAACCAGCGAACGCAGCGATGTCGCCTTTCTCCGAATCCTGCGTGCCTTCCTCACGAGGGCTGCAAGCTGGTCGCCATCCCTGCTTGAGCTGCGGGCGGTGCTGGCGTCGATATTCTCCGCATACACTTACGAAAAATCACTACTGGCTCTTGCGAACGGCATGCTCGACCGGGACTTATTTGTGCACGTGGATGAGGTGACACGACTGCGCCAGCGGGGATGGCGACCACGCGGCCAGGTATGTGAGATCTGCCGACAGCGCATCTGGGGACCTGGGGTTGGACCCCAGTACTGGCAGGCCTGGGAGCAAAAACAAGCAACGACGCAGCAAAACCGTCTTGCAAAACGGCTCCACGACCAAAATGATCCTGCGACCGCGCGGGGGAAGGGAAAGGCGGCCGACGTAGGTCAGCCGCGACATTTACTGGAAGGCCATGCGGACTCTCCGGATGGCTTGGCTTCTGCGAATGCGGACGGTTCCGAGCAGCCTGCCGGATCTGTCGTGGTTTTCTCCTGTCGACATCTGTATCATCGTCGTTGTATTCTGGACGTCGAGCAAACTGATGCTGCTCAGAACCATTCCCGTCAATCATTCCGTGGCGGTTCGGACCTGGAGGTGTTGTCGTGCCTGGTGTGCCCTGTACATACATAGTGAACGAGCGATTGGCATGTGATAATGACCCGTCAAATTCTATTTAATCCTATTTCCTTTATAGTCTGTTTCTATCTTGTCGATCTTTACCACATTTTCTTTGTTGCGCGTTGGCTGATGCTGAATGACCGGGCGTATGGGACGCCCGGTGCGAAGAACAGCGGGAAAGACGCCTCATGAATCGGGGTGAGTCTACTTCCCTCCTTCACCATTTTCCTTTATTCATTTGTTTGCCAATCCTGCTTGTTCCCCCCCCGGAGACAGGCGGGAAAGCGCCGATCGAGGGACGGGCGTGGCTACTAGCTTTGCGCGTGTGCTTCGCGGCAGGCCGAAAATCGCCGACGATTCGCTCTGCATTGACGAGCTTGCATTCCTCACCCGCCGCTATTTGACGCCCACTCCATGCACTGTCAACCATTGGGCTCGAGTCCTCCCTTTTTACTTGGCCTTGGATCCCCTGACGAAATTGAGTCTAATCCTCGTCCTGTCTTATCACTGGTCAGCGGCGTTCATTTGCGCTTAATCATACATCCTCCCCATCAATCCGTGACATATCCACGCGCACATGGGCCTGCCATCTGCCCCCGACTGCCATTCACGCCATGCGACAGGTCTCAAGGTCTGGTCTGCTGGGTGGATCATGGCTGACGCCACGGTTCACTAGTGGATGAGCTTGTACGTTGCGGGTTCGCGCAGGAGAAAGGAGTCCTGGTCTATATATGGTTGCTTCAAGTCCGTCGCAGACAGCGGAACTACAAGACCATCACAGTTCTGCAACACTCCTTTGGTTCACACTTCATTGTCCTTACAGCTGGGCTGTTAGTCTTCATTCATTCTATCAAGAGGTAGTCCTGCTACCTATCCACTCCTTAGCGACTCGGAGATAACACTCATTCACCTTGCATTGCGCCATACATTCCTTCTATAGGCGCCATGCGGACTGGTACTGCCCTCCTGACGGCTCTTGGCCTTACGGTGCAGATTGGTAATGCAAGATATACATTGCTGGATGACTATACCAGCTCGTCCTTCTTTGACCGCTTTAGCTTTTACACTGACACGGATCCTACCCACGGGTTCGTCAGCTATGTTGGCCAATCCACCGCTCAGAGCGGCGGCCTGATCTCAACTAACGCTGATGGCTCGGTCTACATGGGCGTGGACCACACCAATGTGGCCAGCAGCGGCCGGGAGAGCGTGCGCATCACCAGCAACAGCCAGTATACCCACGGGCTGTTTATTGTGGACCTGGCGCATATGCCTGGTGGAATTTGCGGCACCTGGCCCGCATTGTGAGTTGCCCTTGGATGTACAAGTGTGTCCCTAACTTCCTAACCGAACGGAAAACAGCTGGCTCCTTGGCTCCAACTGGCCGAACAACGGAGAGATTGACATCATCGAAGGCGTCAATCAGCAGACCGATGACTTGATGACCCTGCACACCAGCGACGGATGCACGATCAACAATTCTGGCTTCACCGGCACCCTGACGACCAGCAACTGCTATGTCTATGCTCCGGATCAGTCTAGCAACGCGGGCTGCAGCATCACCTCCCCCAGCTCCCAGTCTTACGGATCGGCCTTCAACTCTCTCGGAGGTGGTGTCTACGCCACCGAATGGACAAGCTCCGCCATCAAGATCTGGTTCTTCCCCCGGGGCAGCATTCCCTCTGATATCACAAGTGGCAGTCCCACCCCGTCCTCCTGGGGAACACCAGCCGCCAACTTTGCCGGTTCTTGTGATATAGACTCGCATTTCAGCGCCATGCAGATTGTACACCTCCCCAACCACCCCATTTACCTAATCCCTTTTCTGCCGGGTCCTCGACTTTGCTAATACTTAGTATGCAGGTCTTCGACACCACCTTCTGCGGCGATTGGGCCGGGAACGTCTGGAGTTCGGGGTCCTGCGCCTCCTACGCAAGTTCCTGCACAGACTACGTGGCGAACAACCCGTCTGCATTCCAAGATGCGTACTGGACGATCAAATCGCTGAAAGTCTACCAGGATAGCAGCATCAACAGCGTGCGCAATTCAACCACGTCAAGACGCTGGCCAGGCATGTCGCAGATGGGCCGCGGGCCGGCATTTATTAAAAAGGGCCGAAGAGGTCCCGGGGGATACGAATATGCTTTCCGCGGGTGATTTCACGATAGAACGAGATACGGTCGGTAGAAGATAGACTACTTAGATGGTTCCTCGATTCGTTTGGCTCTGCTTCGGGTTGGTTCTGTTGTTGGTGTTTTTTTTTTTCGGGTTCGAGACCCAGGGACATTCGCTTCACTTGACATATTCAATCCTTGCTTTCTTCCTTCCTTTTTTTCTTCACATTCGTTTCTGGGATATGAGGGACCCTGTGCACCGACTTACCTTGCAGTTCGCATTCGCTTACCGGGAGGGGAAGCTAGGAAGAGGGCTATTCATTCGTTTTTGGCGAAGACGGTAGATGGATATACGCATCGCCTTCGTGGTTTCTTTTCAGAGATTCAAGACGCTCGTTTTTGGCTGGACCAACTCAGGATTTTCGAATGATGGTTTGAGGGAGGGAATAGATCTAGCGGGCGGGTCATATACACTTTGTATATATGCGTTGGTAATATATACTCTACTCTCGTTTTGAAAGGGTTCTGCTTGTTGTTATGTTGCTATTAAAATGCTTTCTTCATTCAAAAAGGGTATGATACTTTCGTACTGGAAACATACAACACGCCTTCTTCGTCCACGCGTGACTACCTAGTAGGGAGAGGCATGCAAATGGTAGTCAGTAGTAGCGTAAAAGGATGTGAAACTTTTGATCTAACAGATCTCTACCAGGGTATTCTATATACACAGATACCACATTCAAAAGAAAAACCAAGAAATAACAACCATGCCGGAACTACAAACCATCCGAACAATATCAACACCATTACTTTCGAATGCAGCCAGTCCCATTGGGAAGAGTGACCTGGCCAACCCACCAAAACCCAGACGTACACACACCTGAGAAAACCACGGATGTTGCGAATAGACCAGACAAGAGAAATATAAAAAGTCTTCATATCATAGAATAAGGGTTGTGTGTAAGGCTCAAGCTTTTTGATTGTGTTCCCGCGGCTTTCATTACAACTACTACTGCTGCTGCTGCTGATCTAGTGCTTCTTCTTGCGGCCCTCCGTGCCCTTCTTGATGATCTTCTGTCTCTTGGAGTCAATCTCCTGGTCGTAGATCTCGCGGGCGGATTCGCCCTTCTTCCGCTTGGTTTGCTTGGAGGACTTGACGCTGACGGTTGAGGTGCCGCCGGTGCGGATCTGCTTCTCGGCTTCGTCCCATGCGGTGCTACCGTTGTTGATTTCGTATCTGGAGGCTGTAAATCAGTTATTGTTCGTTCCGGTCCGGGTCGAGGAGGGAGTGGAACGGGGGGGGAGTATGGTCGGGTTGGGGAGTTTGAGTTGGTAAGGAGGGGTGTGACTCACTTCTCAAGAGGCAAGGCGTCGATCAGTGCCCGCTGCTTCTCGCGCAGCTCCTCGTCGATCTGCTGGCCGCCCTCGCGGAGCTCGTCATCGAGTTCCGTTTCCAGGGGCTTGAAGCGGTCGTCCATCACCTCGTCGTGCGCCTCCGTGGCGCTCTGCGCGGCGATGGCGGCCTTCTCGGCCGGGAGGGTCTCGGCGACGGCGCCCTCGATGACGGCACGGAAGTGCGTCGACATCTTGCGGATGATCTTCAGGAACATGGCCAGTAGCTGCGAGGACGGCAGGTTGATTTCTTTCTCGAGGGCCTCGAGGTTCTTGCGCTGCAGACCGATGGCCAGGAGGATTGATTGCTGCACGCCCGAGAGGCTGACCTTGCCGCTGAGGCGGCCGGAGAAATAGTACTCGGCGATCGTGGGGACCATGTCCAGGATGACGTGGTAGTCGAGGAGATTGTTGGCATAGCTGTCGAGACGCTTGAGGTCAAAGGGAGAGAAGGCGCGGTCCAGGTCGGCCTTGGTCAGGGGGAGCGGAGTGAAGGAGATGTCGAGCTTGGCGCCGGCGTTGGCGGACTCGCAGATGCTGAGCGACAGTACCGAGGGGAATTCGCGGAACTGGTACGACAGGAGCGAGTTGAACCGCTTGTGGAAATCCCGCGAGAACGCGCCCAGCCAGCTGGCGTCGTTGGGGCCGGTGGCAAGCGTGCGCAGCATCACGCACGAGTGCTCGCCGGTCAGGTCGTTGGGAGTCTGGCGGAGGTAGACTGGAGAGAAGGAGGACCGCTTCCAGAATTTGTGCAGAGAGGGGGTCAGACCGAAACTGACACCGAGATAGTCCAGAGCGTCGGGGCGGCGCTCGGAAAGCTTGCCGAACAAGGGAGGCATCTTGTGGATGTCGCGGACTTGGATGTTGTCGTCCAGGAGATTGGAGTTGGCGAGTTCCTCGTCCGTCACGCGGACCATCTCCTCCGGAGTCTCCACGGCATCCTCTGACAGACTGGTGAACTTGCCCTCGTAGAAGTCGGTCAGCAGCTCCAACGCGCGGGAACCGTAGCCCATGTTGAGGTACTCGGGGTTCGTGGCGATGCGGACCACTCGGGCACCGGAGAGGCCGGCGAAGTCTTCATCTTGATATTGTTGGCTGACCAACCAGGGAATCAGGTCTCCTCCGGCTCGTTGACCGCGGCTTAAACTGTTGAGAACGCTCTGTCTGCTGATGCGACCTTCCAGCGCAACCTGGATCACAACAAGGGGCTCGGGAAGCTTCGTGGCCTCCTCGTCAATGGGAGGGACAAGGACAAACAACTGGTGCGCGGGGGCATCGCTCATAAGCTGGAGATCATTAGGGGTATTCTTGTAGTGGCTGGCCACGTAGAGGGCCATCATCTGCTGCAGGAACTTCTCGGAGACAGGGTGGAAGGAGAATAGGGTATCACGGTTGACTTGGAGCAGTTGGCACTGCGATGGGTGGGGGCAGCCCTGGGTGTTCATCCGGGACTTGGGCAAAGTCGCGTCAAGACACAAGACCTTGTTCAGCCACTTCTCCACCGAATCGCCGGGAGCGTAACGAATAGGCTCAGCAAGGGTAATCTCGCGGAGCGAACGGCCACCCAGACCCTTGTCGGCGTTCTTGGCCGCCTTGCCGGTCGCCCGATCAGCGACATCGATTCCCTCCTCACCATTGGTCTTCAGTCCTCCTCTGGACTGCTCACGAAGCTGCTGAATCAGCTTCAGCGAAAGAGACCGACCGGTTCCTTCGTAACCGTTGATTGTGGAAGCCATGAACACCAGGTACGGGCCCATCAGTTTGCGGACCAAGGGCAGAGGAATGGCGGCAGCCTCATCGATAACCAACAATTCAGCCTGACCCAGAACATGAGCATCCTGCGGCTGGATGTACTGAATGGTCTGGCGGTGCTGACGGTGGATGTTGACGCGAACAATAGCCTTGTTGAAATCGGGGTTCGTCGACTGCAAAATGGTGTAATCGACATGGTCCATGTAGCCGAGCGCATCAAAACCTTTGAACACGAACTCGAAAAGAGTCTTCAAGTTCTCTGGGCTGGGCGAGGTGATGAAGATGTTGCTGTATCCATGGGCCACCGCAGCCGCAATGGCGACACCAAGCGCCGCCGACTTACCGCGACCTCTGCCGGCAGTCAATGTCACCGTGCTGCGAAGCGTCTTCTCGGCAATCGCATCCACGAAGGTAAGAAGCGCCTTCGCCTGATCCACGGTCTTGGCCAGCTTGACCAGGGGCCCAACCAGCTGAGACTCTTCCAGGCTCTCCTTAATTTCCTTCAACTCCTTCTTAGTGCCCGTGTTGTTCTCGTCAATCGATTCGGGGGGCGGCAGCGGCTTGACGTTTTTGCCTCCGGAGATAGGAAGAACGTTCATTTCGTCGTCCAGAACAAGGCAGGAGTCGCAGCTGCCCAGGGAAAGGATGAAACGCTCGTTGAATCGAGCCACCACATCGTCATGCGCCTCGGTTCTGTACCGTGAGTGAATGTCCATCGACAGAGTATAGAGTTGCTTCAAGCTGCTCATGCCCTTCAGCAACAGCAGAACAATACCACCTCCCTCGACGGTTTCGACAGTGCGGGCGAGCAGGTTGGGCGTCATGGCTTCGAAGTCCTGGAGAATGCACATGCCATACGTGTTACCGAGAATCTTCTCCGTTTCCTTGTAGTAGACATAGCGGATCTGGTTGAGGGTGATGAACAGCTCGAACGGGTCCTCCTGGTTCGGCTCTCTGATACCGCGCTTGACCTCCTTCTTGATCTTAGCCTCGCGCTTCTTGCGGTGACTAGTGAATCCCAGTAGATCCTTCTTGTAAGCCCACAGAACAGACTTGTTCTGCTTGACGTCGACGCTGGACATGATGTAGTGCAAATTGACGATAACATCCTTAGCGCGGTCGCCGACGACGACAAAGAAGCTTCTCTTCTTCTCTTGAACGCCGTTCCGGATGAGCGCCGGAATACGCGAATCAATGGCCTTGCGAGGCATGATGGCGATGTGATCTCTTCCTGTACTCTTATCGTAGAAGGGCCAATTGGCGGAATTCCGAGCGCAATGCTTCCAGCCGGTCGGAGGAAAATTCGTCGACGGCGGCGGAAATCACAGACTCGTGCCGGAAGTGCTGTCTGTGAGAACCGATCGGGACACCGCACAGCAGTTTGATTGACCGAGACACAGACCAGGTCCTCAAGAACAGAGAGAAGACAGATGGCCAAGTGCTGGGGACTGAGATCACACTCTCTTGCTACATGTAGAATTGGCAAGCGGCGGTTCTGCGCCAGAAAAAAAAAGTTATCGGCGACCGGGCCGCAACTGCCAAGTGCCACCGCTTACTGTAAATGATACCGCCCTCCCAGCACGTGCCTTACACGGTGCCTGAGTGTGGCTAATCTCAAAGTGGTATAGCGGTTCTTATCTGCGGGAGCGTTATTCACGTGATCCTTGGCAAGGCTGCCTTTGCCAAACAGAACGGAGACTTGGCCGAATGTCCGAGACAATCATACAGACATACGCTCTGTCAATTGTTCGATAATTCTTCCCCAAGGTTCACATGCAGTCTACATACATTCTGTTACCACTGACTGGTTCTGCGACAGCCAGGGACGGACTTCACACAGCTAGCCCCCAGTGGAGCTGCATGGGAAATTAACCGGTTGCTATTTTAGGGCCCGTGCTTCCCAACCCCGATCAGCCGCCTTGGATTCTCATGGACCGAGATTTGATAGTAGACCATCAGGAGCGGAAAAACAAGGTTCTAATATGATGACCGAGAGTCGATCGATGCGGACGACATCTGTCTGAACTGTGACGAGACAAGACCGTCCCAGATCACAGGGGCAGATGCCAGTTTGGGGATAGTCGCAGCTGAGACTGGCATTGCCAGACGCGTGGACTTGTCTTGGAACTTTGCCGATCAGGAAGGAAGATGAATGGGCTGGACCCTGACGGAGAATACTCACTCACTACTGAAGTCTACCTACGGAGATTGTACGTAGATGAGAAGACATTAGTGACATTCCAGTCTCAATGCTGACGTGCATGAGAGAAAGAGACCGAAAGACTATTTACTAAAAGGCTAATGACTAGTCGATGATGGCCAGATTGCAACCCTTTGATCCATGGGCCAGAACAACCTTCTTCAATTTCTTCCTTTCCTTTCCCTTCCGTGTCAGCTTCTCCTCTTCTTTTGCTCTGCTTGCTTGCTTGTTTGTTTGCTTGCTTGTTACTTGGCTGGCTGCTGGCTTGCTTGACCAATCTTGGCATCAGTAGTCTCTTTTCTCTTCTCTAATCCCCTTGCTCTGCTTCTTTTCTCTCCTCCTTCTTCCCCCTCTTCCCCCCTCCTTCGGCCCCCTTTGTCTCTTTTCCTCTCCCCTGATTTATCCATGATTCATTCATAAGATCGGAAGAAGGAAGACACCGAAGAAGTGCAAGTCCTGACGTCTCCACTGCTACCCGTGCGGGATTGCCCCAGCCATTTTCCACTCTTCTCCTCTCCTCTCCTCTTCTCTTCTTCCTCCCCCCCCCCAAAAACACCAAGCCGAAACCTTTTGGCCACTGGGTCCCTTAACTCTCTCTTTCCTTTCCACGCGTTTCTCCTCTTCCCACCTGTCGCCCTGGCCTTTTCGGTAGTTCACATCATAATCTCAATGCGCTGCATGAAATGAACGATTAATCCATGCAAGAATGGCTATGCGACCTGCGTACTCATGATTGTCTGATTCGGAATGGTACACTTCTCCGCTGAGACGGGGCTCAAGGCCTCTGTGGGGTGAGTTGCGGCCACAACTTCCGATCATCTGCCTCCCTTAGATTTCCATGCGTGCTAATTGAGATTCACCTGCCTTAGAATCTTTCTGCTTAGCTGCACCTTTCTTGCAACGTCTTACTCCACCACTTTTGCTTTCGGTAAATTCCGTCCATCCCATGGAGAAATTGTGTAGTTCGAGGTCTCGGGGCGCATCGTGCAGCCACAGCCCGGCTCGCTAACACTCCCCTCAGATCATCCCCTCAACACCGCTGTGATAACATGTCTCATCGCTGGGTTCTCCCTCCTGATACTAAGCCGGATCGTCAATCGCATCCCCAACCCGGCATCCTCCGTCCACAAGTACAGCGTCATACCTTTGGCAGAACGCGACCAAGCCATTGATGAACCTTCGTCGCCGATCAGTCTGGAAAGCAGCAGTAGCAGTATTGGTCCTTCGAAGACGCGCAACCTGTCTCGATGGTTCAGAATCGGCCTAATCTCCGTGCTTGGCTGCGTCCGGATTGGTCTTTATCGCCAGATAACCACAAACATTGAATGCGCGCCGGACGGTTACGCGGTAAGTGCGCTGGCATACAGGACATATGCAGAAGGCAGCGCTAAACTTCAATGTCTTGGCCTTAGTATACAATCCCCCTTTTCATCGCTATCTATGACTATTGGCGCAATCAGCGTGGTCGGTCCGCAACAAAATGGGCCGCTCCTGAAGAGCCCCAAAATGCGCCACTTCGCACAATAGCGACTATTGCCAGTCGCATACATTTCTTCGCCTTTCGCGGCCAGTTGCGTTATGTCGCGTCAGCGGCTTGCCTGCTGGCAAGCGGATACCTAGCGGTGGCATTTGATAAAGGACGAGAATCGACATACATCTGCGCCACGGTGTCGGGCCAGTTTTCGCGACTACACACGTTGAGAGTGCTAAGCGTCGTCCTCGACTGCTCAATCTTGATTGGTGCTGCTGAATTGTCCAATGAAGGAACACGACCTCGTGACGGCAGGAGGAAACAGACTTTGGTATCTTGGGGTCTAAGCCTACTGGTGAGTCGGTCTGAAGATCGGTTCGGAGAATACGAGATCTAACCAAAACCAACTTGGAAAGGGCGTGGCTACATTCTGGGGTGTAATAGTGATCGTTCTCACAATCAAGTCTCATGGCGGTGATGACTTTGTCAATTCTCATTTTCTGCGGAGTGCGATAGGCCAGGGTGTGCTGGTAGCTTGTGTCGTCGTCTCTGCTTCTCAGCTAGTAAGTCCTTCGCATCCGTTGCGCGAAAAAGCAACCTGCTAACCCGACCAGGTCCCTCACTATGGCATTGTCGGGCTTTCGGTGCTGGCTGGCTTTGTCTCTTTGTATTACACCTGGACTGCGACCCTGTTCGAAGGACACCAGCCATTCCCACTTATCACCGCTCCCCGTGCCTTCGCCGCTCTGCTCTTGAATTATCTTGGAGGGCTGTCGTTCCTCTACGCGCGAACGGTCTCGGAAGAGGAACCGCAATTCCTCTATCGGTTTAACATAACTTTGCGTGTTGCTTTGACCGTAATGGCCGGCATTGGCTTCATTCTGGTCACCCAGCAAGGCAGTGTCGCCCACTTGCATCCGATTGACTTGCTCATCTACGAAGGCAGGCAACATCATGATAAATGGCTTCATCGGGCCAACAACAGTCAAACTCTGGCCGATGCTGTCGCGCAGTATCGTCTGCAATACAATCAACACCCGCCACCGTAGGTTCTTGTCCAGACCTTACTTACCATACCCTTGACTAAACATTCGACCAGGAACTTCGACAAATGGTATGAATTTGCCACAAATAAATCCTCCCTTGTCATCGACGACTTTGATGAGATTCACGAAAACCTGCTTCCGTTCCGCGCTTTGCCGCCTGCAGCAATCCGCGACATGACGCAGAAATTGGCCACAAACCCTTACAATGAAATCGGTGCCATCAGCATCCGCAATGGCTCGGCCAGGGTGCAAGAGGGCATCAAGCCCACCCATGCTTGGATGGTTATTAGTGCCGCCAAGATGATCGAGAAGTTTGCCGAACACCTGCCAGACATGGATCTGGCTTTTAATTTGAACGATGAGCCCCGTGTGGCCGTGCCTTGGGAGAAGATAAGCGCCCTCAAGGACCAAGCTCGGTCATACCCAGAACTTCGAGACGATAGAATATCAAATGAATGGTCGGCCGACCGTGGCGACCAGTGGCGACCAATCGAGCCAGCTGATCAAACGCATGAAACCATGTTTGTTGACAACTCCTTCAAGAATATCTTCGACCGCTATGTGAGCCCGACATGTCCTCCGTCTTCCAAAGCGCGCTCCCAGCGCATATGGGACCGCCGGCACCTCTGCATTAGCTGCGTTCGGCCTCACTCCCTTGGCGAGTTCCCCTCCGACTGGGCCCTGGCGACAGACATCTGCCACCAGCCTGACCTGGCCCACCTCCACGGCTTCTTCATGTCCCCAGCCTCGTTCAAAGTCTCGCAGGAACTCGTTCCAGTCTTCAGCCAGAGCGCCATCGCCGGCTTCGGCGACATCATCTTCCCCAGTCCTTGGAACTACGTCGACAAGATCGAATACAAACCCTCCACGGAATATCCGGATGCAAACTACACCGACAAGGCGAACACCTTGTTCTGGATCGGCAGCACCAGCGAGGGTATCAGTCACTCAGGCGAATGGAAAGGCATGCCGCGGCAACGCCTCACTCACCTGATCAACAACAACACGCACAACCACGTCTCCGTCTTTTTGCCCACCACCGACAACACCACCGACTCGTACCGCTACCAAATTCTCCCGGGCACGTCTCCCTCCTCCGACCTCCACCTTGACACCACCGTCCACATCCTCGACCCAATCGTCCGCTGCTGGCGCAAGGACTGCGACGACCAGGCCGCCGAATTTGGCCTTACGGGCCGCGTGGACTTTCAAACCCACTGGCAGAACCGATACCTCTTCGACGCCGACGGCGCCGGCTTCAGCGGCCGCTTCCTTCCCTTCCTGCAGAGTCACAGTCTCCCCTTCAAGACGGGGCTGTTCCGCCAATGGTTCGAAACGCGCATCACCCCCTGGCTACATTTCGTGCCCGTGGACGTCCGCCTCCACGGTCTGTGGAGCACCTTAGCCTATTTCTCCGGGGTCGAGTCGTCCGCGACCGACCAGACGAAAGCGCCTCCCCTCCTCAAACCCCACGACATCGAGGGCCAATGGATTGCCGAGGAAGGCCGGAAGTGGGCGAACCAGGTGCTGCGCAAGGAGGACATGGAGATCTACTTCTTCCGGCTCTTGTTGGAATGGGGCCGGTTGACGGACGATCGGCGCGAGGAGCTGGGGTTCAAGCTATAGTCATAGCTATGGCTATAGCTACTGAGATTTAATAGGCTAGCTCTTCCCCTGACTATTGAATGATAATGATGATGTGAGGGTCTGGGTGGGTGGAGTGGAGCAAGGGGGATGGACATGTGTAATGACTATACTACTACCTATTGTACCTTGTTCTTCATTTTCTGTTTGTTTTATCTTTCTACCCCTTTTTTTTTCGATCGGAATATATTCTAATCTTCTTGTTCATGTGACGGTTTTGGCCTTGTAGAAATGTTGAGCTTAAATGTGATAATCAATCACGTGTACATGTTGATAGGCTACGCTTGCGATTAACTTATGGATTCATGTTTCCTTGCCTCATTTAACTTAAAAGATCATGGCTAATGCTAGTCACGCATTGCCGCACCCATTGTTCGCGGGGCCTTGATTATCACTTATCTTACAACTCGTCGTGCTCCGCCGCCGCTGGCTTCTCTTCTTCCTCCTCGACCTTCTCGACGATCACGCCTTCGGGCAACTTCGACTTGGATCCCTCTCCGAGACGGATGGCATCCACCCACGCGTCCACGCGCTCAGGGCTGTAATCGCCCTCAGCGGCATCATACTTTCTCCACCATCCCCGCCGACCGTTGACGGCCACAACCTCCAGGTCCTGTTCAGACAGCTCCAGCGCCGCACGCAGGGTCTTTGCCGCGTCGTTCGTGGCGGAAACACCGTACAGAGGGAACAGCTTGCTGTGGTGGAGGGCGTGCTTGTGCGCCACCTCAGACAAACTGGCCAGAACCACCTGCGCAGGGCTCTCCGCTGCCTCGGCCTCCGGCTGGGCCTCCTCGGGGAGAAGGGCCAAGACACAGGTTCCAGACTTGGGAGCGAGACAGGCTGCGGCGAGGGCCTCAGGCGTCGTCAGGGATTCGATCTGAGGGGCGGGGACAGGGACAGGGGCGGCAGGCTTGGGCGACTGCTCCTTTGGCTCGGACTCGGGCTGGGCCTCATCATCGTCCTTCTTCACCTTGTCAGCGGCGGCGGCCTTTGCTTTCTTGGGCGGAAGCGGCGCAGGGTCCGGGTTGGGCGCGGCGACTTGACTCAGGAACTCGACCAGCGGCGCCTTCTTCAGATCCCCGCTGTAGACGATGGCATCCTCCTTCTCGGATTTCCCGGCCGGCAGCAGCACGAGGGTGGGGAACTCGGTCACGCCGAACCGCTCGACCGCCGCCGTCTCCTTGTTGCGGATCTGCGCGACCTCGATCGAGCCCAGGAACTCGATCGCCAGGGCCCGGATCAACGCGCTGGTGGTGCCCTTGTCCGTGAAGAGGATCGCCTTGGGGACCGCTTCCTCCTGGGGAGTCAGCCAGCTCTCGAGATCCTTGTCTGTGACGCGCCGCACGTGGTTCGGGATGCGGTCGACCACCGCCTCGACGATCGCCTTGGCCGTGCGCGCCCCCTGGTAGTCCTCCACGCGCGGCTTGCCGGACTTCTTGCCGGGCGTCACGATCTTCAGCGTCGGGAACCCCCGCACCCCCATCTGTCCGCAGATCGGCTTGTTGGCGTCCTCATCGCAGTTGATTGCCGCTACTTTGGCTAGGCCATCGAGGTTCTTGGCTGCTTTCTCGTAGGCGGGTTTCAGGTTCTGGCAGTGACCGCACCAGGGGGCGTAGAATCTGGAGAACGGGTTCGTGTTGGTTTAGATTGTTTGGCCTCGTGGAGTAGTTGGAGGAGAGACGGAGAGGGAAGGAGAGGAGGGAGAGCTTACTCTACAATCTGTGGTGAGTCGGTGTTAGTTAGGGATGCAAGCAACACAGGGCTCACGGAACTGAACGTACCGATGTGTGGTTGGAATTGGCGATGAGCTGGTCGTAGTTCTTGGATGTCACCTGCAGCACGGGGGACTTCTTCGTGTACAGTCCATCAGCTTGGACGGGCAAAGCCGCCAGCAAAGATGCGGCGAGGAAGACAGCAGATTTGGGCGGAAGCATCTTGAGATCTCAGATAGATTTGGTCACCAAAGAGACAAGATATGATACACAAGTTAGTACTCTAGTAGGTCAGCTGCACCTCCTGACAGCAGTCAGGGAAGAGGAAGAAGATGGAGGATTGAAGCAAGGTGTCCTGAAGCTCTTGGCATGTGACATTGACTGGGATTAATTGGTGGGTTTCTATGTATACACGGAAAGTATGACTGACCCTCTCACCGCCTTGGGAATTGTCCCCAACTAGCAGGCGGTGGACGGCCCTTCTGTGTTATTCCCGCATCTTCAGTCTGTTATTTCCGAGCACCAAAATACACACACTATCATATCACAACCAACAAACAAGTGTGAATCGGTACTGCAGGCTCAAATGCGCTCTGCCCCGCTTTTGCATCCTTGCATGGCCTTTCCATGGCAGGCTTAATGCGAAAGTCTTCTTGAGCATAGCTCAATCATTGCCTCGTCAACCTTATCATTAAACGTCCGTGGTTCCATGATCACACGACATTGATCAACCCCGCAAGTGCCCATCAAACCATGTCTGCGGCTCCGGAGCACGAGGGCACGATGCTGTTGACAGCACTGCCCCGCGAGATCTTCTGGATGATTTTTAACCAGCTTGCGCCCAAAGACATCATATGCTGTCGTCGAGTCTGTAAACTGTGGAACGAGGCTTTCAGTAGTCCTCTGTACCTCATCCCGCTGCTGAGACAGCTCTTCCCGCGAGCCCAAGAGGTGCGGGAACTCGACCACCAGACGGAAACGGACACGGATACGGACGAGTCGTCACCCGCAGACAAGGAGGACGGCCATTGGCGCAAAGTCTTCGACCGGGTTGCGTCTCGATACGACCATCTGCGTCGCGGCCAACCCCAATCCGTGCAGAAGTATCGCCTGTGTGATGACTTCGGCGCCACGGGCGAGCGGGAATGGTTTCCGATCCAGCCGTGGGAAACACACGCGAGCCAGCTCGTCCAGCGCGTGGACTGCCTCTTCTCGGAGTCCTTCTGGTCCTACGAGGAGGGGCTGGTGGTGTATCCGAGTGCGGACCACGCGTGTCTAGTCCTTATGGACCTGGACAGTGGCCGACGGTTCATGGTGCCGTTCATCATCACAGAGAAGGTCGTCCGGCGCCTTCGGCTGCAGAAGCGGGTGCTGGTGGTCGAATGGGCCGAGCCCAAGGCCTTTCACTGGCTCAACGACAGTGACGGCGTGCATCGGCACTTTGCCTCCTCGTTTGACGTGACCCAGTCGCCCTCCACCGGCACATGGAGTATCACATTTCGCAACGAGTGGAAGATCATGTTCCTTGGCCATCCGCTGAGTGAGCGAGATCGGTTCTACTCTACTCATAGCAAGACGCATTATGCGATCTATATCTGGCAGCCCAACCGCAGCTTGTACACTGCGGATGACGATGCCCCGATTGAATCGCTTTCGGTCTGGGATATCTCTGCCCCGTCATCGTATCGGCCCTCATTGGACCCTACGGGTCGCCTGCGCGAGGGCGCCGAGGATCAAGGTCCCCCGATCGTCTCGCGTCTCGGTTTTAGAGAGCTCGGCTTCTACTCCGTCAGACAACGAGGCCTCCCAGGGGTGCAGTGTCTCACTATCACCGATGATGATTACTCGATAGAAATCGTCGAAAGTCGATGTCCAGAACCGCAGGTTCGGAGAGGCCCGGCGGACTGGACCTCGGAGGTGCGGGTGACTACCATCCCCTTGCTCGGTGATGGCCCTGCTTGGAGACGAGCCGTGGATGTCTCGCTGCCCCCTTATCGAGGTAACTGTAGCTTGCAGACGAGCCCGCTTCGGTCCTCTCCGTGGAACGAACCGTCCTATGCCATTGTCTCGGAGGCGTATGATGAGAAGGCTCAGGTGGGTTATTGCCTGTATATGTCTTCTATTCGGTGGCCGTTCGATATGCGGATGCTCCTGAGTATTCGAACGCCAACATCCGATACCAGGCTCATGCAGGACGAGGCATTCGAGCTCACCGGCCGAGGGAAGATCTACGGAAATGAGAGATACATAGTCGGTGAGAACGGAAATCGCGAACTGGTCGTATTCAGATTCGATAGATAGATAGATAGGTTCAAATGAACAATTGATTCAAAGCCGTAGTTACATGCTAAACCAGTCCTGGACTATACCAGTAATCGATGATCACCATGAAGCCACAACGTGCAGGGCAAAATATCAAGGTGCCATCCCAGACTGCGGGATGGTCTGAGCAGCCGGGGCTGCAAACTTGCAGGCCACGCACGCTTCAACACCGCAACTGGGGCAGGTGAGTGTGAAGATGGGCTCCCAATGCCCGCAGACCTTACACTCAGCCTGCCCATAGCTCTTCTTCCAGTATCCCAGGTGAAGGCACCCATCCTGCTCTTGGACCAAATCCGATTCTCCAAACGTACGACGGACGCCTTCCAGCCACCCGCAAAACGTTTCCATAACGATCCCTCTGCATTCAATGGCCATGTCGTCGGTCGTGTACCGACCTTGACTTCGGTTCAGTTTGGCTTCGAAGTATGGGAGTAGAGAAGCGAGATGCCCGTTGAGGCTGGAGAGAGAGGGCTCGGTGTCAGCAGCCTGGAGAAAGGACCGGATTGAGGGAGCGATGTCCTCGTTGGCAGTCACGAAGTCGGAGTCGGATGCCTCCGACACCTCCGACGGCTCTGTAGCACGTTGCTCGTCCTTCGTGCCGCACGAGTAGTAATACTCGGGTTGGGACCCGGTTTCGGAGTATGCGGTCTCGTGTTTGCTGGCTTTGTTCCGGGAGGTTGGTGTGGGATAATGATGGCTATCGTGGTCTTTGAGGGCGGCGTGATGCTGCGGTTCATGGCGTTTATGGTCGTGTTCGACGTATGAGTTGTGCTCGTGGTCTTCCGAGTCGTCTTCTTCGGAGTCATGTTCTTCGCTGTCGTCATCTTCATCTTCATCATCGTCTTCGTCTTCGTCTTCGTCCTCAAGTTCGTCTTCGTCCTCAAGCTCGGAGTCCACCTCGTCTTCGTCTGAGTCTTCATCGTCACTGCTGTCACTGATGTCCTTTTCAGAACCATCAGGCAAGCTCATGCCCCATGGCATCTGCCCAGGATATCGAAACCAGTCCTTTTCATCGTTTGAAATTCCCTCAATCCGTTCACACATGCATATTGCTTTCCGCTTAGGCCCAATATCTTCTTTGCAGAACATCTCGTGGAAGACTTCGCCACCGGGCAATCCATACTATTCGAGCTTAGTATGGCCCTTGTCCACTTCGAGGAAGCCCGGCTAAAACCAGGAGAAGCTGTCTAAACTCACACTTTCAGCGTCCTCCTTCCAGCCACCATCTGCGCGCTCTTCCGTACCGGCACCGACTGGCGGGACATCTAGATCCACCGCTGCATAAGAACTTACCGCTGGACCAGCTTGCATGCTCTCGTCTCCCTCCAAATCCAAAAGATTGGCCGATCTGTGGTCTTCAGGTAGCTGGGTTGCAAGCTCAGTACTTGCTTTGCTGGATCCAGCCTGCACCTCTGCGTGATCTTTCGCGTCATTTTCCAAATCAATCAGATTTCCCATGGGGATCTTGTTCTCCACCCCATGAGGTTCCTCATCTTCTCCGTCTGACAAGAGGTCAACGCACTCCGCTTCATGCTGAACCTCTTCTTCAAGCTCTTCCTGTTCATACTCTTCATCCTCCTCTTCATAGTCTTCCTCATCGTGCTGATACTTTTCCTCGAAGTCCTCCTGTTCGTACTCCTCACGCTCCTCGACTCCATCCTCAGCTCCCTCCTCTTCACCTTCAAGCTCATCCTCAGGTTTCTCCATCCCCTGCGTTCTCCACCTGGAATTCCCCTTCTTCATGGCCTCCCAGCCCGCCTCAGCGTCCAGAACACTCGCCATCCACCTAGCGTGTTTCTCCTCCTTCGCCTTATCCCTGGCCTGCTTCTCCTTCGACCAGTAAGCCGTCTTGGACGAATACCCAATCCAGGTCTCCTCCTCTTCCTCCCCTTCATCCTCTCCAGCATGATCCCCCTCTTCACCCTTAATTCCCGCTTTCCCACCAGCCTGCACCTTCCCCTTCTCCTTCCCCTCCCCCTTCTTCTTATTCTTACTCTTATCCTTCTTCCTCGTAACCAAACACCCACTCTCATCATAATACCCCAAAGGCTCCTCCGAAGAAGAAGACCAAGGACTCAACCTCTCATCAAGCACATACCCCTCATCATAATACCCTCCACCTCCCTCCTGAAACAGGCCCTCAGCAGCTCCAGCCTCCGCCTCCGCCTGAGCCTCAGCCTCCCACGACTCACGCTCGCGCTGCAACTGCTCACTAACCTCCTGCTCGCGCCGCATCTGCTCCACGATCTCAATCGACTCCGGCGACGTCGGATCCATATGCACGCTGTACCCATAGGAAGTCTGATACCGGCTCTCCTCATTGGGGGCCCGGTACTGGCCCTCCCAGTAGCGGCTCCGCCCGGTATGGCGGCCGTAGTAGTCGTGACTGACATTCAGGCTCTGGTATTGCTCAAGGGTGGCGTCGTGGGTGGCGCGGCGGGATGGGTCGCGGAGGGTTTCGACGGCGTAGTGAATCTATATGTTTTTTCATTGTTAATCTAGGCCTTGCGTGCTTGCTTCTGCTGTGGTAGGGGGAGTGGGGGATAATGATAGGGTGAGAATGAGAGGAATGATGCTTGGGATAGGCCACGTGAGATGTGAGGTCAGGACGAAGACATGAGGCTTGGGAGAATCGTGATAGATGAGGTAAGGACGAGGGTCAGGTTCACCTTCTGGAACGTCTGGGTGTCGCCTCCGTCTGTCTTATCTGGGTGGTGCTTCAGCGCGAGACGCTTGTAGGCGCTGTTTATCTCCTTGATGTCTGCGTCGTGCGGGATGTTGAGGGTTGCGTAGCAGTTTGTGAAGGTTGGGGTTGTCATTTTGATTGTTCTGGAAGTTGGGTTGAGTTCGGTGCATTCGGGTTTGATGATGGTTTGGAGAGAGTGAGGTGAGGTGAGGTGAGGTGAGGTGATGTGAGTTTGGTTTAAGGGAAGGGATTCGAGGGTGCTGGGTTTTGTGGTGGTGTTGATGGATGTAGCGAGGTGGGTGATGGTGGTGTGTTTGTTGCAGTACGGGCTGTTTCGTTTGCTCTGTGATATCGCCTTCCTGTCGAGTTTATTCCGTTTGGTGTGAGACAGTCTGGTGTGTATGAAGAAGCAACAGAGGAGAGGTGATGGCGAGGATGATAGATGGGTTTTGATTCTTGATGTGATGGAAATCTGGTGATCATTGGGGAATGAATAGACACTTCATGAGTGAAGAGCTGGTTAGCTGGGTGTTCGAAATATTGAAGGGTCCCACAGGGTACAAACAAACACGTTCATTTGTGAATTTGATAAACATGTACGCCTTCTTCATAGACAATCTTGTTAGATGTGGAATAACAACATACACATTATACCCAGTGGGGATGCAGCGGAACACGAGGGAAGTGAATGATTCCCAGATATACTATACCCATTTCAACAATGGCCTTATCATGCAGTCCTGACACTGCTCGAATCATTCCCAAGTAAAGTACTGCAAACAAAGAAAAGATGATGTGATAGATTTTACAGGCTGGCAAGCATCTAGGTATTTATGAGTAAGTCTACACACATGGTGACTCCTCCCCAAAAAAGCTTCAGAAAAGCTTTTACATGTCCGCACTGGCGGTGGCACCAGTGATAATCTCGACCAGCTCGTTGGTAATGGCGGCTTGACGCTGACGGTTGTACAGAATCTGGAACCTACACGGTATTAGTTTCATTCCGCCAAACACGGGCAGCGATACTCACTTGTTGATCATCTCACCGGCGTTCTTGGAAGCGTTCTCCATGGCGTTGCGACGAGCCTTTGAACATGATTAGCACTGGTCCATAACATTCCCATTCCAACAGGGCTACTCACAGAGATCTCGCAAGCGTGACCCTCGGCAAGAGCCCAGAACAAGCTGTTGGCAAGAGCGTACTCGCGGAGGTTGGTCAGGGTCTCCTCATCGGTCTCGTAGGCAGAGAGGTTGGCTGTAAACATCATTCAGCATGCATTCCAGAACAAAAGCTACTCAGGACGTAAACGCACGGGACTGGGTGATAGCCTCCTCGGAGAAAGCCTCGACGGTGGTGGGCTCGTAGCTCTGAGCGTTGAGGAACTTGTTGTGGATGATCTTAACGCTGGCGTAGTCCTCGGAGAGCAGAGTGATCTGGTCGGCGATAGCCTGGGCATCGGCGAAGGTGGGAACGTCCTTGCAGACGTTGGCGAAGCTCAGGACGATGGCGTTGGGGTTGGTACGGGACAGCTGAGCCTTGGCCTTCTCTCCGAGGACGACAATGTCGGCGTTGGGAGTCTGCTGGAGGATACGGCGAGTGGCCTTGCTGAGACCGGAGTGAATACCACCGCAAAGACCCTTGTCGGAGCTGGCGACGACGAGCAGAGTCTTCTTGTCCTCGAGGGGCTTGGTCTCAGCCTGCTCGAAAACGGTGTTGGAGGTCTGACCGTAGCTGCGGGAGTCCTCCATGGCCTTCTGGGCGCGAGTGAGACGGGTGGAGGCGATGACCTTCATGGTGTTGGTGATCTTCTCGATGTTCTTGATGGACTTGAGACGGCCCTCGATTTCACGCAGAGTCGCGAAGTTGGCGGCGTTGGCAGGAGCAGTGCTTCCGGGATTATCAGCCATTGATCCATGTTATCAACCCAAGCTCTTCAATTCCTCCAAATTGGTTGAAATTTGGGCGCCAACCGGACGGCTAGCTGGGGGGAGGGAGGATGCACAATGGCGATGGACCGGGGTGTGGGTTGTGGGTTGTGGACGCCCGGACTGAGGGAACTTACCGGGAGACCGCAATGCTACCAGCGCGAACGGCCGGACGAACAGCACGGGAGAACATCTTGATAGAAAGAAACCGTACGGTCGAAACTGAGACCAACGATAGAGAAGTTGTGGAGGGGGGAGGGTGGGGAGGGGAGGAGGTCAGAGAATCCTCTTTGGGGCTGGCGGATGAGAAGTCGGTGGTTGAACTTGAGGGACTCCTGTTTCTGTTCTTCCGACAGCCGGCCAGCACGGGATTCACCAGTCACGCTAGTCCAGGAAGGGGAAGTGCTATGGGCCACGGGAGGGACCTATAATGCAGTCTGCCCTCAAGCCCATCGTAGTCACGTGAGTACCCGTTCGAGTTCGCCACTCATAGCTATCCAGGCAGCAAGGCATCAAGGCAGCTAGGCATCCACTCATATCTCTCTCTCTCTCTTTCTTTCTCCCGGCGCAAATCGAATCGTCATCCAATTCCTGAGGTGGGCGGAGTGGGTTCCGCAGGCCCAGTCGAAGTCGCGCCGCTTCTCGCGCTGGGAGTGGCTGACGGTCCGGAGAAATAAGTAAGTAAGTTTGGTAACTTAGATCGCCTCAGGCCCCCAACCCGGGACGGCCTCGTTTTCCATTCCATTCCAGGTTCTCGCCTCGCTCGCTCTCGTTCTCGTTCTCTTCTCTTTCTTCTCTCTCTCTCTTTAACTCTTTTCCCTCTTGCCATCTCTTTCCTGCCCTTTCCTTACTCTCATTTTCAAGTCCCAAGTCCCGTCTCTCTTCCTCCCTCCTCCCTCTCTCTCGAATTTCTCCCTCTTCCCTTTCTCATCCTCTCTCCCTTTTGGCTTCTACATTGCCACCAGCGTCCTCCGTCCATGTATCTTCCTCCTTTGTGACGCTTCGTCCTCTGGTAGCTCTCTCATTGGCCAGGCTTTTATTGATCACATCCCTCCGTCCAGCGCCTCCTCGAGTCGCCAGCCTCAGAGGTTCACCCCCACGGTTCTCTGTTCCTGCTCCTCAGCCTGCTGCATACTGGGCTTTTGGTTCCCAGCGCTTCGTTCATTGCCGTCGCGTTGCAAATATGAGCTCCTCGGGCGATGACACCCCACTCGTCAAGGCCAATGGCCGCCATACGGGTGAGTTTCTTCACTCCAGCATATTTCCGAGATCCTGGTTCTTTTGCCAGCTTAATTCCATTCTCAATTCCCAATCCTCATTTACTGCTCAATCTACCCTCAACAAGTCATCACTGAGTGATGTTTGCCGCAATGCGCCCGCTCACCCTTTACCCTAACATCATTCTCTCCTCAACCTTACCCTTTATCAATCACTCTAGTATGTCTACTAATCTGCCATGGGGCAATGCGACAGAGACGAACGGTCACGTTGACCCGGGAGTGTCGATTCGATTCGGTCCGGTGAAGTCCGAGAATGATGTTGAGATGGCGGATGCGGATGCTCCAGGCAGTGCCACTTCTAAGAGAAAGTCGCGAAACAGTGTTGGTCAGATAAAGTCATATGCTGAACCGGAAAGCAGTGAGGAGGATCAACCTTTGGTACGCCGCACTCTCGTTCGCCAAACACAATCCATTCATTTTGTCCCAATCATGCGTCGTTTTCGTCTTCGGTCACGAATTCAGTGCGGCTGACATATCCGACAGAGCAAGCGTCGTCGCACGTCTGTCAAGCACGAGGATCCTGAGACGGATGATGATGTGCCTCTGGCGCTTAACGGTCGGAAGCTCCCGAAGGCTTCCGAAACTGCCATTGGCGAAGAATCGGACTCGGATGTTCCCATCGAACGGAAGCTTGCTGCGGAGAAAAAGCGGATACAAGTCAAGGGCGAGAACGCGGCAGCGGCCAAGCCTAGCCGTAGCCAGGCCACTTCGAAGAGCACCAAGGCAGCAGCGCCCAAGAAACAGGCCAATGGTGTGAAGAAGGAGCCCGAGGACTCGAAGCCCAGCATGGTGAAGAAGACCGCCAAACACGCCAGAGCTCCGGAGAAGCCCGTCGTTACCACCGTCAAGCGAGGAGCTGCGGCTGGCAGAGCTACCGCCGCCAAAGGTGCTGCCGCCAAAGCCACCCCTGTGAAGAAAGAGGAAAGTGAAGAAGTCGAGGACGGTGAAGAAGAAGAGGAGTATCGGTGGTGGGAGGACCCGACCAAGGGCGATGGTACGATCAAATGGACCACCCTCGAACACAACGGCGTGGTTTTCCCTCCACCATATGAACCTCTTCCCAAGGATGTTAAGTTGAAGTACGATGGCATTCCCGTCAATCTTCATCCTGACGCTGAAGAAGTCGCTGGCTTTTTCGGAAGCATGCTGAACTCTACGCACAATGTGGAAAACCCGACATTCCAAAAGAACTTCTTCATGGACTTCCGGGACATTCTTAAGAAGACTGGTGGCGCAACAGATTCTAAAGGTAACAAGGTTGATATCAAGGACTTTTCCAAGTGTGATTTCCAGTCCATCTTCAATTATTATGAGATGAAACGCCTTGAGAAGAAGAATTTGCCACCTGCTGAGAAGAAGCGGTTAAAGGCCGAGAAAGACGAACAGGAAGCTCCTTACATGTACTGCATGTGGGACGGTCGCAAGCAAAAAGTCGGCAACTTCCGTGTCGAACCTCCTTCCCTGTTCCGTGGCCGCGGTGAACATCCCAAGACTGGCCGCGTCAAGGCTAGAGTTCTACCGGAGCAGATTACGATTAACATTGGCAAAGAGGCGACTGTTCCTCCGCCACCGGAGGGTCACAACTGGAAGGAGGTGAAGCATGATCGAGAAGGCACATGGCTTGCCATGTGGCAAGAGAACATCAACGGTAATTACAAATATGTTATGCTTGCCGCCAATTCCGATGTCAAGGGCCAAAGCGATTATAAGAAGTTCGAAAAAGCCCGCGAATTGAAACACCATATTGCCCGGATCCGCAAGGATTACCAGAAGAACCTCAAGCATGAACTGATGGTGGAGCGACAAAAGGCTACGGCCGTCTACCTCATTGATCAATTTGCCCTTCGTGCTGGTAATGAGAAGGGTGAAGATGAGGCTGAAACTGTCGGCTGCTGTTCCCTCAAGTACGAGAACGTCACTCTCAAGCCACCGAACAAGGTTGTTTTCGACTTCTTGGGTAAAGATAGTATTCGTTTCTACGATGAAGTCGAAGTTGATGCGCAGGTTTTCAAGAACCTCAAGATCTTCAAGAAGGCTCCGAAGAAGGAGGGTGACGAGATTTTCGATCGGCTAACAGTAAGTTGCACTGCTCACATACCATAAACACACTCACGCTCCTGATTCTAACTTCATCAGACCTCCGCACTCAACAAACACTTGTCGAATTATATGCAAGGCTTGACCGCGAAGGTGTTCCGTACCTACAATGCCTCTCACACCATGTCTACGTTGCTGAAGGACATGAAAGCCACCGGTAACATCGCGGAGAAGGTCAAGGCGTACAACGATGCCAACCGTAAGGTTGCCATCCTTTGTAACCACAAGAGAACTGTTGCTGCATCCCACGCCAACCAGATGGAGAAGATGAGCGAGCGCGTAAGCAGCATCCCACAATTCTAGTAATCGAACCACAGCTGACACAACCTTCCTAAATAGATCAAAGGTCTTCGCTATCAGCGTTGGCGTTTCAAGCAGCAGATGCTCAACCTTGAGCCCACGCTCAAGAAGAAGAAGGGCGCCAAGTTCTTCGAAATGGACGAGGACATGGACATGGAATGGGTCAAGGAACACCAGGCTTTCCTGCTCGAAGAACAACGGCAGAAGATCCAGAAGAAATTCGAGAAGGACAATGAAAAGCTTGTAGCCGACGGGGAGAAGGAAATGAAGGCTAGCGAGCTGGAATCGCGTCTCCAGGTCGTCAAGGACCAGGAAAAGAAGTTCAACAAGGAGAACAAGACCGGCAAGGTGGAAGCTGAAGGCAAGGCTCCCACCGTCGAGAAGCTTGAGACCGCCATCAAGAAGCTCGAGCAGCGCATCGAGACGATGGAGCTTCAAGCCCAAGATAAGGAGGACAACAAGGAAGTTGCCCTGGGTACCTCGAAGATTGTGAGTTGTTTCCGTCTTTTGCTTGAGTTTTGCCAGTCACATATGTACAGGACTAACCCATCCAACCACAGAACTACATCGACCCCCGTCTCACCGTCGTCTTCAGCAAGAAATTCGATGTCCCCATCGAGAAATTCTTCTCCAAGGCCCTCCGTGAGAAATTCGAATGGGCCATCAAATCCGTTGACGAGACCTGGGAATTTTGATTTGGTTTTTTGATAGTTGGACACTTGACGCAACTCTTATGGTTCTAAAGACTTTTTTTTTGATGCTGTTGCCTTAGCTTTTTATTCTCCTTCTTTCTTCTGGTTCCTACACTACCTATAAGGGCATGATCCATTGGAAATTCAATGCATGCCATGCCATACCCCCATACATCCACCGCTTGCATTTCTTGGAGCCTCACGCCATCTCGATTTATTCTCTTTCTTTTTTTCTTTTTTACCTTTGAAGAAGAGGCTTGCCAAGGAAGGAAAGACATAATAGCAAAAGAGCAGAAAAGAGACAAAAAGCAACACCAAGATTATCAGGAACGAAGGGCAAGACGAAGGTGGTAAATATTCATTTGACACATTCCAAGATCTATACAATAAACAAATTCCAAGTCATGATCGAAACATCAGAACTAAAGAATATACATCATATTACTTATCTTCTGCATTTTATCTCTTGGCCATCCAAGTAATACAATGTTTCGGAGGAAACATATTCACAACCCACTGGCGAGCGCATGTCAAACCTGCTAAGGTCTGAATATACAGGATGCAAAGTCGATACTGATTGGGGAGTCATGCACGGAATGTGTTCTATGGTATAATAGTGCTCTTTTCAATCACCTTCATGTCCAATATAGAATTACAAAGATTCGACCCGGAAATGCAGGGTGCATACATATTACAGTTGCCGCTCATGCCTCAGAACGACACCGACGTTAGATGTGCCGACTTGACTTTCCTATCAAAATAAAATATCATCTTGATGCGCTAAGAACACCCTTGAGTCCTGTTCATGCCTCATCGGTGTCAAGGAATATAGAGATCACAAGAGATAAACGAAAAGTACAAGTCCCCAAAGTAGGAGAGAATCGGGGCTGAGCTCCATAGCCAAGAAGGTGTACAGCAAGAAAATTAGAATACAGGAAACGATTGTAGAAAACAAAGGTATCAACGTTCTCAAGACAGGCTCAACCTATTGAGATTCGGCGTGAAAGAAGAAGACTGACTGCGTAGATCGAGGTCATGATCAGAAGATGAGATCGTGAAAGATGCAGATGAGAAAATGCACCAAACACCAACCGACAAGACAATTGCAGAAGATATAGTACATACCAGTCGCTCGAAAACAGGAACCCGGAGAGATCGAAACAAAAGATGATAAAATTACAGGCACAAAGTCCGTGATAGTCCATAGTGTGAAGTGTCCGAGTTTGATGCGAATGAAATCCAATGGGAGAACGAGGTCTATGTGCTTTTGTCGAAATGGCGGGTCAAGTCAAATCGATCTATCCTGGTGCAAGGCCGTAGTGATGCACGGTCGGGGTATCAGAGCACACGCGATTGGATCGTCAGCATTGGTTGCGATTACACTTGGGAAACCATGTTCAGAGAAAGTGGCGGCTGGCAGGGATCATGGCGGCCAGAATGTCTTAAGGCCACCAGCCCATTCGTTTGTAACTGTCAACCATGGCCCGAACGGCATCAGCGTCGAAACGCTCACGGGTAGGCTTCCAGCCCGTGGTCTCTTCAAATAACGTGCCATCGATGGACATGTCCTGGTCCCTGAGCACGTCCCTTTCCAAAAACGGGCTAATTGGCCCTGGTCTTTCGATCTTCTTCTCTTCGAGCAGGTCGGCCCAGCCCTGCAAGCATTCCTCGTTCATATCGTCGACAACATCGTCCAAGTTCATCTTAGCAAATTGAGAAGCCAAAGAACCGAGGAACTCGACCTTCATGCCAAAAACCTCTGATAGGGCGTCGGCCACGTGCTCCTGGCGAGTGTCGCCATGGTCGACGACGTTGAAAGCAATGGGTGCTGACCCGTCTGTCGGGGCGCTGACCCTCCATTCTGCGGCTTTCCAGAGCGCACTTACTGCATCTTTGATGTAAATTGTGTTGATCTTTAGGTCCTTCGTATACAAAAGCTCCAGGTTCTTCTGTAGTTCGAGGTGGACTCGTGCAAGACAGATGCCCATAGCAAAATAGCCAGGGTCATATTCTCCATAGACGTGAGGCAACCGAAGCAAGCAGTAGTGAAGATTGGGGATCTTCTGTAGCTCATCACTGGCCTTCATCTTCCACTTTGCGAGCTTGTGCCACGGCTGCAACTTGTCGTCCTCTTTGCGCGGACTCGAGCCACCTTTGTAAACGTGCGCGGTCGAACATTCGACAAATGAGCGGATGCCACGGCGGGCGACTTCGCGACCGAGGGCAACGGTGAGGGCATAGCTGCGAACTTCGTAAACATCATCGGGCTGAGAGTGTCGGGTTTCTCCACCACAATTGATCACATAGTCGAACTGCTCGCCATTGGCACGATCAAAGATACGGGGGAAGTGCTCTAGCGGACACCAAGTATATCAGTAAGCTGCGAAAGTGCGCAACAGCAAGGCAAAGGGGGTTTAGGCACTCACGTTCCCGACTAGCATCAGCTTGAACGAATTTGTCTTTCGAACAAGCCTCTTGGAACTCAGGGGCCAACCAGGCAAGCTGGGGAAGGACTTTGTCCACCAGTCGTACTTCCGAGGCCAGGTTATTTTCGTGGATATACAGAGCAAGGTGACGGCCGATGAAGCCTGCAGGAATGACAGCGTGTTAGTTGGAATGTTTAAGGGGAAGTTCTGCACGTCAGCGTGGGATCATCATTGAGAATGCGTACCAAGACCACCAACAATCAGCACGGCGGGCTTTTTTGCTTGGTCGTCAGCCATGACGGAATGCGACAAGTGAGCTTGAAGAATGGGAATCGATTTGAAAGAGAAGTAGCTTCAGCTTTGTTCAGATGGTGGACTAGCTCGTGTTTGAGCTGGCAGTTTTGTTGACAGACACACCCCGCACCCGAGCGCGTTCCAGTCAAAGAATGCGGGGAGGAAAAGGGGCGGAAGAACTGCAGGGAGGGAGAAGAAAAGTAAGGAAGAAAGCTTATTCTGGGGGAGAACAAGCTATCATACAGGATCGAGCCGAAGTCAATAATATGGCAATTAGGAAGGAAATTAATGTTAAGTTAAAGGATGAGGGATGAGGGATGAGGGATGAGGGATGAGGGGAAGGGGGGGGATAGAGAGAGAGAGAGAGAAGTAAGGAGGAAATGTAAGGCGAGGGAGGAGGAAAGAGAAGAGGAGGAGAGAGGAGAAGAATAGGGAAGGCGGACGGACGAGTGGAATTGATTGGAGGGAGAAGAGAGGAAGATCTCATCTCTTTCGGGACTAACTATGAGTTTGATTGACAAGACTGAATGACCTGCCTCTTCTCACTCTATCTCTGTCTCTGTCTTCAGTGTGACTATTTGTGTGTCACTTGGCCACGCAGAGTTGACCTGCTGAACTGAGCTAGCTACTCATTAAGTCTCCTAGACTCTCTCGACTATGCGAAGCTTTTCCCGACCCAAGATCTGTATACCAAACTCCTCTCACCCTCAATTCTCACCGATGTTCCCAGATGAGACCTACTGAGGGACCGCCTCGACGGAGAACGCGGCAGACAACATAATTCCCAAACATTCTCCCTGTTCGACCAAGCGACCAAGCTTCAAGTCAGAGAGAGATCTCATGTCACTCCCACCTTAGTCACGAGACCTTTCTCCATACAGTTTTTTTTGGCATTCCCTCTGGTGTAACTGACCTCTCGACCCATGCGGATGATGTGACCCGGTGATGCGACAGGAAAGACCATGCTACAGTACACCGTCTGCACCTTCGATTGAATTGACTGACTGTCCCTCCCGACAAGATTGGTGCAACCAAGCAAGATTATTATCTTCCTACTCAATCCCTTCTCTTTCGATCACAACCAGAACCATCACCGCCGCCAATGACAAACCGCAGCTTCGTTTGGGACCAAGAAGGAGAGCACATCCATATTCCAAACCGCTTCTTTTACCGAAAGAACGCCGCTAGCGCTGCGTCTAGAAATTTCGCCGGCGCAGTGGGGAGACCACACTGTCCCCTCCCCCCAGCGATGGCCTCCCACTCGCTCCTTTGCCCTCGTACAGGAAGTGGGAATATTTAAGCGTCCCCCAAAACCAAGGAAGAACAAATGGATTCATCAATTCGTCCCCTGCCAAGCGCGCGTTGTGGGACGTTGTCCGTTCGTCAGGGACACCGTCCGATCATAGTCCCGCCTCTAAGTGGGCTTCTGAACCCATCTATTGCCCCCCGTTCCCTAAAGGGGGAGGAAATGACTGGATGACTACGTATCAATTAAAAAGCAAAACCACAAGAAAAACGAGAGAGGTAATAACAAAGTTGGATATGATGAGGGCTTGTTATTCCTCTTTGCCACTGAAAACACACAAGTAAATAGACTGATCGACCCAGGCATGCCAGATTAAATGCTGACGGCCGCGGCACGCCAAAACCAATTGTAAAATTGGCAGGGAGAGAGAAACTGATCGCCCACAGGGAACAATAGCATCGATGATCTGCGTCTCATAAGATGATACTAATACGAGTCAAGTCCGTTTGCTGGGGGGGTAAGATAGCGACTACTAGCTCATTAATTCACCATTCGTACTGGATTAATAATCTGTGGTCTGACGCCGGAGAAAGTGTCTGCATACTGCATAGGGCGTCGGCAATTCGCTTCGACCCCGTTTGCGACTATGCCTATCAACACTGACCCTACCCACGAACAAGAATAGACAAAACAGACCCGACCTGAAGAGGACACCAGAACAGAAACAACAACCAGTACCGAGCGCTTATCCGCGGCAATTTGAAAACCACTTCGATATCAACCTCGGTGACGCTTCACTTCACCGTGACCCGCCCCTCTCTCCTCCTCCCCTTTCTCCGAGCTATCCATAGATGCTCCATGACGACTCCGTGCTACCTTCATTGATCGATCCACCCTTCGCCTAGACCGGCCGGACCAAGCCCAAGACCCATTAGCCCGGGATCAGGCCGCTTGGAGAACCTGAGTAGCACCTACCTTCGAGCTCGAGGATCGAATTACGAGCTTTGCGGCAGGTCGTCAGTGAGTAGCAACAGCACTAAAGTATCAAAGCTGCAAAGCTCGGCAATTGCTCGGGGGTTCCCTTCTGAGACAGACAGCAACAGACTTCCTTTTCCCCGGGTTGCAATTTGACTTCGCGTCCCATGGACCGTGGGCGATCGTCATTCTTCCATGGTTCATGCTGGGCTTGAAAGCTCCTCCTCAGCCCTTTCGGGGCTGGTTCGTAGCTAGCTAGCTAGACTAATCTACTACTCGATACAGTCAAGTCAGGTGCATCACTTTCAGCGATGCGCGAGGGGGGCTCGTGCAAAACCCAATCTAAGTTCAATTGTTGTTTCCCAGCTTGACCCCAAGGTAGTTTAGTTCGGGCTTATCGTGTCTGAAAGTAAACATTCTCTCGATAGTTATGTTCTGGAGGTGAATGCACAACATGCTATGAACGAAGCCATAGGAAGTAACCAATTCTCTCTCCTCTAAATAATTCAGTCGACCCAGTTGTCATCATCTTCCCGAACAAGCAAACGATACACCATTACCAACTGTGATTGAGATCTTCCCAAAGAATCGCCAGTTTGAAGCAGAGATTGAAACGAAGAACCAACTAAACCAGGTACAGAGCAGTAAATAGCTGTACGTAGTTCTATCAGACCCATGACCTGCAATCGTGCCGAGAAGACCAATGAATCAGTGCGTTCTACCGTACGCGACGAGCAGATCCTCTTCGACGACGTGCAGCAAGACGCGAATCTTGAACGCAGAAGTCAGCGACCCGGACTCAGACTCCTCCAGGAGCTGGGTTCGGCCCTCCATGGTCTTCTGCAGCTCGCGCTGCACCATCACCCAGTCCTCCTCGCTGTTCTGACGCACGCGGATCTCAAAGTCCGTCCACTCGAACTTGACCGAGGCGGCGACCACCACGGGCTTCATGGTCGGGTGGCCGCTCACGTCGCTGGTTAGCTGGCGGGAGGGGCTCCAGTCGTCCAGACGACACTCCTGTCTGAGGTAGTGGATGAAGGTGCCGGTCGAGATAAAGTTGAAGTAGCGCACCCAGACCGGAGCCATGCCCTCCTGGCTGGTCGCGGTGACAAGGAACCAAACGTCATCCATGGAGGTACCGGTGCTCGCGGTGTTGATGCCGCCTTCAAGGGGCTCGTCCAGACTCATCTGCTCCCCGGACTCTTGCCTCTGGGGTGAATGCTTTTTGCCCCTAAACTTTCTCTTCTTGCGGCTTGTGGGGGGCTCCATACTTATTGGGGAGTGAGTGGGCATGACGTCGCTGCTGGTGTGCGGCTCCGTCTTCACAGGAGGGGAATGTCCGTGCTTGGACTTCTGAGTGTCGCTGGCTGTTTTCTTCTTCGCCTGCCAGTCGACCATGATGATATCGTTGTTTGAGTCCGATAGACCGCATTCACTAGAATTCAGGACCGACTCGAAAGTGCGAATACCCAAGCTGTTGGCTGTGAAGGAGGAGCGTCTCATCTGACGAGCTAGGTGAACTGAGTTCCCGTGGACTGCATCAGTGTCATCAGTGACGGAATCGGCTTCTCTGTATTCTTCGTCCGAGATGCCTCTGGACTTGCGTTTTAGCTTTCTGGATGATGTATTGTTCGAGGCCATGTCTGCAATGGTCTTAACAGGGGCAGGGGTGTCGATGTCCTGTATGACAGCATCAGCATCAGTTGATGTCCGATCCTCTCCGCACTATTCGCAAGCAGTGGGGGTCTACCTTGTGAAAGTCCTTGTCGATGCTTGGTCTCAGAGCGCCCTTGGCCTTCCGTTCGAGAAGAATCGTAACAGTCCGAATAATCCTACTTGTGTTAGCTTGTTTAGGTGACAGTGAATCAAGGGCAAAGCAGCAACTCACTCCTCCCTTCTGGCGGGGTAGGTGCAGAGGCTGTACGGATTCTGCAGCGCATCTGGCATCAGATACTTGCGCCTGTTCTCCTCGGAGCCCCAGTAAGTCGTTCCATGCTTGTCGACGAAGATCTCAGCGCAGGTCCTTCGGCCAGTTTCCGAGTTCAGCAGCTCTCCCCATGTGAAGCCATGGACCTGAACGTGCTCTTTCAGAAGGTCAGTAAATCTTTTGGTATACTCGTGCTTCAAATCAAGGAACAAGGTGAAGGCTCGATCTCTTTTCCCGGGTTTGAGCTCGCCCTTGTCCAGGTCGGCTTTCATGGGGTTGAAGGAGGTGTCCGACATCGAGTCGGATGTGTTTGACCTGCGCGACATGATAAGATAGGGCGTTCGAATTGGTTGATAGACACTATTAGGATCACAAAATGGTCTGATGTTAGAGATTCTTCAAAGTTTCGTGTTGACAAGCTCAGAGAAGAGATGTCATGGACGGGAAAGGGAAAAAGAGGAGAAGAAGATGGGGTGTTCGTCTTGTTTTTAAAGTCAACCTGTAGGGAAAGTTGGAAAGACAAAAGTGGCGATAGTCTCAGTGAATGAAAGTCTTGGGAGAGTGTTTTGTGTCCTTGTTTCGGCATGGGGAAGTTGAAGAGACGAGTGTGGCGATACTTGTAGTGAATGGAATCTGTATCAAGTGTATTTCCTCCTTACCAAACAGATAGTCCCAGAGAAATTGGCGGCTGCCCGCGCTCGCACGGCTGACCTTATGTTATGCATATCACTGTTGCTTTGGAAATAAGTATAATCATGGTTTCTTCTCAATAAACAGCTAGCGATCTACTGTAACTAATGGAAATAGCCTCAGATATCCGGGGCATGCCATGTCGTCCAACACAGGAGAAGGATTTAGGAATCATTAATTCATTATAGATTGGGTGTAAACACCATAAAACTATTCCCGACACTCATTCAACAAAACTGATGATAAGGTATCTCCGATAACAAACAACGTCTAATGAGATGAGTGGTCACTCTGAGTGCTGAATGATCATTCTGCCCCCAGGTAGCGCAGCGAGTTCCTGAGTTCTTTGATCGCTGTATTGACATCGTCAAATGTAAGCGCCGACACCGCCCAGCGAGCATGCTTCTGCGCAAGTGCAATAGCTTGATCGTCAACTGGCTGCGCATTGGTCGGACCAGGAGGTGAAGCAACAGGCGCAGGTGCTGGAGGGGTAGGCATCGAAAAGTTCTGATGTGCTGGGCGTGTGACTACAGGGACTGTGCCCGACGCAGACTGCACGAATGGCGGAGGGACTGCGGCACTAGGTGAAGTCTTGGTGTAAAAGTAGCTTGCATCATGAGAGGGCGCGGCCGGAGTCGCGGGGCCAATGTTGGACGGGGGCGGGAAGGAATGAAATGAGTCGGAGGGCGCAGGAGCATGGCTCCCATGAATTTTGCTCGGGGTATCCGGGAGATCTGGCATCGGGGTGGACGAAGATTCAAATGTTTCTGGTGCAGAGGGAAGCTCCAGTCCTTGTTCTGTATCATCCTCCGCCTTTGCTCCGGAAGGTGACCCGGTCCTGGTGTAAGCCGTAGTACTATCTCTCGTCGTGGTTGGGGTATCCGGCAAGACAAGCGGCAGCGGCGCCTGCGAGGCCTGTTCAGAGTCATCGGGGACTTCCTCCACGGAAGGCTGTCTCGGCTGGGGGGGCAGAGATCCGACAATGGCCTGCACTTCCGGATCATCGGGCCTAGGCTCTAGGTCCGCCATTTCGTCTCCCTCCTCCTCGACAACCACGGGGTTAGACGCATTCGGATCCTCTCCAGCTTTGATTGCTTTAATGATTCTGACGGCGTGGTATTTGGCGAATTTGATCTTCGCGGCGACTTCGGGCTCCGGAGGGTTCCAAATTTGACACAATTCTAAGAAAGTCGCGGCCGCTTGGAATGTGTCCGCTGTTTGTCTATGGCCATAATTAGTTGCTGTCCTGGCTGTAACCGTCGCGAGGGGCGTAACGAACTTTGTCACCTTGTTGGCCTTCATAGTCGCCTCGGCACGTCCCAAAACCTCCAAAGCAAATTGCTCAACGTAGGCATTGGCTGCCACGGCATCCGTCACGGCGTCATTGTCGGGGTTCTCGTTTTTGAACTTCAGAGAAAGCCATGTCAGCACCCTGATACTGCATCCCATGCGTAGGCCAACAATTGCGCCCGACGTACTTCCTCCAGCTTGTCCACCAGTTCCGTTGTATACAGTTTGACCTCATCGTCTGAAGTGTGTAGTCCTCTCTCGATAATCTGATTGACGATCCAGAAGTTGCCTAAAAAGTGGGAAGGGACCAGCCATTAGACTTCGTTCACATTCAGGCAGCACTGAGTTGCGCACGGCAAGTGACACTTACACCAGTAGGCCACGACGGGCTTTGCGCGTTCGAGCTGAGCTGCCCTGAGGGCGAATCGCCCGATATCCGCAGATTTCAAGCTAGCCGGGATGTTGCTGGCCATTGAGTTGGTGAGGAAAGTCGAATTTGGGCACTGTTTCTTTGTTTGGAGGGGTGGGAAAGGTAACGCGACGGGATGCAAGCGGGGATGACGTTCTGGAGCGGGAACTGCGCCGAACGTTTAGACTAACCTCCTCGGCACCTCAGGCTAGTTCCGGTTTCTGCTTCTCCTTACGGCTTATGCTGTACAGTTCCATCTGTGGGGAAGCAGGACCGCACCGTCCCAATTTTAGATTGGCTTTCTTTTAGATTTCACTCTCTGATCATTCGCTTCGTAAGTAGTGTCTAATACAGCTCAGTACTACATAAGAAGTTCTTGAGAAGCTGTGGCTTGCGCTATTCTCCAACGCCAGTACGATCCAGCCGTCCGTTGATCTGGCTTGAGCCGATCATGCATCCTCGACTATCCATTCCCCAATATCTACCTTCTCTTCACCCAGGACTTCTACTTCGAAGTGGTCTTCAACTTGTCCTCCCGGCCCACCAATTCTCTCGATGACGATCCAGGCTCCACCGCGGTCCTCAAGGTTGGGATGCAGATTGAAGTCCTCAATGCGTACACCGGAAATAGCATCACTGTGGTTCCCATCTTCGGAGGTTGCCAATATCTCTTTGTATGGCCCCTGGCCGAGTTCCACCGTCATTAGCACAGGTGAAGGCCCGACTGATCGATTCCCGATCGTGGACTGTCTACTTCTTGCAATCAACTTAAGGCGCGTCAGCCGTCGTGTCTCCAAAGGTGCCAACATCCGGTCTCTCCCAGGAGAGAGAACTCCAATATCCGAGATCACCACACGCCGACCTGCTGCTTCAGGCGCCAGCGGTTTCACTTCACATGGGCCAGACGAAGAAACCCAGAGGCTGAAACGCCCCAATTGGTCAGGCGCGAAAGTCGAACAGACAATTGTATAGACGCCTCCACTGAGCCCCATCCTTTCGGCAAGAGAGCCACCCCGGCGATAATCTCCACTATCGATGGCAATGTCGCGTCTTCGAACTCGGGTGATACGCTGCCCATTGGACCAAAACAATTTGACATGCGTCGCTAATTCGGGCTCGGATGGCTCAAGGAGGAGTGAGACGTCGGTTGTGCCATTTATCTTCAAGCTGAACTGGGGATTGAATGAATATCGAGCTGACTCCGCGTTTCCTCCTGCAGTCGAAGCTGTCCAGAAGCCGTTGACTTTTGTCACGCAACTGTATTTATTCTGTGCATGCGCAATACCCACTGGGACAGAGCTCATGGCAGATAGCGTGAAATTTTGCTTGGATGACGGCAATGACTGCTCAGAGACTACCACTGTATAGGTTGTGAGTGAAGGCATGTCTAGTCTCATCAGGGTGTTCGGCGAGTCGACATAGGGACCGCGATGGAGTGCCCCGTCACTCAGAGAGACACGTTGGCCCCCTGCATCAAACACATAGAGGCTGATGAAGCCAGGCTCAACGCAGTCTGTATTTGATTCAGATTGCTCGTGATGCTTTACCGTACGGAAATGCTTTCCAAGCAGTAACCAGACGGGACCGCCAGCATCGCTGGACACAGAGAACTGAGGATTCTTGGCAAAGCAGCCAGCCACCCCTCTATCGCTTGATAGATCCCAAGTAAAGTGAATATCTTGACGATATCTAAACAAGGCTGGATTCCAATTCAGATATAAGTTCTCAAAGTTCTGGAGAACATCTTCGCAGTCCATCCAAAAGGTGCCGGGTGAAATGTGGAACGTGTCTCCGTAGCCAGAGTTGATTTCGGAGTTGCTGTCATGGTTATAATCGCCTGCCCATGGATTTTTCACCAACATCTGGCGGCGATTTTTGGTTTCCTTCATATCCAGGATAGCATAGTCATGCTCACTCACCAGGCCAAGCTCCTCTTGCTCCCTTTCAGTTAGACTCCCAGTGCCTATGGTCAGAAGGACATCACCCATTCGGAACGCGTTGAAGAGTCGCCTCCAGAGTTGTTCACCTGTGACGTCTTCGTGGTGAAGGAAAACTTGCTCAGGAATCCATCCTGTCAACACCCACAAATCGGTGCCGGAATTGCTTCCTGGGAAGTCATATCCCCCACGAAGCTTCAAGTATGCTTTTTCCACCAGGGCGGGCCAGATATAAAGAGGGTTGTTTCGGTCAACCACGTGTAGTGACCGTGAAGACTTCGACGACGGCAGGCGATCATCAATGACGACTTTGCGAAAGCATCCGTTGAAGTAGAAGCAGAAGATATATTTTCCCAGAGGAGAGAGTTTAGGATCTGTATAGCGGAGTTCAGAAGGGTATACCGCCGGGTAATGAAACTGAAAGCGTCAGATCAACGTAACAATCCCATTATTTTCAGTAAATCAGCTGACCTTGTCTAACCCACGTTCGTATCGCGATGTAAGAGCGCACAAACTGGCAACAACAGAACAGTCTGTGAGCATATCCTGGACAAGATCGGTTTTACCTGTAACCGACATCACCGGGACCGGGGAGACGGTCGAGTCCACTGCGGGTTCTTGTAGAAGGAGCTCCTTCGGTCGTTTCCAGCCTGAAAAAACATCATGCTGCACTTTGGAGAGATGAAGATCAGGTGCGTCCCTGTTCACTGTCAGAGATACATCGTGTAACAGAGTGCAATGACCCTTTAACATACGTGAAGAGGTCCTCCCCAACTTGTCGTTCGAATTCGCCAGGTTCCGGAGCACTTGTCCATGGTGGAAAAATAGAGTGATTCAGTTTCGCACTCTCGAGAAGAATGATCTCCTCCCGAGTGGTGAGTTTGCGCGCAGATCTAGGATACCGCGTAACTGGATCATTGCTGCCATGCTCGAGTCTTGCCGCTCGCCAATCTTTGGCTACTTTGATTCTTTCGGCACGCAGAAGCCAATCCTTGCACTTAGCATCTAGAAACTTCTTGTCTTTCGGAAGAGATGACAAGCTTAAAGCCTTCATATAGTGTTCGGCAGCAGTAATGGCTGCCTCGAGCGCCTCACTTTGGGATGTAGCGGCAAGCACATCTTCCTCGGCTTTCTGTATGATCGTTAGTTTCAAGATGATCCTGGCTTTGCACAAGCTAGATGTGGATCAGCGGAGACTACTGACGAAGGCTTGGTTGATCTGTAACTGCTGAGAAGTAGCAGTGGCTCGAGACATGATGGTGGTGGATACGGAAATCGGAGGTCGGATATGCAACTACACTCCGATCGATGATGACTATTATCCAGCACCGATGAGAAGCTGCGCATGGAACACACCTAAAAGCATTCCGAAGCTCGGTGTAAGAACTGGAGAACGATTAGATTGATAAGAGGAAGTGATCCTTGAGTCAGTTCTGACGACAGGGCGCGCGTTAGTTAGTTAGACTCGATTACACTCAGTGCGGGACCCGCTTCCTGCCATCTCAGAAGCTCATTCATCATTCCTCTTCGGCGTGCATTCTGCCATGTTAAACCGCCTTGCAGTCTCTCTTCTCTCTTGAAGTACAACACCTCTCGATCATGGATACCATGTCCATTTTATGGGCTTGTACATACACTCAAGCTGATGGGAGCACGAATCTATATGGGTGGGAAAGTAGAAGTATGCAGAAAGAGCTTTTGTTTTGGAGCTCCCTTTTTAGTTGACCGGCCCCATAAACGAGTAGAAACTACGGACCCGTGACTCCGTAGCAAGCCACCTAATTAGGTAATGATAAAGCCAGACTACACTTCTAAGGCATGCATGTTGTACAGAATTCTAATTTGGCTAACGATCAGTTGATAATTAAGTACGACATGCACTGTCTACATTATATACCCTTTATATGACCTACAGGCCAATGTCATCAGAGTTGAAAGTTGACTCCGGTTTTCTACTTCTACTTCGGGGAGGAGGGACGGGAATGGAGAGTCAACGCCCCAGACCGATAAGAGAGACGGACCTCGGCTCGTTTCGTCATGCGCGTCGACGATCGACTGCGCCGAGGTGCGATGGAATGAATCCCCGGCTGGTTCTTCTTTGCAGCAGATCACTCTGGATTTTTTGTCATGCCTCGATTCCTCCTTCCCCTATGCGCTTCAGAAGCCTTTTCCTTGTTTCTCGGACAGCTGTAATTTCTGACCTTCATTGCCCTCCTCCAATTATCTTCATATACCCTCTAATTCCATTTGTGGTTCTGGTACGCTACGTCGACTTTCCCGTGTCCCCGCTTAAGATCAAGCCCCAGTTATTCCGCACCGCTAGACCTCCAGGCGAGGATTCTAGCATTCAACTTTTACATAAAACCAGGCGATATCGGTGTCGCGCTGGTCGGGGTATACAATATAGCTGTTGGATTTACCACAAATCTCCTCTCCGATCTTGATAACAGAAGACGGATCCGCTTCACCTACACAAAATGGCCGGTCAATCGAAACCCGCGCTCTCACCATGGGGCAGTGCTGTTGCAGGAGCAACTGGTGCCGTGCTCGCCAACGCCATGGTGTACCCTCTTGATCTGTAAGTGATTGATTTTCCGTGTCTGTTTGGTCTACTATGCAACGCCGGAGAATCCAGCTGACTCGTTATGTGCTGTCCGGCAGTGTGAAAACCAAGCTTCAAGTACAGGTAAAACAAGCGGACGAGACGAAGAAAGAAGGCTCCGATGAGGCAGTACACTACAAATCGACCATGGATGCCATCAACAAGATCGTGGAGAAGGAGGGTATCGAAGGGCTATACTCCGGAATCGCCGGTGCTTTGATCGGCGTCGCATCCACCAACTTTGCCTACTTTTATTGGTACACCATTGTGCGATCCCTCTATATGGCGTCTGATAAAGTACCCAAGCCCCCTGGTACCGCAGTCGAGCTCTCCCTCGGCGCTGTAGCGGGCGCTGTCGCCCAGATCTTCACCATCCCAGTATCCGTCATCACTACGAGACAGCAAACGCAAGATAAGAGCGAGCGGAAAGGCCTGGTTGAGACGGGTAAGGAGATTGTGAACAGCGAGGATGGCTGGACTGGTCTATGGCGAGGGCTTAAGGCCAGTTTGATCCTTGTAGTCAATCCCGCTATTACCTACGGAGCGTATCAGCGGCTGAAGGATGTCCTGTTCCCTGGAAAAACCAATCTGAAGCCTTGGGAGGCATTCCGTGAGTGATTCGCATATATGTCAACTCGGCCGTTTGCTCATACTAATTTCTCTCTCAGTCCTTGGTGCCCTCTCCAAGTCGTTGGCCACGATTGCGACACAGCCACTGATCGTGGCTAAGGTCGGTCTACAGTCGCGACCACCTCCCGGCCGTGAAGGCAAGCCCTTCAAGACCTTCGGTGAGGTCATGCGCTACATTATCAAGCACGAGGGAGCGTTATCTCTGTTCAAGGGCATTGGACCTCAGATCACAAAGGGTCTCCTCGTGCAGGGCCTATTGATGATGACGAAAGAACGGTATGTCGCCTCCGATTTTACTAATCGCACAAGCTGACCATCACTAGTGTTGAACTCATATTCGTGCTTCTTTTCGCCTATCTGCGCAAACTCCGGCAGCAGAAGCTTAAGAAAGTTGTGGATTCCGCAGCATCGACGGCCAAGACCAGCCTACCAGTCACCTTGAAATGATTCACTATACCATCCCTCTCGATACGCCAACTGCAATTTCTACCGGCAAAAATGCCATAGACTTCCCTTTCAACAATTTCCAATTTCATGAACGAGATCTCTAAATCCTCCGTGCTTTGACAGAATGATATCCCGAGCACGCCTACTATAACTGCAAAGAGTACTCCGGGCATAATAGTATACTGGGCGGCGACTGTGCAAAACAAATCATAAGGTTTACGCTGGCATTACATAGAACCATTCCAATATACAATGACCAAACTCCATTTGATGGCCCACATGCGAGTCGCCAGAGTCAACTCCCGTAACTCCCCAAATTTGAGAAATCCCGCGGACGAAAGGGGCGGAGGATATAGATAGCACAAGGCAAAAGGGGAAGAGGCACTTGACCGCCCACCTTCACCTCGGCAACAACCATCTGCCGAAACAAACACCACACCGCTAGACCAACACCAGCGCCTTGGAACTCCGACTTCTCACCCCGCCCTCTCTCTCAACCCAACCACCAATCCAGCGCCTCACAGCAAGCGGGGGAGTATGAGCCGTGATGAGATGGCCGCCATGGGCTCCCAAATCTCCCAACCAGCTGGAACAAGAAGCACGCGGCGGCGCCGCCGCCGCAGCATCAAAGAACAACAACAACAACAATAATGACGCCGACAACCACAATTACACCATCGACTGGCGCGCCTTCACCGAGCCTCGGACCTTGATCGCGACGACGATCCTAACGACCGGCATCCTCGGCGCCATGGCCCTCCACGGTCGCTACTTCCGGTGGTTTCCCGACGCAGTCAGCATCTCGCCCTCCTACATGCGCCGCCGGAGTATCCTAGGGAAGGTGACGAGCGTGGGAGACGGTGATAACTTCCGGATCTATCATACCCCTGGAGGCCGGCTGGCGGGCTGGGGGTGGTTGCCTTGGAAAAAGATTCCGACGTCCAAGAAGGAGTTGAGGGATAAGACGGTATGTGGTTCCTGCGTGTTGGCCCTTTCTCCGAGCAAGCCTTGCCATAGGTTCCGGGGAAACGTGCTTGTGTTGATTGTATTGCTCGTTCGGGGATTCTTTCGCTTTGTTTGAACTTCGCGTTCAGCCCCTGGATCAAGACACTAATCATTGACTGCGGACAATCTAGATTCACATCCGTCTAGCAGGCATAGACGCCCCGGAGCTCGCGCACTTCGGGCGTCCCGCGCAGCCATTCAGCAAGGAAGCGCACGAGTGGCTTACGGCGTACGTGAGCGGGCGGCGCGTGCGCGCGTACGTCCACCGCCACGACCAGTACCAGCGCGTGGTCGCGACGGTGGTGATGCGGCGGGCGCTCGACTTCCCGATCCCCTTCCGGCGCCGCGATGTGTCGTACGAGATGCTGAAGAAGGGGCTCGCGACCGTCTACGAGGCCAAGTCCGGAAGCGAGTTTGGCGGCGCCGCTACGGAACGCAAGTACAGGCAGGCCGAGTGGTGGGCCAAGCTCCGCGGTTTGGGGCTGTGGAAGGGGTTCCGCCGCAATAATGAGTGGGAAAGTCCCCGGGAGTATAAGACGCGGATGGGGCTGGAGGATCCGATACAGTTGAAGGCGGAGGCGAAGAAGAAATAAAGAGGGCGCGATTTTCGAATCCGGGGTTTGGAAGGGGGTTCGCTGCGTAGGTCCCGTGTTTATCTTATCGAGGTCTTATGTCTACGCGTCATGATGGTTACGGCTGGTTCTGATATCCTGGTGATAAGTTTAATTTGCACGTTGAGTGCATCCATGCATTTCGTGTCATCGATAGACATCTAACAATTCGCCTGGTTTGGCGGCATATCGTACTCTTCGTAAGACCTGACATAAGTCATCTAGGCCACACGGGTTATGCCAGCTGTCTTTGGCAAGACATTATATAACGCGGAAGAATGGCAAAAAAAAAAGGCCTGCTCATGCATGCAATCCATCAAGGACTGCAGTAATGCAAAGCTGAAAAGAACCCCCAAAATGAAAAGAGTAAGGAAGATGTATGGTACAAGAAAGGTGTCCGATGTCGGCACTCAGGGAGCACTCTAGCAGAAGTGTCGCTCAATCTCTGCAAAGAGCTTCGGACTGATCTCATCGCTCGAGTCGCCCTCGACGCGCCAGAGGCAGCCCTTACGCTCGTAGTGCTCCAGCAGGGCCCTGCTAGTCTCCTCAAACTTATGAAGTCGCTGCTTCCAGGTGTCGATCGAGTCGTCCTGCCTCTGAGTCAACGGCTCGCCGGTCAGATCATCCTTGCCAGGAACCTTGGGCGCATTGAAATCGGAGTTGTAGACGCGTCCGGAGGGCTCGTGGACCCATCGCGACGCTATGCGGGAGAGGATGACGGACGGCGGTGTGACAAGATGGACGACAAAATTCACAGGGACAAGGCTGTCTAAGCTCGAGGCCTGTGTCGCGGTGCGAGGGAACCCATCGAGGATGAAAGAAGCGCTGGAGGAGATGGTCGACGACGGGGTTGCGGTGGGTGGAAGCCAGCCCTTGGACTCGAGTTCCGAGGATATAAGCTCGAGGATCATCGAATCGGGCACCAGGTTGCCGGACTGCATTGCGGCCTCTGCTTTGAGACCTTTACCCCAACACAAACATAAAACATCAAAGATTAGCCCATTGTCACAATTGCGAGAATTGATTCAGATATCGACATACCCAAGGGGGTTTTCCTCCGCACATTCTCCCGGAGGAGGTCGCCTGAGCTTATGGAGGCTAGGCCTGGGAATCTAGTGAGGAGTCTTTCTGTTTGTGTTCCTTTTCCAACGCCTGGCGCGCCTATAAGGATGATTCGCGCAGCCTTTCGAAGCTGTCGGGTGGTGCGTGTCATTGTAGTCGTGGGTTGTGTCTTTTGGGGGCGAGGGAGACTATCTAAAGCGTTGCAAGGGTTTCTTAATCTGCGGAATACTTCGGCTTGTTGAGAATTGTTGAGCCGTCTAACTAACTTGTTCAAGATAGGACTGATAACGGCAAGACAGGAAGACAGCGGATACGCTATATGATGTCCATGGTGTTTAATGTTGATTCAATGTTGGAAATGCAGTGTTGACTTGGGAAGGGAGCAGCCGCAGATATTGATTCTGTGCCTTATCAAAGGATGGCCGCTGCTCAGCTGATGCAATGGGCATTGCTCGACTCGACTCGGGAGGCGGCAAGACACGCAAAACCGTGGGGTTTGTAGATGGTTACTTGTTTAGGCAGTCGGTGAGCGGAGTCCGATCCGGGGTTTTAAGTTCCATTTCTAATTCCCGGAACTTTTTTCAACTTGATGGGAGGAAGTATACAAGTACAGGCTTTATTTGTTGACTGGCAAAGGGACCGACCAGTCGATTGCGGATCCCAGGGATATTTAGGTCGCTGTTGCGACTGGAAATTGCGCTGTGGTGTATGTCAGTAAAGTTCACTTGCAGTAAGATGAATGAAATCCCTTGATCTTTAAAGTCCCAGTCTAGCAAAACAGTGTCACATGTCCAGAACTCTTTGAGGCAACTGTCAGTCTGTCAGAAATCACATTTAACTTAGCACTCCACAATAACCCCCGTGCTCTGTCTCTTCCGTACATGCATGTGATAATGAAGGTCTCTGGATTGGATTGGGGGGTTTTCCGCCGGCGGCTTGAGCGCTTTAATCTTCACGTGACCGCGTCGCGTTTTGGGCGCGTTCCGCGTTCTTCGCGAGGGTCAGTGTTGGCCAGACCATACATCGTCGATTTTGTCTCGCCGGCATAATCAAGAGAGCAGCAACTTGTTAGCGTTGAGGCCGCCGTTATATCTCACCATGATCAGACAAGACTTTCTTAGAATCGACCCTAAGAGAAGGGCAAATCTCGATCACAAGAAGAAGCAATTCGCTGCACCCACATTCAAGCAGCAGGACTACCCGCATCGTTTGAATTTCTACGACGTTCCACCCACTGAGGAGATCACACTCGAACAATTCGAGCAATGGGCTATTGATAGATTGCGAGGTAGATTCAAAGAGTCCCTGCATCATTCTTCGTACTCATGGTTTGAATAGTACTGGCTGAAATCGAGGCCTGCTCTTATCGAAACAAGTCCGCAGCCGAGACCGAGGCGCATCTTACACCCCTCCTTCAGAAATACCTCCCATTATCTTCCAATACATCCTCCTCCAACGGTGCAGCCGATCAGCGACTAAAGATCGAGCGCCAAAAGGACCACTACTCGCACTTCATCCTTCGTTTGGCATTCTCCGCCACAGAAGACCTTCGCCGGCGTTTCGTGAGAGCAGAGACGATGCTCTTCAGATTCCGTTTCCAGCGTGATGACACCAGAGAGAAGCGCGCTTTCATCGAAAGCCTGAACCTTGACTGGGAGCCTGTGGAGGATGATGAAAGACAAACATTGGCAGAGCATCTGGTCGGCGCCACCCCGGGTTTACGTCGGGTGGACGAAGAGGCATGGTACAAAGTGGACTGGGAGCGAGTACCCGAGCTCGTCGAGAGAAGAGCTGTGTTTTTGTACAAAGGCAAGGCCTATGTGCCTGGCAGGGAGCAGTTGAGCATGATTATCGCGGAATTTACTGCTCGACTGGAACGTGCGCTCGAGGTACAGAATTGACCCTCCCTACTGGCTTCCTGGTCTATGCTAACGTCCCCAAGCTCACGAGTCGGGCTCTACCTCGTCTGGATGAGGATGATCGCCTGACCCCAATCTTGAATCATCTGTCGAAGAACTTCGGAAGCGCCGAATCGGTCTATTCGGAAGGTGAAGGATTTGTTGACGGCGCCGCGATCACTGCCAGCAACATTGACCAGCTATCGCAACATTTCCCACTTTGCATGCGAAGTCTCCACATGAACCTACGGAAGAACAACCACCTCAAGCATTATGGGCGTCTCCAATACACCCTTTTCCTCAAGGGTATTGGCTTGTCACTCGAAGAGTGTATTGTGTTCTGGCGCCAATCATTCAAGGGCTTCACGGACGATGAGTTCAACTCTCGGTACAAGTACAACATCCGTCACGCTTACGGTGATGTGGGAGGCGATGTCAACCGCCGAGGTCGAGGATATCCTCCATACTCTTGCCAGAAAATTCTTGGCGATTCAAACCCTGGAGTCGGACAGACTCATGGGTGCCCTTACCGCCATTACTCGGTTGATAATCTCATTGGATTGCTTCAGTCCACAGGTGTCCACGACAAAGAAGTTCTCCGTGGAGTGCGAGAAGACGTTGAGAAGATGCGGTACCACATTGCTTGCAACAGAGTCTTCGAGTCAACCCACAAGACCGAGATCAAAAGAGTCAAAGAAGATGGTTCCTGGAACCAGACCGACTTGGACACCATCGTTCATCCTAACACTTACTTCAAGCGCAGTTTCTTGTTGAAGCAGACAGCCAGGGCGGCCAAGAGTTCTTAAACAGCCTCTATGGAGACTGCGAGACTTATAGTTTGTGTTTTCATTGCATCCTTGTTTTTCACTTTGGCGAAAATTTCAGTTCCCAAGGCGTTAGGGGTTTGGGTCACACATTGGGGTACGGGACACAATTTTTTTCACATCATTCTCGAGGTAGATATTACACGTAAATCTTGGTGTCTGAATTACGCAGGCTCAATTGACGATGCAAAAAGATTTTACGATTAAGGCATTTGACCACAGCTGATTCCCAAATTATCCAAAAGGAACAAAACGTCCTTTCAAAGCCAGGTGCCCAGCAACGGGTCAGATTTACTCTTCGCTCGACGCGTAAACAACTTCACCATTGAGGTGGCTAGAAGCTGAGAAAGATGATGTCGGCGTGAAAAAAGAAAGAAATTCATGAGAAGAAAAGAAAAAAAGTGGAAAATGAAGGGAGGAGAGCCGGTATTTAAAGGACTCTAGCGTGGGGCTACGGCGGGCGGCAGGGACCAGCTATGCTGCAACCTGGCCTTATGCCAGCACCGCCGCTTCACACAACAGTCTCCTGATCCCCCGCATAGTCTTCCAGGACAGCAGTTGTTGGCGTTGCGCATTTCGAGACTGGGTTTATGCTATAGGAGCATCTTTCCCCGTATCCAGTCTGTGGAGTTCAGGATATAATCTTCTGGAACTGTTGTTGTCAAGGAGAACTCCCCTCAATAACACCATCAACGGAACCCCGTTTACCACGCCGCCAACATGGATTACGAAGCGTTGAAGGACCAATGGAGCGATGTTGAGGATCGCGACGGCATCAGACTGAGCTGGAACACTTTCCCAAGCTCTCGCATGGTTAGTCTTCTATTCACAACAGCTCTATACGCCAGTCACTAAGTCAGTCGTCAATAGGAAGCATCCCGACTTGTTGTCCCCATCGGTGCCGTCTACACGCCCCTTAAGGAGAAGCCGGACTCTCCGCTCCTACAATATGAGCCAGTAACCTGCAAAGCGCCCTGTCGGGCCGTTTTGAACCCTTATGCGTATGTTCAATGGCTGTTCCTTAGATACACAAGAGCTCCGACTGACAAGATCTAGCAATGTTGACGTTCGCGCCCGCATCTGGATCTGCCCCTTCTGCCTTATGCGCAACCCTCTGCCTCCTCACTACAAAGATATCACCGAGAGCACAATACCCCCGGAACTTCATCCCATGAGCACAACGATCGAGTATCAATTGGCGCGCCCCGCCCCCGCTCCCCCCATCTTCGTCTACGTTGTCGATACCTGCCAGGATGAGGACAGCCTGAAGGCCGTTAAGGACTCCTTGATCATGAGTCTGTCGTTGTTGCCAGCCAATGCCTTGGTTGGTCTTATCACATTTGGTACAATGGTAGGAACATGCCGCGATACGGCTAGGGGACAATGTTGACTCGAGATATAGGCTCAAGTACATGAACTCGGCTACACCGAATGTGCCAAGTCTTATGTGTTCCGCGGTAGCAAGGAATATGCTGCGAAACAAGTCCAAGAGATGCTTGGTCTTGCCGCTGGAGTGCGCCCCAACATGCCTCAGCAGCCTGCTCGCCCTCCTCTTGGACCCGCGGCGCGATTCCTCCTTCCCGTTCAGCAGGCGGAATTCCAGATCACGAATGTGCTCGAGCAGCTGCAGCGTGATCCTTGGCCCGTCGCGAACGATAAGCGCCCTCTCAGATGTACTGGTGTTGCTCTTAGCGTTGCCGTTGGTTTGCTTGAGACCTCTTTCCAAAACGCCGGTGGACGTATCATGATCTTCACCAGCGGCCCGGCCACGGAGGGACCGGGTCATGTCGTTGGCCCTGAGCTGAAGGAACCTATCCGCTCTCACCACGATATCGATAGAGACAACATTAAGTACTATAAGAAGGCTGTCAAGGTGAGTTGCGATAACATCATGAAGTGCGTCAATATTTGTACTAATGCATGCGCGTAGTTCTACGACAGCATGGCCAAGCGTGCCGCTAACAATGGACACATTGTCGATCTCTTTGCCGGATGCCTTGACCAGGTCGGTATGCTGGAAATGAAGAATCTTGCCAACTACACTGGTGGTCACATACTTCTGACGGATAGCTTTACTTCCTCACAATTCAAGCAATCATTCGTCCGAATCTTCGACAAGGACGCGAATGACAACTTACTCATGGGCTTCAATGCATCTCTTGAAGTGCTCACCACCAAGGAACTCAAGGTCACTGGCCTTATCGGACACGCAGTCTCTTTGAACAAGAAGTCGAGCTCGGTAGGCGAGACAGAGTGTGGTATCGGCAACACTTGCGCCTGGAAGATGTGTGGTATCGATCCCTCCTCCAGTTACGGAATTTATTTTGAGATCGCGAACCAGGGTGGTCCGGCAGCGGTTCAACCAGGCCCCCAGAGGGGAATGATGCAATTCCTGACGTACTATCAACATTCGTCTGGACACTATCACTTGCGAGTTACAACCGTTGCACGGAACTTGAGTGGTCCGGCTGGTGACCCTACACTTGCACAGTCTTTCGACCAGGAAGCCGCTGCCGTGTTGATGGCTCGTATTGCTGTGTTCAAGGCCGAGGTTGATGATGGACCAGATGTGCTCCGATGGGTCGATCGTATGCTTATCCGGCTGTGCTCTCGCTTTGCCGACTACCGGAAGGATGACCCTACCTCGTTCCGATTGGAGAAGAACTTCACTCTCTACCCTCAGTTTATGTTCCACTTGCGCCGAAGCCAGTTCTTGCAGGTCTTCAACAACTCCCCGGATGAAACTGCCTTCTATAGACATGTCCTCAACCATGAAGATGTCGGCGATTCTCTTGTCATGATTCAGCCCACTCTCGATTCATATTCCCTCGAGCACGAAGGAAGCCAGCCGGTCCTCCTGGACTCTGCTTCCATCCAGCCTTCCCACATCCTGCTTCTGGACACTTTCTTCCATATCCTGATCTTCCACGGAGAGACCATCGCCGAATGGAGAAAGGCAGGTTACCAGGATCAGGAGGGTTACGAAAACCTGAAGGCTCTTCTTGAGCAGCCGAAGGAAGATGCAAGGGTTCGTATACATCGATTATCAGATATTCGCTGTTTCATTGCTAATTGATACCAATTGCAGGAACTAATCTCGGACCGCTTCCCCCTGCCTCGTTTCATTGTCTGTGATGCTGGTGGCTCGCAGGCGCGTTTCCTTCTGTCCAAGCTCAACCCTTCGACGACACACACGACAGGAGGATACGGCGGAGGTGTTACGTCGCAAACGATTTTCACCGACGATGTCTCGTTGCAAACCTTCATGGAACATCTGATGAAGTAAGTTCGCCATCTGTGTTGGATTCACAAATGGAGTTTGCTAACCCAGTTTACCAGGCTTGCTGTTTCCGGAACCAGCTAGATCTGATGAGTCAATGGCCATAACAAGGAGAGCAAGGGGCGGTTCACGTCGGTCGTAGGGTCGTTTGTATCTTTAGCGGTTTTTCCTAATTTTGTCTGTTACCCTGGAATATAGCAACTACCTAGATTCGATGCATTGAATACTAGCAAAATCCAGTAATGATCATTGTACAGTACCTACTGTTTCGCCTTCGCTACAGTGGGAGGAAATTAGTTTGCACCACCCCTTGGAAGGAGTTCGGCACTTTCCCTAATCAAGTCTAGCCTATGGTTATTCTGCCAGCTTCTTCCCGTATGATTTAGGCGGTGCGTGAGCGCTTCAAGAAGGCGGTATCTCTAGAACCAAACATTGGGCGAGAGGTGGGGGGGGGTGCAAATTAATTTCCTGCGACTGTATCGCATAGAAGCTCGGCCGTTGTACTGCTCACGTGACTGATAAGGGCTGAGCCCTACTGCGCCAAGCCGCTTTGGGGAGCTCGCTTAGTGGAGGTGCGGGCGGCAGCTAAATATCCTTCGCATTGAGTGAACGCCTCCTTTCTCTCCTCGTACCATCCACCCCGACAACTCCCAAGGACGATCGACCACCTTTCGCACTCGCCATGCGTAAGTATCATCTCCTTGGTGTCAATATGGCGGACTGAACTGACATTACACCCATTGGGCAGCTCCCAAGTTCGACCCCAATGAGGTGAAGATCATGTAAGTTACGCCGCAAAAATCTGCCTGCTGAAATTTGAGTGCTAATCCCTATCGCAGTCACCTGAGAGTGACTGGTGGTGAGGTCGGTGCCCAGTCTGCTCTGGCCCCCAAGATCGGTCCCCTCGGTCTGTCTCCCAAGAAGATTGGTGAAGATATCGCCAAGAACACTGGTGACTGGGTAAGGAACAACGCGCCTGCGCATGTCTTTAGGATGGTCGGACAGTACACTAATAAGGATTCTTCCGGATTTATAGAAGGGTCTGCGTGTCACCGTCAGACTCACCATCCAGAACCGTCAGGCCGCCGTCTCCGTTGTGCCCTCCGCTTCCTCCCTGGTTATCAAGGCCCTGAAGGAGCCTCCCCGTGACCGCAAGAAGGAGAAGAACATCAAGCACAACAAGTCCATCCCTCTCGACGAGATTGTCGAGATCGCCCGCCAGATGCGCCACCGCTCTCTGGCTAAGGAGCTCAAGGGTAGCGTCCTTGAGATCCTCGGTACCGCTTTCTCTGTTGGTTGCCAGGTTGATGGCCGCAGCCCCAAGGATGTCTCTGACGACATCAAGGCTGGCGAGATTGACGGTACGTCCCGACTCATGGTCTCGACTCTTTCCTTCCCAGCATGCTAATTGTTTCCCAGTCCCCTCCGAGTAAATTATGATCAATGTTTCACAGCGGTCGCGATATTGATGTATCGGCATGCTAGTTACTGAATATGATCATTGTTCTCACGAACAAACCCACAATGTTTTACGAGTCATGACTAGGATTCCCACTTCTGTTCTCATTCGACAAAATGATAAGTGTTTTCGTCGGACAATCGCGCCCAAGATTCCTCCCTTTCTCCCCAAACATTTCTGATGCTTTTCACGGTCTACTTGCTGCCCCCATGTGCGAGCCGGATCCTGTCAAGACACAACACCTATATTGGAACCCTCTGCAACACTCTGGCCCTTACCGTCTCTTCCCGCCTTCGGGCCTGGATTTGACTTGTTACCAAACGTGGTATAGGCTTATTTTACGCAGAGGAGATCAAACTTCTGACCCGTTACTCACCGCAGCATTCTCGAAGGGAGTCTCGTGCTTCTGACAGTGGATGCGGTGGTCCATCATTACGGTCAACATTTTGTAATTTGTAATCTCTTTTCATTATCAATCCAAATATCCATTCCTCTTTTGAATCCTGCTTCATTCTTCCCAATCCTCGTATTTTCTAGATATGCCGCGTAGCATCAATGATGATAATAATGGAATGTTGAGCCTTTGGTATGCGGGCTGATCCGCGTGTTAGGTGGCAGCAGCCACCTAGAAAAGGCGACCAGCAGCAAACGGGAAGGGAAAGATTCCGCAAGGCGCGCCGCCGCCGCCGCCGCCGCCGCCGCCCGTTGCCGGACAAGACCGAAGAATCCCACGATCTATCACTATCCACTCCATAGTCCCTGATACGCGCCCGCCATGCAGGTGCCCCTTTGCTACAGTAGTTCGAAAACGTCTTCCCTTCCCCTCTCTGGCAGCCCATCAGAAGGCCATCGATGCACGTCCGGTTGCGATGTGATGATAAGCAGTCTAGTACTGTAGGTCTGCCTGTTGGCTTGACTTGATCTCGACAGGTCCCAAGCCCGATAATGGCAATATGGCATTTCGAAACCCCTGGGGCCGTATACTTGGAGTAATAGGCACAAGCTAAGCAAGCCTGAATCAACCCGAGCTGACCTGGAAATCCTAGACCAGTCTTGCTCTCCCCTCCTCATCTTCATCACTATCACTTCAACCTGGAAACCCGTGGCTCTACATCACGGTCTATTTCCCAGGATTTGTCTAGGAGGGAGGGGCGGCGCGGGATGATCCTCCACAAGTTGGCGCGCCGATCAGCATAAGAAAATAAAATTAAACTGAGAACAGATTCGACCAGAAAAAAGAACAAAGAGGTAGGGAGCTGACAGGTGCGAAATGCATTCTGTGACTGAATAAGCCTGCCTCCGACAAAAGAACGAATTCTTACTCAGCTTGCACCCCTCGGTGTGCGGTTTTTAGTTCGAACTTGTCTAGCAAGTGCTGAGTTTGCCGATCCGCGAGACTTAGACTAGATTACCCTCTAAGCTGGGCTCGTGAACATGGCTGGTGATCCGAATTTGAGTGCTATCTATCTTAGTGGTGAAGTTTAGTTCTGCTGGGCTACTGTACTAGTAGTATTGTTGAAGGAGAGAGTTGGGTGCAGGTAGTTGAGTTAGGTGAAGTACAGTACAATAGGAGCGGCCCCGTTCCCGCTTGGTCTGGGCAGGATATTGATAGTCCCGTACTAGTCGCATGGCAGGAATTTACTGGGTGGATGAGGGGAGGGGCGGCGGGGTGTCAGAAACTGTAAATGAGAATGAAAGGATTAATTCGATAAAATAAATTAAGAGAGCGAATTATTCTATAGTACGGAGCGGATCTAACTTGAGTGATTAGGTGGCCTCTCTTAGACGCTGTCGCTGTCGCTGTCGCACCTACCTATCTGTTGTGCCAGGCGAAGCGAAACTGGCTGATTTCCCCCATTGTGACTGGATGGAGGGTAGGGAACGGGCTTCATCCGAACCAAGGACCGCGAGGGACGATGGTTGACTCGTTGGAATTGGACTGGTGGTGTTGGATTTAATGTGTCAGTGTAAAGCAGAGCTGGGCTGAAGATGTCTCGTTGGTGGTCGATTTGGTTATATATGTTGTTAGAGTAGAGGGTCAATATCGGCCCTCGGCAGCCGAGAGGATAGACTACACCACGCCGGCAGTTGGAAGGATAAGCGGCCTATCAGATACATGAAATGTCCATGAAGAACCATGGCAGGTAGGTAAGGGCTCAGGGCCCCAGGCTCCATGGCGGTTGTTTCCTCACCTGATCACCGGTGGCATGCGTGTTGCTTTTCAGCCTCGCGCATTGGGGGCTGCAGAATGATGCGAGCAACAATCAAGAACCGATGGCCCAACATTTCCGGGCCTCGCTTTCGTGCAGCCACACACCACCACCGGTCGCTATCGCCAGGTCTGCCTAGCTTTTGCTAGCATCTGACAGACGGAAGTACAGGATGCAGGATTTCCAGTCCCTTCCCATCGGGATCTTTGCAAGATCTATAGATCCCAACCTTCCGGTCTTTGTTCAGAACATCATGCTGGATCGGAAATCAGTTGATACATATGTGACAACCCATGGATCCGTTGATGATGGTTTCCTTTCACCCTCACCATGTAAAGAGACTTCTCAGTGGTGGTTCTTCCCTTTCGGTGCCTGCATGGTGATTGATTCCACCCCATTCCCTTTTGCTCTCTCCAAGGCTTGCGTGCAGCCGCCGCCAAAGAAAACCCAAGCGGACTCCGGACTCCACTCCAACCCACCGCTGAAAAAGTGCCAGATCGCTCCGAGACCAACCGACCAAGCAGACCCTCGTAACTGCCAGGCCCCAGCCCCAAAGGCGCCAACTGGGACTGGGGGATAAAAAAAGGAGGGAGGAAGGGTGTGGGAGGGGAAAGGGAGATGGTTTCTCAGCATCCATGGCTGATGACTGCTGGACCGACCACTGACGTTGGACAGGCCTGGATTTGCTCCTGCGCCCAAGTGGCTAGCGCCAGACCATCCTGGCCGTTGGATCGTAACTTGAGGTGGGTCGGGGGGAGGAAGAGTGGGGTGGGAGGGGAGGGCGAGAGGAGGGGAGGGATGTGACGGATGGTTGTTCGTGTTCCTTTTCGGTTACGGTCCGCTCGGTGGAGGGTTGTATGTGAGAGTGTGTGTGAGTGTGTGCGTGAAATGTGTCTGTATGTCTCCGGATAGATTTGTGATGGAAGGAGAAAAGAGGAGGAGGAACATGAGAATGAGATGATGATACTATCACCCGACCGGCAATGCAATGAATAGCAACGTAAACTCCGGACTCCGTTGATATTCGATATAGAGAGAGTTCCCAGTATCTATCAGGATAGATGTGGAGGGGGTAAAAGAGGACCCAGCGACTCCATCCATGGAAACCAAACCTAGTGATCTACTCGACTAGATACTACCTACGTACGTACGTACGTTCATTGCTGTGCAGAGCTCATGCTGCTGATGTTGCTGCCTACTTTTGCTTCCTTCCCGTCAATTGTATACGTCGTGTCTACACATAGGTACTGCCATCTCTGTTCCCCAGCAACTCCTCTTGTACACCGTCACCTTCATCTCAAGCAGTCAGTCAGTCTTCTCTCTTCATCTCAGCCACCACCGACTCATCTTCATCCTGGACGCCTCAACGACTCTAGTCTCTCCACCAGGTTCCAGCCCCAGAGACCATTGGCTCCACTCCCGATGGTCCATTCGCGCGCTTTTCTCCCCCACCCTGAAAAGGAAAAAAAAAAAAAAAAAAAAAAAAAGGAACCTGGAACCTTTTCATGGCTGCTCCGTCTTTTGGCTGCCGCCATCCACAGCCTGCGTTTGAGATGCTCCGCTCCGTCATGAATGGTGAGTTGGTGACGGCCTCCCTCTTTGTCTGCTACAGAGGTGGATTGACTCTCTCCAACTAACAGACCCACTCAATGGTCCGCCCACTGGAGCTTTAAATTCCATCTTTCATTATTATTCTCGCGTCTTACTGCTCGCTGCTGCTCGCTTCATCCATAATCCAAATGCTTCCTTTATGCTCGGTCATCTTCGAATGAGAACGCCCCCCCCGGTCAAGCAGAATAGTTCTAGTCAAAGAGAAAGAAAGAAGATTTCCCCCCCAATTCCATGAAGTGATTTTACTGGCTTATTCGTTTTCATTTTGCTTTTGAATTTCCACCCGGAATTCTCTTTTTTTCTTACACTTTCTCCCCCGGTCTCAAATCTTGTCCTTTTCCTCTTCCCTTTCCGCCCGCCGTTGAGATCAGCTCCGCTTCCGCAGCCTTGTGGTGCCTGGATTCCGGAGCCCTCTTTCTCTCTCTCTCTCTCTCTCTCTCTCTTTTTGACTCTGTCTGTAACAATTCTCCCGAGAGAACTGAATGCCTATCACTGATTGGCATTGACTACGGAGGGATTGTCATCAGCTAGTGGTGCCATGTTCAACCCTGCGACTTACTAAGTACAACACTATCGCTTCCCTGATTCGGATTTTGTCGGCCCTCTCGATGTGATTCGTCCCTCCATCTTCTAATCCGATTGCCTTATTGATTGACTGATTGATTGATTGATTGATTCTCTCTCTCTCTCTCTCTCTCTCTTTCCCCCATTCTTGGTTGTGACATTTTTCTTCTTGGGATAAATTCTTTTTATTTCTTTTTCGATAATCATTTGATTATTGTGTTATTTTCTTTTCTATTATTATTGTTATTATTATTATTATTATTATCGTGATTATTCTACTTTCACAACCCCAACCTTTCTCTTACCTACTGACGACAACCACTACAACTCATCTTACTTGACTTTCCGACCGGTTCGCTCGTTCTTCATTTCTCTCCTACTCTCTTTTCCATCTCCTGCACCACATCCCCCACCTCCAACCGAGTACAACATTTCTGCCAAGTGCAGGATAGACTGCTCGTTGATTGCGCCGTGCGGACACCTGCGTCAGTGTGGGCGCTCGACCAGGCTGACTAGGGTTGTGACTTGCAATCCCTTCCCTCCCTTGCATCGCTTCTTCACCCACCAAGACCGTCCGGCAGCAAATAGCGTCTTCCGTGCGGATCGCCTGCGTGTCTTTTCTATCTTCTGGAATCCTGCGTCTTCGTGGATGGTATCTTCGACTCAGCCTCGGATTTCCATTCGGTCTTCTTCCCTTATACTCCCTCGGGGTGCCGGCTACCGTACGTTCTACTTCCAGACCAGACACCATCCACCAGCGTTCATGTCGAGCCCAGAGACCAGTGGTGGGGGGCTTCGTTGAAGTGTTAAGTGAGCCGGCTTATGTCCAGGATGAGGTGTAGGAAACGTTTCAAGGAGGATGCTTGTTGATTTTACTGCGAGAGATTGATTGTCGACAACACCGACTGCTCTCCATCTATCGGAGCCGCTCTCCGACGAGGTCTCCCCCTCTTCTCACGTCGCTTCACATTCGCATCATTGTTATCTTTCATTTTGCTGCCCGTCGCTCGCATTTGACTCATAATACTCCCCATTCATTCTCCCATCTCCTGCCGAACGGGCAGAACCCTATATCGATCACGGGGGAAGACGAGTGGAGTCGTCGCTATCCGAGGTCAAGATGTTACCTTCAGTAGCGCCGCTACCGCCCGTTCAACCACATCATCACCTTCACTACCGTCATGGATCCGACACTTCGAATAAACCTTACGACTTGAACGCCTCCTTCTCCGCTACTCTTCCTCATAATGATCATGGCAAGAATCCCTTCCACTCCATACCTCGGACCCGACTGCAATACCCCCATCCGATCCAGCGTCTCGGTGTTCCGGATGCCACAGGCCCTTTAACGAATTCGAAGAGTGCGGGCGAGCACGCCTTGCGGAGGAAGACCCCCAATGGAACGTTAGCGGCAGGTTACGACGGGACCCCAGTGGATATCACCATTCAGCCTCCCGCCAGCAAGCATATCCTAGTGTCGCCTCTCGACTCGAGTCATCTGGTTCCTCCACAGGCTGGATTCGCGTTGGATGCATGGCAGCAACCCGTTCTTGATCGCACTTCATCCGGAAAGCAGTTGAACTTTCCACCCGTATACAAGAATGAAACGACGAGGGGAAACGCAGTCCCTGGAGAGATGGCTCAAGGTATCAATGGGGCAAGCTGGATCCGGTCCTTGGATTACGTACCGGGCATTGATTCCGTGCTGAATCAAACCTTGCCGATGCAACCCTCGCAACAGCGGTTCTATTGGCATAATGGTGCTTATATCCCTACGGTTCTCCCCGCAACCCTGCAACCGTGCGTCGGTCCCACAGCTTCAGCAGGGACCGGTCCGTATGGGCCGTACTGGCCCGACGGGGCTTACATTCCTTATCGCCCAGCAGCCTTTCGGGATGCTCGATTTCATACCCCCAGCCCGTTTCCCAAAGCCATCAATGCTCCTAGCCTTCAATTCCTCGATGCTGGTCAGCCAACCTTGAACCGGGCGGGCTTGTCTGTCGCCAGCCATCCTGATTCGGATCTAGCTTGGAACCAGACCCCGACGGGAATGCACAATGCCGAAATACCCCTGCAGAACAACTTTCCTCGACGCCACTCGGAACAGAAGGTTCTAGAAACTTCAGCACATCAACTGGTCCTGCCGTTCCACACCCGTCAACCTACCACAAATTCGGGGTTTTCGTCGCGAACGATTCACGATGCGTCATCATGGCCGAGCTCCGCGGGTCTTCAGGGATACCAGAACACGGACCCTGTAGGCAGCTCACGTGCAGTAAACGCAGAGTTCAAGGAAAAGGTGTTGACATGGGCCCATGGAGTTTATGTGGATCTTCTTGCATCTATTCACCACGCGCGACGAAACAGCATATCTAACTCGACCACTGAGGCTCAGAGTCAACGGCTCCTGAAGCCGAGTATATACCCTAAACCGCCCCGACAGCCCGGGCTTGATTTCTCAAATCCCGCTGCTACTGACCTATCCCGCCACAACAGCTTTCCACCACCTGGTCATTTAGATTCTCATGTGTCAAGATCCAACGACATCAATCACTCAGGGCAAAATGATCCGAGTCGCCACTTCCAGAGGCCATCATTGGCCCAGTTCTCGCAGACTGCATCTGATGTTCAGATGCTTGATCGAATACGTCACACAGGCCGCTTTTCTTCTGCCCCATCCGCCTCTCGCTTCGGTGCGCCCTCTCTCAACGAGGGCTCCACAACTGCCAATGCCGTGTCCTCCCTCGAGATGCTCTCGCATCTCTGTATGGAGAGCGGTTGGGAATGGATCGACGGAATGCTCCTTGGAGGCTGCCTGGCCTATGGTCTCGGTGATTACAACAAGGCTACCCGGTGGTATTCGCGAATCATCGCACGCGATGCAACGTAAGTATGCATGCTCAGTTGATGATGATCAGACCTCTAACCTAGGGCTAGGCACGTGGAGGCGATCTCCAATCTCGCCGCTACACTTTTGGCGCTGGATCGTCGAGAAGAAGCATTGCAACACTGGCTTCGCGCCGTGAAACTGCGCCCAAGCTACTTTGAAGCTGTAGAACATTTAATCGGTCTTCTGTGCAGCAGCCAACGGGGCAAGGAGGCGGTTAACATCATCGAGTTCGTGCAAAATTCTCTACGGTCTTCGCTAAGTGGGGATTGTTTTAAAGCCGATGAGCATGCAAGCGAGACGGAGAGTGACGCCGAAAGCAGAGCCTCAAGCGCCTCAGACTTGGGCTCCTACGAAAAAGCCGCCTTCGACTATGACGATGAGTTTAGCCGATCTGTGTCTACGGTCCGTGGTCCAGCGGACGCCAAAACCGCCGGGTTTGGCTCGAGTGGGTACGCCATACCCGGCTGCGACAATGGCCGGATATTGGCTCTTGTTCACGCGAAAGGAAACATGCTTTATGCATTGGGTGACAACGTGGGGGCTGCGGCAGCGTTCGAGGATGCGATCTTGATTGCTGCCGGACGAAGACGCCACGGAATTCAAAATCTGATCAAGCAGATTTTTGCGGCTTTCATGCATGGAAGCAATCGTGTTCATCCCGCCGGAGAGTCGCGTGAGCCGCAGGAAAGTATTCTTCTTTATCCCGACCAGGCGCTCCAGACTTCCAAATTGGTGTTCACACCATGTGGAACACCCCCGGGCATCAAATTTGTGGCGGAAGGTCTAGCGAGGAAGGCCGCTGTTTCCACGACGAGCAACTCGTTACTCTCCCTTGCCAAAATCTACCAGGATGGCATGTCCAACATCTCGACCTCTGGGATTCCGAGGACCGCCCCAGGCGTTCGGGACATCCTCGCGCTCTACTACCTTTCTTTGTCTCTCCAGCCCAGTCCGTCGACAGCGAACAATGTGGGGATTCTATTGGCCGGAATTCACAATAAAGTCCCCAAGAAGGGGCTTCCACGGTCCAACGGGGAAATTCAGCACCCCGAAATCCCTGGGGTTATTCCCGGGACGGGGATTTCGTTGGCCTTGGCGTACTACAATTACGGACTGCACTTGGATTCGCGGCATGCACACCTCTACACGAATCTCGGAAGTCTTCTGAAGGATATAGGCCAGCTTCAAGCGGCGATCCGGATGTACGAGCAAGCGGTCCAGTGTGACGGTAATTTCGATATTGCTCTAGCCAACTTGGCCAATGCGGTCAAGGATGCTGGACGTGTCAACGATGCCATCGCCTACTACAAGCGGGCTGTCAAGGTGAATCCCGAATTTGCCGAGGCAGTTTGTGGCCTGGCCAATGCTCTAAACTCTGTCTGCAACTGGGTTGGTCGAGGTGGTGTCGGCAACGGGATTGGTTTTCGGGACCGGTGGCATGTCGATGAGCAAGGGATGCTTCGGGATGCATATAGTAACGAGACTGGTACAGGCTGGATCAAGCGGGTGGTTGAGATTGTCGACCGTCAGCTCCGAGAAGGGGAGTCATGGGGCCAGGGCTTGCTGACCTCGAATGCAGTCGAACAACTGTGCGCCCAGTTGGTCCCCGCAATGAAGATCCGCAACCAGGCGGCGGCTAGTTCCCTGGCGGCTATTCTTCAGTCCTGGGCCGGCCAGCGATGGGAGGGCGCAAGGGTGGTGCGACTCGTGGAGCGTGCCATCAGGTCGATCACCTGGCAATGGTACCAGGATCGCTACGTTTATGGCAAGGAATACCCCTTAACCAAGTACCGGCGGCCTCAGCTGCCTTTGGGCCTGACGGCGCCGAACGCGCCCACCGTGCTGCCGTTTCACACCTTCACATGCCCGCTCTCAGCCAAGCAGATTCGCCAGATCTCGCAGCGGAATGGGCTCCGCATATCTTGCTCGACGCTACGCTCGCCTTGGCTTCCAGCCACAGTTTACCCACCGCCCCCACCCCCAAATCCTTATCTCAAAGTCGGATACGTATCGTCAGACTTTAACAACCATCCTCTTGCGCATTTGATGCAGTCTGTCTTTGGTCTGCATAATCCGTCACGGGTCAAGGCCTACTGCTATGCCACCACCGCCAGCGACAAATCGATCCATCGACAGCAGATCGAGAAAGAAGCTCCGGTGTTCTACGACGCGAGCGGGTGGCCCGTCGACCTTCTCGTGAAGCAGATTGTTGACGATGGCATTCATATTCTGATAAACCTAAACGGTTATACCCGCGGTGCGCGGAACGAAGTGTTTGCTGCCCGACCTGCACCCATTCATATGTCCTTCATGGGGTTTGCAGGAACGCTGGGGGCTGAATGGTGCGATTACATTCTAGCGGACGAGATATCGATCCCCACCGAAACACTGGCTCCGGGCCGACGCAATGTGCGAATCGAGGACCGACTACTCGAGCAAAATCACGGGGAGGACCTTGAGGATTGGGTCTACGGGGAAAAGCTGGTCTATACACGTGACACATTTTTCTGCTGCGACCATAGGCAAAGCGCGCCTGATGCTCAGGATCCGCAGATCGCATGGGAGCAGGAGCAGAGTCGAAGGTGGCGGATGCGGAAGGAGTTGTTTCCTAATCTCAGCGATAACACCATCATCCTCGGCAACTTCAACCAGCTGTATAAGGTAGGCTGCCCTTTATCTATTTCTGTTCTTTCACCCGCTAACGAGACGCACGCAGATTGAACCCACCACCTTCCGCACCTGGCTGCGCATTCTCGCCCACATCCCCAATGCCGTGCTTTGGCTCCTCCGCTTCCCCGACCTCGGCGAACGCAACCTCAAGGAAACGGCCATCGCCTGGGCGGGCGAAGAAACTGCCTCTCGCATCATTTTCACTGATGTTGCACCCAAGAATATGCACATCGCCCGTGCTAGAGTCTTGGATCTGTTTCTGGACACTCCGGAATGTAACGCTCACACCACGGCCACGGACGTCCTCTGGAGCGGCACTCCGCTTCTAACCTTTCCCCGCTACAAATACAAGATGTGTTCTCGCATGGCGAGCAGTATCCTCAGTAGCGCCCTCCCAGACACCGAGGCCGGTCGCGCCGCTCGGGAGGAATTGATCGCCACCTCGGACGAAGACTACGAGAACAAAGCCATTCGCATGTGCCTGGGCATGAATGCGCGCCGTACTGCGTCCGCAGAGACATCGCCAACAGGCCGACTCTCCGAGATCCGAAAGATGTTATTCCAGGAACGCTGGAAAGGCCGACTGTTCGATACCGCGCGATGGGTACGGGATCTTGAGGACGCATATGATCGCGTCTGGCAGCGATGGGTGGCTGGCGAAGAAGGCGATATCTGGTTATGATCTATCCATCTGGGTGTGCGACATAATAAGCCATGCAAACTCTCTCACTCTAAATATACCCCCTTGAGCGATTTTTCTTTGATTATGTCTTGTTTTGATTACATGATACATGTCCGGGGTTTATATCAATTTCTTTTCTGGGTTTGTTTATTCATCTGGGGTTGTGCGGAATTTAATCTAGTTGTCGGCCTGGCTTGTTGACCCATGTATTGACTGGATCTTTGGGGTGTTGGTTTGTTGCGACGAATTGAGATGAGATGTAGGTTTACGAGATGTGCATATTATTACCCCATGTGGTTCTAGGTTCGGGTTGGGTCTGGTGTTCGTCTTTGTATATTTGTCTCGAGGATTCGGTGGCTGTCTACATACAGTGTGCCTTGTTGAATCACTTACTTTCAGTTGGTGTTGGCGTGGCGTTGGTGTCGGGGTTTCTCATATCTACTCATGCCTACGGCCGAGGCATGGAATTCAATGATGACGTAACGAAACATTAGAGGATTGATTTGGTTGAGTTTTATTGTTGTTGTATCGAGCGCAAATGTGCGGGACCTGCTGCATGTCCGATCAGCCCATAGAGGTGGTTATCAATCAATGCTGAGGAATGTGCTTATCGGTGTATGTCTTCGATAGACCGGCGAGACTTGGATAGGTGAATCCCGTCATCTGCTTTGGAGTATATAGAGCTCTGGATTCACAAGGGACGCTGTTTCCAATCTGGATTCATTCTTTGTGTTTACTGTAAGGCCCAGTGAAGTCGTACTTTCTCCCGTCTTGCTCTATAACGAGTTCACGTCGACAGACATCTCGCCCTTTTCACGGACTTACCCAAAGTCAATCCAAATGAGTTAGACCGAGTGAAAGGGATAGTCCAGTATTCAGACCTGGATTGCAATTGCTTTCGATCGACAAGGCAGACAAGGACCTAGACACCCCCATCCACTGAGCCTCTCACCCATGAGACGAGAGCGTCCATCCGACGAAAGAACCGATCCCCCTCCACCAGAAGAAAGACGCAGAGTCCCTCCCCCCCTTCGCTCCTGCGAACGAACGCAAGAATAGCAACCGCGTACGTAGCAAGAAACTCCCCTCTTCTTTTACGACAATCCAGCAGATCATTCCCCCTACCCCTTACCCATACCCTCGGGCCTGACTCTCCGGTTCCAATCTGATATTCCTAAGCTGGTTCCAAGACAGCAAGCAACGCATCGCTCCGCTCCTACAATAAACAGGGCCTTGATCCCTCTTTCCTGTTGCCTGTCAAGAGGGGTGATCGAGCGTCCGTATACACCATTCATTCTATACTAATGCAATAAACAAGAAAGAGAGAAAAGTAAGTACCGGCTCCCTGCTCCCCTTCTTGCTTAGTTATAGGTATTTAGTAACTACTACTACTTCCGGACCCGGGAGGACAATCTCCACAGAACTGAAGTACTGTACCGTACCTGCTATCCACGAGCGATACCCGTGACTCTCCCGAAGCACTAAGACTGGACTTTCTACGAGGGGGTTCGTTATCGGATCTATCAAGACGTCGGAGCATATGACCAAGAGGTTTTTTAAAAATCTGGATTGGGCAGGGCAGGGCAGGGCTAGGGAGTGAGACAACTCATGCATTCGAAGTATCTTTCGCTGCACTATCGAAGGTTAACTAAATTCTATCTATCTACCTATCTACCTATCTATCTATCTATCTGCTCGACTTCTGGAGGAACGGATTGTTTGCGAGACTGGGAAGTAAATCGTACTTATTTATTTTCTATGGAAGTGGTGAACTCGAAAGCATTGTTTAGAAACTAAGATCACTGCGAATGAAGTTGCTGAAGGTAAGACGAACGAACGAGGAGCAGGTTGGTAGCCAGGGAAAACAGAAAAGAAAAGAAAAAAAAGTGCAGCCACAGATCTGCGCTGAACTGAGCCACATAGACTTTCTGCCCGGCCTATCACTAGTACTTACTATTACTACTGTACGCAGGAAGGGGAAAAAATAAAAAGAAAACATGCAGGATCTTCAGCTTAGCCACAATTTGGGTACAGACAATGGGATGGGATGGGTGGCGGATGTGGTTTCTTTCTTCTTTTGCTTTGCGAGGGCTAGTAGGTCTACTGCGTTGTTTATTGGTATTTCCAATGGTAGAAGGGTATGATGGTGATGGGATTAGGTGTTGATCGCGTTGGTTGCGTTCTTGACCTGGAAGGAGAAGAAGATAGATAGATAGATCGGCTCGGAGTGAGGCTGCTGATATACTGAAATCCACTTCAGCAGGAAATGTGCATTCTGTGCGTGACACCCAAACCTGATTATCGGACACTCGAACGCTCCTCTCGCCTCGGTCCCATGCAGCACACCCCATATACATCGTCTTCCTCGTTTTGCCCGGACCTTGACTGCCTGACGGACGCTCGATGTAAGCACGCAGGACGTAGTACGTAGCTTCCCCGGAGGATTGGACGGGGCCTCGAATGTGGTCAGTGCAGTGCACATCTTTCATGAATGGATCCCCTCAATGCGAAATCGTGCGTCAAAAAAAGTCATCCATCCGCTCTTGACGGTCGACAGTATTATACAGTAATACCCCACCTTTCCCACGGTCTTGTCCTTTGTCTTCCCCTCCCCTCCGCTGTGCCGTCTCGCAAGCGGAAAGACGGACGGGGGGTATTTTCGGAAATCGCCTGGATGAATCAGCGGCAAGACAGACGACAAAAGAAGGGGGACAGCCATCCAGATCGGAATCATTGAAGAAAGGGTGACAGAAGGCGGGACTTGCTAGTACAGTAGTGTTAGTATCCATGGTGGAGGTGGAGATGGAGTCTGGACTATGTGGAGTATAGTTCACTTATTAGACCGATGACTACTGGTAGGACACACGATTTGGGGAGGGGGGGGGGAGAGTAGTGGGAGATGTCCGCGCTCGGGAAAATAGTTCAGATGCACGGATGCTGGAGCCTGAGTAGGGCGTGCACATGCGCGCGCACGGCTTGTGCTTGAGGATTTGCCGTGGGAAAGAAAGACTGACCCTCTCTTTCATTTATTTCGACTTCTCCTGTTGGTGGTCTTCTGGAGGGGAAGGGGAGGAATCGGAATTGGGGCGCATCGGGTGGAGTTCTCTCCTGCGGATTGACTCGCCGACAAGCTTGTTCGTTCGCTCATCCTTCGGGACGAGATTCTCTAGCTGGGTTTTCTCTGTTTTATCTTCCGGGGGGAATTGGTCTTACTAGCACTTAACTTAGTGATAGACCCGAACCCGTCAGGATGGGGCTGCTCTGCACTTTTTGGGGGGGGGGTTGCGACAGACAATTAATTCAAGACTTACTAGTCTCAGGGTCTCTTCTCCAGGAAGGAGGATGTGGGTTCGCTTGATGATCACAGTGGATGGAGGTGGCTATGGAATATGAGAGAAATGAGGCTAGTGAATTGAGAAGTTGATCAGAACTGAAATAATGCTGGTGGCCCTTTGCCAAAGCATCCATCCATCCATCCATCCATCCATCCATCCACCAAGTACAGTAGCACAGTACATACGTATGCTGAGTATGTCGGGTTACGATGTAGTAGAGGATGGAAGGAAACTATTGGTCATGGGAGATCCAAACGATCTGCAGCCTCTTTGTCTTTCGGGGAGGGGAAAGACCCCAACAACGGGAGTTCATTGGTGCAAAGCCCAAATAACGGACGGGACGCCCATGTCTTTAACCTGAGCATCGGGTCTAGATAGTAGATACACTTGATTAGGGCGGCTGACTGGGTCCAGATTGAGTTTTTTTTCTTCTGGGGGGTTCAAACCGGGTACGGACCGTACGGCAGATTAAGTTGGGGTTTGTTGTTCGGATGCTTCTCTGCCTGTAAACCACGGTTATTGTGGTTGGGGAACCTGGTGATAAGAGTAGAGAAAAGAAAAGATAACGAACTCCCCTTCCCCACCCCATTACCTAGCTCTGGTCGAACTATCGATGTTAACTGAACAGGGAGAGACAGAGAAGTAAGTTCGACTGAACCCCGAAGCGGTGCATGAGGAACCAGTCCCTCCTCCCCGTGAGAAACGTTAGTCGGACTTGTTGCCCCCGTCGCCAGGACCACTCTTGGGCCCACAATCCCGAGCCCAGGGCTGCAGGTGCCCCGTTCCGGTAGTCCCCTTCTCTGCCCTGGCAGTGGCAGTCACTCGAGCAGAGGGGAATAAACTTCCTTGACAGCGGGAAATCCGTGGTGAACGAGGTCTGGTTCGGGATAAACGGCGTATGAGTCTCAGTCCGTCAACGGGCCGGTTGGTTTGGTTTGGGTTGGTCCTTCATGCTTCTCCGTCCGTCTTTCAATGAGTGTTTGCGTGGGTGTCTGCAGGAAGCGCAACGAGGGGGAGGGGGTGTTGAAGGTTGGGAACTGTGGACTGAATAACTAGTTCTTCAAAGAATTTGTCAGACTTGCGACACCATCGAAAGTTGTAGATGTGTAGTAGCAGCCGGGGGGTCACCCGAGCCAATAGTGCCGTCACATCACATTGAATCTGCATTGGTCCAGACACAACATGAGAAGAAGGAGCAGTTCCCCCTCGACAGTGAACCGCCGCGCTGCAGCTCTTGGTGGAGGCAGGTTATCGCGGGTCTGCGATCCAACCTTCCTAGTCTGTGCAGTTAGTGCTTGCTGCCAGAGGAGTGGATGTTGGGGTTGTACGAAAGGAAGCCTATCCAGACCAGGCTGAACTAGGCAGTGCATGTGCTGCTTTTCGCTGAAAGGGATCAATCTTCCCTTTCTGTGTGTCCGGGAGGGAACGAACCACATTACGTATCCCCCGCGTACAACTTATCTTTGTGTGCGCACTGAAGCAGGTGGTAGAGGTGGGATGGATGTTAGGGCCACCCTTCCTTCTCCTATATTCTTTATCTGCATCATCAACATCATCATGGTTACGTCGAGGTATACGATCTACAATTGTCGACAGGCATTCCTGTTCCAAACCAGGGATGGTTGAAAAAATAACGAACGGAGTGCATTGCCAGCCCTTGTCCCTGCAGGATCGGATTCTACGTTAGGGAGAATTCCAATGATGTGTGAGGGGAGGGAATGGGTGTGGGTGTGTATCATAGAATTAGTACATACATCAGTATATCTAGATTTACTTACATACATAATTACATACCTACATA